GTCGTCGTCTTCGGGCGCCATTGCGGCCGCCTTTCTCTTTGCAGACATGGTCGCGGCAGGTAGACTCGACCAAGCGCACTTGTTCTTGACGGACACGGGCGAAGCAAGAGGCGGGTACTACGAAAGATGGGGGGGAAGGCGAGTGCCAGAGAACGCGTCGAAGGTGCAACAAAGAGCACTCTAGCTAAGCTTCATTAGTCAGATGGTCAGTGTCGGCGTAGCAATCATGCGCCCCAGTAATGACAGGCGAAGGTGAAGGTAGAGCTGCTGCTACTGCCTGGTGTTGTTGCGCGTTGGGTGAGAGTGAGGTGATGTTCCGTTGCGGCTGCGCTTTGTCGGGCGCGTCTGCCAAGCCCCAGTTAGTGCGCCTGCCACCGCTGGCGTAACTTCGTAACCTTGCTCCATCAAGACTCCCACAGGTATCGACGCGCCGACCGACACCACCCACCGCGACCGTCTACAGAAATCACGGCTCATCGCCAGCCCTATCGCCCGCACAATTCGCCACTCCCGGATGACACGCGGATAGACGCTTCTCGCCTGCGCAACTCCCCACAGGGGACGAGCTGCCCACCATGTCCTACAACCAGCAGTATCCTCCGCCCCAGGGCCAGCAGCAGCCGCCGCCGCGCGCATTCTCTCCGCAAAATTACCAGCACTCGCCAACGGCCCTTTCCCCGACCATGGGCAGCGGCATTCCTCCCAACAAGCGACAGCGCCTGTCACCGAACCCACCATCGCCAGCACCGTACCAGTCGCCTTTTGGCATGCCTGGCGCGCCGGCATATCCCTCGTCGCCCTACGCCAATTCTCCCCAGACGCCCGGCTATCTATCGCTGCCAACATCGCCCGCCGCGATGCAGCCTCCGCCTTTTCATCAGCCGCAGCCCTACCAGCAACCAAATGCGCACTCGCCCGCGCCACAGAGTTCTATGCCGCCGCCAAAGGTTCCGTACAGCAAGGCCACTGACAACTCGGAGCTAGAAAAGGCGAATGCGCGCGACTTAGACGTCAACAACATCAGCGATGTGCTCACCGGATCGGGTATCGACTTGCGCGCGGAGGAGGACAATCTGCTGCAAAACTATCGGAGCTTCACCTCGCAAGGCTCTGCATCTACAGTATCACCACATGGAAGTTTTAACAACTGGAACCAGCAAGGCCATGGCGCATACCAAGGGACTGGTCCGCTCAGCCAGGAAATGACCAAGGAGCAGCAGCAAGCCGAATTTATCAGAAAGCACGAACAGGCCGCTCGCATCCTAAATGAGTCGGCTCAACACCCCTTGAACGACCCATTCCTGTCGGCGAGTGTGCTTCGGCACCGCATTGCAAAACGTGGATACGAGCACTCAATTCAGATTAACGTAGATGGTCTGTTCGACAAGATTCCTGACAAGGGCCAGCAAGAGATTACGCGCAGCACACAAACCGGCGCAAACGGCGAGCAAATCATCGGTCTGGAGGCTGCCAGTCTGCTCAACCAGAATGCTCCGCTTGTGGAGATTCTGACATTAATAACTCTTGCTGCCGAGGAGCGTGTACGGACTCTTGTCGAAGATGCTTTCGCTCTGTGTCAAGGTCGCCAGAACACCTCCGATGGCGTCATTCCCCCTCAGATGGTTGATATCGCTGTTATAGATGAGAACGCCCAAGAAAAGATGGTTCGGCCCGTTAATATCTTGAAGACACCATGGGAAGCACCGGATAGCGCTGTCAGCCCCACAGCGACAGCAAACAAGGGTTGGTTTATTCTTCGAGTGTGTAAAATAGCAGCTAACAAACATAGGCCTACCCAATGCGGCACGTCTACCTACACCGCCCAGCGAAGCGCCACCTACCCCCCAGCGGACATTTCAAAATATCAATCGCGTCGCCAACGCACTCACCAAACGTGTTCAAGATGACTACAAATGGGAACAAGAACGCCTTCGCAAGCGAGCAAAGCGACAAGCAGGTGTTTCCAGTACATCAGCAGATGCGCCAGCGATACCAATACCACTCCCGGAGCCAGTTACAAAGAAAGCCTTGGCAGCTGCAAAGAAGCAGAGCCAGTCAGACGTCGTTGTATTCGGCAAAGCCAATGAAACAGCCAGCATGGCCCTCGGCGGAAAAAAGAAGAAGTATTCATGGATGACTGGTGGAGGCGGAGGCGGAGGCGGAGGTGGCGGCGGTGGAAGCGCATCTGGCGCCTCAACACCACGGCCCGTGGCAGCACCTGGTGGCAGCGGCACGGCAACACCGGCCGCCCAAGCGCCTGAGAAGGCCCTCATCGGCCGTAAACGCAAATTTGGCGAGGCCATTGAGCAGACGGAGACGGGCGCTGGCATCCAACTTCGCGACCTCATTCACGTGCTCGAGAATGACGGCCGCGAAAAGAAGACGCTTACGCTCATCTTGGCGCGCATGAAGAATACGGACAAGGATATGAAGACGGAGGTTAATAGGAATCTGCCCCCCATCACCACTACTGTACCTGGACGGGTATGAACAAATTCAAGAAAGATTATCATCTCCCGGTTTTTTGTTTCGGGACGTTTTTATTATTCACTTGCATTTATCAGCGATGGCGTTCTCACATCCGGGTTGGAGTGGGAGGTTTAAATCGTGGAAGCTGACAAGGAGCAAAAAAGATGTGTTTTCGAATGCACGTGTTTGTGCCTTTTTGCCTTTTTTCCTTTCTCTCTTCTCATTTTCGCACTATCCCAAGAGCTGGGATGATTTTTTCTCAAATGGATTACAGAAAGGGGTTCACTATGCTACTTTTTTCTGATCTTTTGGACGACTGTGTACCCTTTTGAACAATGAAAGAAATGGTATGAATGTCTCGAATTGAATTATTAACATGGCAATTCGTAATATGGATGGGGTTCTGTCCTGTTTGCCTCTCCAGATTATACATATGCATGTTTTGTTCCTCTAATATCTAAAGCGTGGAGTACTAGGAGTTTGGTGATGCTTTTAGCCGAGATTTCGTATCTCTCGGAAAGCCTGGGGTGCTACAGGCAGACTAGAACTTGCGAAGACGAACTGAGAAATCGGTGGTGAAATAGGAAAAGGTGGGTTGGGGTTGGGGGTTGAGTTGTAATTGTTCAAATTATGCATTGCATGTAGTAACTTTTCCCTTTTTTTTGTGATTATCGATGTACACTATCGTTTATCCTAGACACGTTACCATCGAGTCTGTAGTATTGGCAGAGTTGGCTCAGTAGTCAGAAATGGATTTCCTTCCAGATCTATTTTCGACCTTTTCGGATGCTCAGCAAACAACACGGACCAATGGTTCCATTCAACGGAGGATACTTAGCGTCTTGGCACTCACCTAGGTTTATGTAGCTGCCTTTACCAGTACACGATAGAATCAACCTCTAAGACACTTCACTTGTCCACTGTCTGGGACACGTCGATGCCTCACTCTCTCGCATAATGTGATGTCGGATAATACCGGTACTGTTATCGTCTAGCCGGCGAAGCCCAGCCACGGCATTCAATCTACTACGCGTATATCACATGGCAACTATCGATCATATCGTCTTAGTGGTTGTGATCCTAGAAGCCAGTTTGTTGGTCTAACCAAGCACTACACCACGTATCACAATAACATCAAGAATCGGCTCAAGGATATGTTGTATGAATGGAGTCGCCAGAAACTTATCGTCACAATGGGCGCTACTGAGTTATCCAAGCTTGAACAATACGCTTGAGTACAAGGCGCCCTCGAAGGCGCCAAGCACTGTGATACAGCAGATACTGGCTCCGATCACGGGGTTGGTCGTCGTAGCTTTCCGTAACAAGGAATGCCGTCTGTTCTGCCTAGATGAGGACTCGATCAGTATCCCTGAGAAGGCAGGTATCCGAGGCGGTGGTAAAGAAGTGTATGATATGAAGAGTAACTAGGAAGGGGGTTATCGAGATATCGGTGAACCTGATTGACGGACAAGTGCGAACACAAGCGGTGATGTGAACAGCTTTTCATTGGATTAATACGAGCATGTTATGCTAAGTTCAGAATTTTGGTTTAAATGATTTTGTTACAGTGAACGAAGCTATATGAACCCGCTCAGCTACATGTTGCTAGCAACATCTCTCATGTCCGCTTTGTGGGCGGACACCACTCGATGCGCTTGGTGTCGAATGTGTCCCGAGGTTGTGCGGCGCTCGTCCTTTAGTACCACTAGTTGGGCTGCCAGAGTTACTTGTTTCATAAACATGATGTGAGGCGCGCATGCAGTGTGCGCCCTTTGTCTCTGACGGCTCCTACGGACAGCTAGCTTTTGGACTCATTTCCTGACTGGTTTGGTTTGTCTAGTAGTTATTTTGATGTTCATCATGTAATAGCTGCTTTCCTTTACACTCTGAATACCTTTGCGTGTGTGGGAGCTGATGCTTCCTACGGCTTCTGCGGAGGGTTCGTTTTCTGGCTGGCTGGTTAGGCAGGCGGACATTCCGGTGTTCCTTACGTGATTAGGCGCTATCTAGATATAGCGATTCCTGACATCTTTGCACAGCTGTTGTATGCATTTGTGGAATGTATGCTCTGTCACCCTTCATAAACATATGTATCCGCTCTACCTCTGTTCTCATCCTGTCTTCCTCATTATTGCAGCTTTAGCTGCATATTGAGATCAGCTCTAGAGAGGCTTTGCATACGAAGAAATGCGATGTAGTTCGTTCTCAGAAGCTCTGTACTAGTCTGATATTTTAAGATGTTAGGAGTATCTATTAGTAACAAAAGATTTCACTTTCACTTCACCTCACCTTCTTTTCTTAGCCATGATCACACGTCATTGCAAGATGGCTTAGTAAGAATAATTTAGGGACTCTTCTACCTTTATTTAAAAGCAGCCTAAGTATTCATATCTTTCCTATCTTGCTTTTACGCTATCTCTTTTCGCTACTCTCTACCACCGTCTACCTATCAGCAACGGCAACAGCAACGGCTTACCGTAAAACCACTTTCCTACATCAAGATAATACCAAGTCGGCACCAACTCAACACCATGCCTGCTGCCAAGAACAAGTCGAGTGAGACAGACGTGAGTGGCAAGAGGTGGACTGACGACGAGAAGGTAAGAAGTCTCCACCCATGCACACTAGTACTAGCTGACGAGTTGATACATAGTTGGCATACCTCCTTGTCCTGTGCGGGCATGAGGGCGGACTCCAAGCCAAGATCAAGGTAAGAAGTGTGGCTAACAGCTGTGCGTTCACGTACTAACTCGATACTACAGAGTGCGCCCAAGCCAGCTGGTCGGACTAAAATCGCTTGCAAGAGAATGATCGAGCGTCTTGAGGAACAGTTCGAGCAGGAGATTGCTAGCATGAAGAATGCGCAGACTAGCAACGGCTAGACCACGAACAAGCGCAAGAACAAGAATGACAGTGACGAGGAAAATAGTGTGAATAAGGGCACGCCTAAGACAACTCCCTATAAGACCAAGAGTAAGATTAGTGGTGATACTGAACTCATGGTCAAGGAGGAGATTCTTGAGGAGGAGATTCCTGAGTAGGTTGCTCAGGGCTTGGACAGTGCCTTGATGGATGAGGGCTTTTCGGGCTGCTCTTTCTCCTGTAGGGGTCTGATAAGCCCATTGCGATAGCCTCGACGAGAGGCGGGTGTTTTTAGCGGGGTGCGTCCATGTATGCAGAGACATCTGGCGGTCTTTGTTCTATTGACACGTAGCATGCTTGTTGCTTGTTCTGGCGATATGGGGCCAGGGCTGTTAGAGGGCGTAGCAGGACGAATCGATGAAACCAATGGAATAATGAATGAATGAATGAAGCATAGCGGAAGATGGATGCAAGAGTGGTGATGCAGGGCGGATGCAGCATTAGGTAATGCCGCATATGCTGAGTCATGGCGCCGCGGCGGGCGGCGAGCAGGGGGCGGATGCGCAAACTACGTACTACTTCCTACTAGTACCATGTCTTGTTGCATGAAGCCAGCGGCCATTCCGTCCTCACCGTCGCCTGCGCTCCCTTGTGCGCGTGCTCTCTCCCAGTCTCCCCTTGTGCAATTGGCAGCAGTAGCAGCACTGGCACTGCCTGGCCGCCTGAGCCCCCCGAGCCGTGCGTGCCGTGCGTTGTCTGCGTCTTCATCCTCCGCCGCAGCGTCAGCCTCTGCAAACTGATCCCAGGCTGGCATGCTGCTTGGCCGAGTCTCTGTCGCCGCCTGCACAAAAACTCTCTGCGCAACCAGACGACGACCGCTCACTCTTCTCCACACGCGCCCGCTTGCCAGGCTGCCCAGTCCTACTGTGCTCGCCTGCGCCCGCCGCCTGCTCCACCCACCGCCGCAAATGGACCACAATGGCTCCGTCAAGCGCAAGCAACCCCCAACTTCGCCCGCCACCGACCGCCCCCTCAAGCACATCAAGCCCGAACCCTCTGCACACGTGACAAACGGCCACGACGACACCATGGAAGACGCTCCCAGCGAATACAGCGCCGCCGACGACATGCCGCCGCCTGCCCATGTTGCTGCTGCCGCTTCTGGGCCCGACACGGCTGAGTGGCAGAAGACCATCGAGAACGTGGTTAAGAGTGTTGTCTCGATTCACTTTTGCCAGACATGCTCCTTTGACACAGACCCCGCTGTCAGCTCAGAGGCCACGGGCTTCGTCGTCGATGCCGAGCAGGGCTACATTCTCACAAACAGACATGTCGTGGGCGCTGGGCCCTTTATCGGCTACTGCATCTTCGACAACCACGAGGAGTGCGACGTCCACCCCGTTTACCGTGATCCCGTTCACGACTTCGGTATCCTGCGCTTCGACCCTTCAAAGATTCGCTACATGCCCGTCACCGCCCTCAAGCTGCGCCCAGACAATGCAAAGGTTGGCGTTGAGATTCGCGTTGTCGGTAACGATGCTGGCGAGAAGCTGAGTATTCTGTCTGGCGTCATTAGCCGACTGGATCGCAACGCGCCCGAGTACGGCGAGGGCTACTCCGACTTCAACACAAACTACATCCAGGCCGCCGCTGCCGCTAGCGGAGGTTCTTCGGGCAGTCCTGTGGTCGACCGCGACGGATATGCCGTTGCGCTGCAGGCGGGTGGACGCGCCGATGGTGCTGCGACTGACTACTTCCTGCCCCTGGACCGCCCTCTGCGCGCGCTCGAGCTGATCCGCCAAGGCAAGCACGTCACTAGAGGCACCATCCAGACGCAGTGGATACTCAAGCCCTTCGATGAGTGTCGGCGACTGGGCCTCTCTGCTGAACTTGAGAAGGACATCCGCACTCAGTTCCCCAAAGAAACGGGCATGCTGGTTGCCGAGGTTGTCCTCCCCCAAGGTCCTGCATCGAACAAGGTTGAAGAGGGTGATCTCTTGCTCCGCGTCAACGGAGAGCTACTTACACAGTTTGTCCGTCTCGATGCAATCCTGGATGAACACGTGGGCCAAACCATTTCTGTGACCATTCAGCGTGCAGGAGAGAACATGGACGTTGAGATTGACGTCAGCGATCTCCATGCCATTACCCCCGACAAGTTTGTTTCTGTTGCAGGTGCTTCGTTCCACGACCTCTCGTATCAACAAGCTCGCCTATACGCCATCTCGCTCAAGGGCGCAGGTGTGTACGTGTGTGAGGCAGCTGGCTCATTCAGATTTGCCGATGGCTACACGTCTGGCTGGCTGATTCAAGAAGTTGACAATCAGCCAACACCAGACCTAGACACTTTCATTCAAGTCATGAAGAAGATTCCCGACCGCAAGCGAGTTGTCATGATGTACAAGCACCTGCGCGATCTGCACACTGCAAACACCAGCATTACTGCAATCGATAGGCATTGGCACGCAAAGATTCGGGTAGCAACTCGCAATGATACGACTGGCTTGTGGGACTTTAGCCCACTTGCCGATGCCATTCCACCTGTGCCTCCAGTCCCGCGCCGTGCCAACTTTGTCAAGATGAGCTCTAGTTACCCAGAAGCTGTAGACATTGTCCGCAGTTTTGTACGCGTGCACGTCTCCATGCCCATCAAGCTTGACGGCTTCCCCAAGTTGAACAAGCAGGGCTATGGTCTTGTGGTTGATGCCGACCAGGGTCTTGTCCTTGTTTCGAGAGCAATCTTGCCCTACGACCTGTGCGATATTTCCTTGATCATCGCCGACAGCATTTTTGTTGATGCAAAGGTTGTCTTCATGCACCCGTTACAGAACTATGCCATTGTCAAGTACGATGCCTCGCTAGTCAATGCACCTGTGAAGACTCCCAAGTTCGCAACGGATTTCATCAAGAAGGGTGCTGAGACCATTTTCTTTGGTATCAACCAAAACTTCCGACCCGTTGTGGCCAAGACGGTTGTCACGGATATTACTACTGTTGCTATTCCTGCTAGTGCAATCACGCCACGGTACCGCGCGACCAACTTTGATGCCATCACCGTAGACACAAACCAGGCTTCACATAGCGGTTCTGGTGTGCTTATTGCCGAGGATGGTACTGTCCAGGCTCTCTGGCTTTCATACCTGGGTGAGCGAACATCGCATAGTGGCAAGGATGTAGAATACCACCTCGGTCTTGCGACACCCAACCTTCTCCCAGTACTCAACGAGATCCGAAGCGGCAAGACTCCAAAACTTCGTATCCTGAATGTCGAATTCCAGACAGTCCAGATGAGCCAAGCCCGCGTCATGGGTGTTTCAGAGGAATGGATCGAAAAGACAGAAACGGCTGATCCAGAGCGCCACCAGCTCTTCATGGTCCGGAAGGTCGATTCGGGTCATAGCGATGGTCTTCATGAGGGCGATGTCCTCTTGACGCTCAACGGCAAGCTCGTAACCCGCTCTCCGGATCTTGATGTCATGTATAACCATGAAGTCCTCGATGCAGTCATTGTACGCAAGCGCGAAGAAAAGACCATCAAGGTCTCGACCGTTCCTACAGAGGACCTCGAGACTGACCGCCTAGTCAGCTTCTGTGGTGCCACTTTCCACCGTCCCCACCAAGCCGTGCGTCAACAAATCAGCAAAATCCACTCAGACGTCTACATTTCCTCTCGGGCCCGTGGCTCACCAGCATACATGTACGGGGTAAGTTTGTCGACTTCTCTCTCTACACCTGCCTTTGCTAATTAGTACCACTAGCTCGCACCTACAAACTTTGTCACACACGTCAACAATGTCCCCACGCCTAATCTATCCGCCTTCCTTGTCGAAATCAAGAAGATCAAGGACAACGAGTACTTCCGCATGAAAGTCATGACGTTCGATAATGTCCCCTGGGTTGCTACCATGAAGAAGAACGAGCACTACTTCCCTACCATTGAGCACATCAAAGATCCGTCGGAACCCCTGGGCTGGAAAAAGATCATTCACGAGTGTGACGTTGGAGGCGCAAGAGAGGAATTGGGACCGGATGAGCTGGAAGCGGATGCTGCTGAAGATTAGACGGACGGTTGTTTGGGTATAGACAGCGCGGCTTGAAAGAAATTAATAACCACTGCTATTCATCTTAACGCGCAGGAGGAGTCTGGGATCATCATTCCATGTAAATGTGTCTATGTACTGTACAAAAATATCCCAAACCAGACCAAACAAGAGCTTCTCTACCTCTGCATCTCATGCTCCCCAAACTGACTCTTATCCCCCATTTCCACCCCCCTCCTCTGCATCTCAACCGCATACCGCATCACCTCCGCCTCCCACTCCCCCAGCGACCCCATTTCTCCTCCTAACAATCGCTCCACCGCCCCAGCCAGCGCCATAGCATCCAAAGCCGCCTGGTTCGTACTCGCCGCCGTATGCGGCCGAAACCCCGCAAGCGCATCACCCAGCAACACCACTCTTCCTCCCTCCAACACCGCCTTGGGGGAAATCACATCCGTAATCGCCTGCACAAACGGGACCTCTGTCCCCCGCACCACCTCCGCAAACTGCGGCGGTAACATCTCTTCTGCCCTCTTCTTCTGGCGCTTCCAAACATCTGGGTTAATAGCGCCCGGTGGAAGCGTGATGTGATGCTTCTTCCCATGTACATCGGTCATGACATCTTCATGCTCAGTTGAGTTTTCGGGGGCGTTGACGTACCAGACCCAATTTAGCAAACGCTGCCCCGGTTCAACGGTGCCATGATGACCGGGGATGGTGTAAGCGAGGATTTGCGTGCCGGGGGCATGGAAGAAGGTGAAGGTGTTGGTGAAGAGAGAGTGGGTTGCAGCTGAGAGAGAGGTCTCGGGGAGGGTGCCGCGCCAGGCTATGTAGCCGGCGTAGGTACGCGTTGTGCTGGGGAAGTAGGAAGTTCGGATTTGGGAGCTGGGGCCGTCGGCGGCGAGGACGAGGTCTGCGGGGGTGGTGTGCGATGTGCCGGAGGTGTGCGTATAGGATATTTGGATTGGGGTGGAGAAATCTGAAGAGGGGACGTCTACGTTTGTGACTGTGCAGCCGTACTCGTAGGATGTCTTTCCTTCGCCTGGTTCTGGGGTGGGGACTTCGGCGTAGTCGGTTTTTGTGCCGTCGTAGTTTGTACGGAGGAGGTGGTAGAGGAGGTCCCAGCTTGTCATGTGTTGGTCTTGGTCGTGGCGGCTGATTATTTTACCTTCTTTATCGAGATATTGCCGCTGGTGGCTCGGGACTGTCAGTGGTGTATGGGTCCGGTCGTGCGTTTTGAAGAACTTTTGCACTTCTGGGCCGGCTACGACGCCAGCGCCTTGGTCTTGGAGAAGGGGCGTTGGGTTGCGCTCGAAGATACGGATGTTGAGGTCTCTTCTCAGACGCTTCAATGAGACTCCGGCCATGAGACCACCTAATGAGCCTCCTATGATAACAATGTTCTTGGGCTTTGCTTGGGCCATGGTTGCGCGTGGAACTGTGTGAAATGCTTGGATGGAACGAGAGGTTGTTAGATTTCAGCCGTGGGTTCGCAGCGCGTCACTACATTTTAAGTTTAGAAACTATGAAGATACACGCAAGGATAGAAACTTGCATTACGGTCAATGACATGATGTTGTATCCTAGATGGTGTAAGATTGGAAGTTGTCGGGAGCTCGATACGGACGTCGCTTATGTTACCATGACGTACACTATATCCACAGACATCGGAAACACACTAGAATCGTTCTCTGGTCAGTCACATTCAAGGAAATGACTACTTTAATTTTTTCGAATCGCCTGGATCATAGACAAACATGCTGGTTACTTGCGCCTGCGCTCATTGAGATGTCCAAGCCGCCCTAGTATCCTAATAGTCCGACTATGTACAGCACTCCTTCATCTCAAGCCCTCCTTTAATAGGCACTGCCCCTTCTGGCCTTCGAATATTTTGCGAAGTTTTGTTTGACGCGGACTTTCGGACCCCTAAAGTACGGGATGTGTACCAGTACACAGAATGAAACAGCAAAGCCAAACACAACCAGATATTGGCGATTCCAACCAGAACAGACGCGACAGCTACACCAAACCAGTGGAGCGGCGGTCCTGCTACGGCGAAAGTGAAGACGATTAGACCGTGTGGAAAGCAGATTACGTAGTACAGAGGACGATCGAGGAGAGCCCTAGGAACCACTTTTTCGCTTTTGGTGTGTCGCGCATTTTGGCGACTGATAAAAGGGAAGAAGGTAGTGTAACCCACCATACAAGAGGCTGCCAATGCGACAAGAATGAAGGAAATGCTCGCAGGTGTGAAGTGCCACTGCTGGAAGAGATAGCTGTACCTCTCAGAATAGGAGAAGATGAGGGTATCGAGGTAGCCGCTCAGCAGAGCGAAGAGTAGGATGCCAGGCTCGGAGATGAGCATCTCGTATGGCCGGAGCGTTGCCATGACCCATTTGTGACATTGGCACATCTCCATCCAGGCTTCGTCGTAATTGGGTCCATGAACATTCGTGTTGCCCTCCTCTTTTTGCCTTTTCGCCTCCCGATCTAGCAGAACTGACGCCCGCATTTCTTCCGCAAACAGCCAGTGAAGCAACTGTGTAGCTACCCCAAGAATAAGCTGAAGCCAAAAGGTCCATCGCCAGTCAAGGAACTGTTGAACCACGCCTCCAACAACGCCAGCAAGGACAGTGCCAAGGCAGCTGAAGAGAGATGCCCACACGGCGGCGCAGAACTCCTCGTCCTCGTCAAATATATCTTCGATGATGCTCATAGTTACGCCGCACCCAGCCGACGACAATCCGCCCAGAATCCTCCCCCCAATGACTCCTCCAGAGCTTTTTGACAACGCGGAAATCAGAACGGACATGTTGGTGAGACCAAGCGAAGCCTGCGTGACTGACTTACGGCCCATGTCGTCTGAAAACGGGCGCCAGAGCCTGCACCCGACCGCGCGCGAGATTAGGAAGGCTGTCATTCCCAGTTGGGCATTGCCGATGCCAAAATACGTGTTTAGTGAGGGGATGGCGTTGGAGTAGCTAGCTGCGTTGAAGGCTATGCTGGTTTGGCAGGCTGAGATGACGGTCAGGAGAATCCATTTTCGGCGTGCGGGCCATGCACGGGCTAGGTGGTTGCGTGAATTTTCTTCGGTGAGGAATTTGGTGGGAATGGGGCGATTTCGGAGCGAGGAGCCAGGTAGTCTGGAAGGGTGTGGTGAAAATGGTCTGTAAGTGTGTGATGAAGGCATTGTTGGGGGTCACGTGGGTTTGGTGGAATATCTTGTGTGTGCCGAATATGTGACTGTTTCTGAGAGCGTGTGTGTATCTTCTGAAAGCTTTGAAGGGAGTTATAGAGTATATATTATTCATAGGCAGCTATAGATACAGATGTTCATTGCTATGTGTTTTCTCAACTGTGGTTGATCGAGTCTTGTCACCATCTAACCATGGTTGGAGTTGGAGGACACGATCGCATTAACAAGAGGGGCGCACGTATTAGTAATGGGATCTTCAGTAGTTTTCCTGTTGGAGATGATAATAGCAGTGCCTAATATTGAACATATTGATAATATGTGTCTGTCGAGTTGCTCGGCCAAGTCGAATAGATGTAGGGTTCAGCACTCCAGTTTGTTCTTAATCACAAACTCAGCACGGAGTGATGGTAGAGAAGACCCCTAACCCCGCTCTATGTAGTAATTCTGATTGTCACTTTTGTGTATTTGTACTTGACGTACGAAATTGGTGGAAGAGTGTGGTTCGCTCTTCTCCACAGATTCCCATGTATCGAATGAAGCCGCATGTACACGAATGATTGAGCCCTATTGAATAGACAAAATGACTGTGTCATATCCTAGTGACGATGAAGAATGGATTCGAGACAGCCTTGTATGGTAGCATCAGCAAACTTATTGTGCCATGTCGCGCAGTTCGTGGGGGAAACGCGGGTTGACGGGTATATGCAGAAAGCCGTAGGGTAGTATGTGCTGGATATCATAATGTAAGATTGACTGGCTTCGAAGGTTGCACAAAGTTGAGCAAGACTTTCATAACCCCGCATATGTGAATATGCTTCCAGGGAAGGTGCATATCTCATCAGTCTCTTGAGCATTGCTGCATCGATGCTCAGGCAACCATCGTTACATATGCGGGAAAGATATGAAGATGTGACCTTCCTGCGAGGCATAGCTATCTCAAGTTACTCAGCAGGTTTGAGCCAACCGGCGTGGTTCCATTTGGAGTACAGCGTCGTTGAATGCCTCGTCACACGACACGGTTCTTTCAACCGAACAACTATAGCTATCTGAAATGTAGTATGCCTCGGTGTTCAGGGATCGCCGCAATCCTTTGCACGGCTTGAAAAGGCAGGTGAAGCCTTAACGACGATGCCACGTCCAATGACGCTTTTGACAGACGCGATGACATCTCGGCGAGAAGAATTTCGTTAGATTCCCATCAGACCGGACTTGAAACCATCTCAAGACTGACAGGAGTTTTGAACCCAACCTGACGGAGAGGTGTGTTTTCAATGTTCCGGAATTGCGAAGGGTCAACGAACGCATGAATGTCAGACTTTCTGCCGGTTAATGGAGAGAGGTACAATCGAAACTGAAACTACTGAGCGGCATAGATCTTCCGTACAATAAAAGCCGATTTGCATCAATAAGTGCTATGTAGGCTGCCGAAGTCGCGACCGTCATCGCGTATGGCGATGCAGTGTGCCATGGGTGCCATGGATGCCATGGGTGCCATGGATGCCATGGATGCCATGGTGATGGTCGGGGTGACGTCGGCCAATACTAACAACACACTTGTTGAACAGAGGAGTTCCTAGCGAGCGTAGTTCGGATTACCTGTAGCTTGGATCAAAGCGGCGATATTCACTAGTGCAACGATGCATCCGAGCCCGTTAAACGGTAGATGCAGTGTGGGGGTGGTAGTCGACAATGGTTCCTGGGGTTCCTGGAGCTTCTTGAAACCTCCGACGTCTGAACTGGGACGCGATGATCCAAGACAAACGAGAGCCACTCACCCAGGCGCCCCATGCTCAACATTTCCGACCAATCGCCTTGCTGTTTTCAAAATATACAGACACCACAAGCTGACCAATGCATCCAGCGGTTCCAATCAGAACTGTCTCTTCTTGTAGCGGTAGCAATGGGACAAGGTAGCAGCCTCTATTCACACGTTGGGCCTTGTGACAATTACCGGCATGCAACGTTTGCACGTCTCTCCATGCAGCGGATGCGCATCCCCTCCGTTACACCAACAAGATACAATCGTTCTGGCTGAGCAGCATCCGTCTTTACCAGTTTCGAGTAAGCGCTTATGACTGAGGCCACTGAGCCATGTCCAAACACATCCCGCTGGCCCTCTTAGCCAGAACAGGCCCATGTGCCCGTCAAACTCAGTCCTTCTACCGCCTTCCCGCCTTCGTATGTCGCTTTCTTTACCCTGCGGCCCATTGCATGACTTGGGCCGTGTACTCGGTACCTGTTGAATTCAGTTCTCTGGGTAACAACGTCTCCACATTCGTTCCATTAAGTAAGAGGGGGGATCCGAGTCTTCAAATCTTCATACCTCGTTGACTATCAGTCGAAACTATTCAGTCGAAACTATCACACTTACTCAGCACCCCCTACAGCCTGGTCGTCATGGCAGCCGTCATGCGCCCACGAGCGCTAGATGGCGAGAGGAGGATGAACATGGACGCCCTTGGGATAGGCTATATGGTCTTCGCCATATTATACACCATCACATTGTCTGCAGAGCTCTATTTTTTATGGCGACGACGTGATGCATTCTGCATACAGCTACGAAACATCAAAGTGCTTTTTGCAGCAGTTTGCATGCTTCATGTCTATCTCAGTATTGTCCTGTTTGTCTACCCTTGGAATGGCTTCTTTCCATGCTCAGCCGAATTCTGGATCATGTCTGTCTTCCTTCCATCCGGCATGGCATTCTTCCAAGGTGAGTAATTTTGTTTACATTTGCAAGCCTCTACTAACGCTTCATAGCTTGCAATGCAAAGGTTCTCACGGTTTATGAGAGGCAAAATCGGTTAACGCGCAACTTCCTTGAAGGGGCACGCAAGAAGCGTATCTCATACACCCCTCGTGGGCTATACGAAGCGTGGCGCGATCTCGATGCAGCAAAGAAGGTGTACTTTGGTACCTTGGCTGGATTAGCAATCTCCGTAAGAGCTGCTTGCTTGGACTACATATTCTTTGCGCTAACCAGTACAGTTCATTCCTGCCATTATATTGTTCTTCGGTTCACGCCGTTTTCATTCGTCTTACGGCTTCTTTGGAGTGGCTACAGACTTCCAAAAGTGCCGTCGAGGAGGTGAATGGTATGTGATATGTTTGCGAAAAGATAGAAGTCTGAACTAATCAAAGTGCAGGATTCCATCAATCTTCGTTCAGCTATTCTGGACGATGCTTGTGGGTCCTTGGATTCTTTGGAAGATCCGCGATATTAGGGACGTCCATTCGTGGGCCTGGCAAACAAGACTTGCCATCATTGCTGGGTATGTTTGGTTTCCCTGCTCCTTAGTAAAATCACTAACGATCTGTCCAGTCTACCCGGAACGCCGCTTTGGATTGCCTTTACATACTCAAACATGGACATAGCTACAAGCGTCAACAGATTCTTCGCACCGGCAGGATGGTAAGTTGAGGGTTTGCCCGTAGTGCTTCGATCTTGACACTAATTCCGCCAAATAGGTTCATCCCATCACTGATAGTCTGCCAACAAGTCCTGATCGTCATTCCTCTCCGTGACGCACTAAAGATGCAGCCCTACCGTCGCTCCTCAATCTCCGAGACCGATTCTTTCAAATCTTCACGGCCCATTCTGATGGAAAAGGCACCAACCGAGATGCTGGACAAAACTGCCAGAACTAAAGTATCTATGCAGGCGCTGGAATTCAGCATCGAACACAGCATCGAGCCCCTCATCGCCTGGGCCGCAGCCCGCGAGTTCACAGCCGAGAACTGTATCTTCCTGCGCGAAGTACGCAACTTTAGGAGGAAATGGGCTGGCCTCAAGGTCGTCACTACAGCGCAGCGCCGCCAAATGTTCAACGAGGCATCACTCATCTTCTTTACGCTCGTCAACCCGTTTACCGCCGAGGTGGCTATCAACATCGAATACAAGGTCTTCAAGACGCTGCAAACCGTCTTCGCAGAAGTCGAATTCGACCCATACATGCCGCGCTGCAAAACGCCTGACGATGTCCAATCACCCGTCTTCCGGGAAAACGTCGTGTGCCCGTGGGAAGACACGCTCAGTCGCCCAACCAGTATCCAAAGTGATACAACGTCATCATCAACCTCGAGTACAAAAAGCATAGTACCGAGTGAATTTACAGACGAAATTTTTGACGCTGCATATGACAGCATTAAATACCTTGTTTTCACAAATACCTGGCCTAGGTATGTGGAGCTCGCAGGCAAGCTTCATAGCGCTCTCTGAACAGCACGTCTTTAACAACTGCTGTTTCGATCAACGCTCCCATTGTTTTTTTGCCTTTTACTTGCCTGCCTTCCTAGTTAGGATAATACCCTTGAATGATGATGCAATTGCTTTTCCCGTTCATGTTGTTGAACCTCATTATCCTGGCTACCATCATCTATGTATTGTTGCCCTTTTCTCTTTCCCCAGTCACTTCTGGAAATGTTATAGAATAATCGAAATCTTACTCATCATAATTTATATTTATAATAATAACATATTGATCATTACCACTATTAATCCACATGCGCTTACTATTGCTGTCGCCATCGCCTAAACCCTGATTCTAGAAGCCTAAGGCAAGTTCTTCCATTGTACTCGCCAAGGACAATACCAGATCCGCCTGTGGATGCGGTTTCGACATGCGTTTCGCTAAGTACCATGCGGGGTGCTTTCTGGAATTTGTCATGCTTCCAACCTGATCAGCTGGTACACATACCTCTCTTGGCAGTCATAGAAAAAACGGTACCCATTATGATGGCGATCCGAAAGATCGACATGTGCACATGACATGGCAGTAGTAGGTAAGTATAGAAACAAATCCTTCCCTTGTAGTAAATCAAACCACGTCGCTCACTCCACCACCCTTTTTTTTCTCCGATATGGAAAGTCGACGTCATGTCTCATACTCGAAGCTTCCACAGATACTAGGCATATTTACCCGGATAACAAAGCGTTGTCTGCACGTCTAGACCCTTTTTTCTCGCACCGCAAGTGTCGCTCAGACAAGCCACAATGGTCGTTGACGGAAAAAAGAGTGTCTTTCCTTCCCTTTGCTCATCTCTCGTCGTTACAACCATCCGGTCGGGACCTCTATGCAGCACGCAAAATTCATGCGTCAGGGGGGGTGGCGCGGAAGGAATGGCACAGTTGTGACTTAGGAGGGACGGCTGGCGAGTGCGTGGCTGTAGGTTTCGTATCTTGGAGCGGATGGTGTCACAGGTTGTGGTGGTGCAGGATATGCACAGACCCCGAGTGGTGGATCGGGTTGGCGGGATGGAGCGGCGACTTGCCGAGTGGACGGTGGTAAGACGGAAGAGAAAATTGTTGGTGTGTCTTCTTTCGCACTTTGTCGTCTCCTCATGCGATTTTTATCGAAGAAGCGACATATGGCATTGGTGTCGATTTCGCGACCGTGTTCTCGGTATCCAGTGCCAAAGTAGGGTATGCTGCCTTCTAGCAACGCGGCGCTGCCGAGTTTCTCGTACGGTTCTTCCTTTTCTTGGTTTCTCAGTCGATATTTAGAAGTTGGTGGTTCAATAGGGCCTTGTGGCGCGGGCGGAGAGGATGAAAGGTCAGGCCATACTGTCGAGCATTTTGTGCTGGAAAATGACCACTTTTCCGGGTGTTGTTGTGTCGGAGGCGGCCAAGTCAACGGGTCGGGCCAAAGCGGTTTCACATTAGGCATTCTGTAGGTTCCATCCGCTTCGCAGAAGAAGTTCATACTACGCTTGAAGGCAGGGGTGACTTCATTTTTGGGTTTAGCTTCGTTTTTGGAGTGGTGGTTTATAACCTTCACACCAGAAGGATTCGTCGCGGCGTTTGGATACACTGCACACGACGGGTCTGGGTAGTTATCTAATCCACGTGAGCAAGACAGTTCGTTCAAAGAAGCCATTTTATCGGAGAAGTATATGGGTTGGTGTTGAGGAATCACAAAGGCTATGTCTTTCTCCTCGTGAAATTACCTATTGATGCATGCAAGGTTATAAGAAGCCATCATTGCTAAATAGTAAAGAGTTGCGTCGCATCATTCCCGTTCACTAATACGTAGCAGAACTAGAGTTGAAGAATGTTATAGTAGAATAATTGATGCCTCTTCAGGAGGCTTATACTCAAATACACTGTAGGTGAGTGGTTGAACGGTAGTAACTGCGAACACGGAAGTGCCGCGACTAACACTAGAAAACGTGCGAACCATGGTAAGTCCGCACTAAATATAGTTATCATGTGCAACATTGATTTTTCGTTAGCTTTTAGTTATTGTTCTTCGTATCTATACGTTTAATAAATTCTAAAATTGTAACCCTAATTCGTTGTATAAGAAGAAGTAGCTTGAAGAGAAGTACAAGAGAAAAGTACAGGTGACAAGAAAGCACGTATTTAATACCAACGCCCTTCATCACCATACATTTTATAGAACAAAAGACATCTACGTAAGGCGAAGTACCGTGCGCATGTTGCTGAATGTAATAAGGTATTGAGGTTTATAGAGGTTTAATAATACTCGTGTAACATCCTCTGTGTGTGCAACCGTTTTAGGATGCATCTTCGTGCTAAGTTCTTCTTTTTGTAAAAGATTAGCACGAACAAAGTTTTAGATCTCCGCTCCGACTAGTGTTACCGTATATCTGTGGGAAGGTGGTTGCAGCTCCGCTGTATGATAGAAATAAGCTTACCCATGTGGTGTTGAACAGAATTCACGCTCAACTTGTCTGCGATGCGGCCGACCCGAGAGCGAGCGATGTACAGGGCGTACTCTTTCAGAAGCGCTATGCCAGGAAGAGCAACTCTTGGTGTGAAGTATGTTGCATCCGTGTTGGTATCGGGGTATATATCGTTCATGAACTCTGTAAACCATTGTCGTGACATTTTGTATTCTTGTTCAGTTATGTTTACGATACGTGGAATGGAGGGCGGCTGAACCAGTGGGTTTTGGTCTTTGATTTGCTCTGGGCTGAGCTCCGCTTGAGCTCTCTTGAACTAAGAACTGCGCTTCTCAGCAGTAGTGAGCTTGCGGTGAGTGCTGCCTGGTGAGGCCATGGTGCCTCGATGTTATGATGAGAGAAATGAGTTGGCGATGCTTGCAGCGAGAAGTAGATTGCAGACAAGACCGGAAACTAGAGGGAAGGTAAGTTTCTGGCGAGGTATAGAGAAGAGGAGTGAGAGTTGGTGTATGAAGGTGAAACGGAAGTGCAAGAGTGAGAAGGTGGTTCGATGGTGCGGGGTGTTACATGCAGGAGTGATTGTTTACTTTATTTGTTGTGGAAGGCACTCCTCGTGCCTGCTCTCTTTCCTCACGGTTGCCCTCTATTGCTCAACGCACAAGAAATAACGTCGCTTTTATAAATGTAACGATGGTGAATTTGATAACAAGTTGAATTTCCTATGAAAATTTTGGAAGCAGGAATAGTTAGGTTCGTCAAACGGCTTCAAGATCTTTTCGTGGAAAATGCCCAAAACCCGTTAAGTCTGCCTCCCCTTTCATAGTCAAAGGCATTCCACTAAACCGTGACGCGCCTGCTCAAGTGAGCCGTCCGATGCCTCGACGCGCATATTAAGCTCAGAGATACTCTAATAGTTACTTAAGAAAAAGTCGCATAGAAGTATAATTTCGGATACCACTATAGTGAACGCGTAGCTCTTATCCCGCGGACGAGAGGTATACCTTGGTTTCAGCTAACGACACGTTAACACCAGCCATGAATTGTAGATAATACTTTGGCTCCTGATGGTCTTTTTCCAACGCGGTTCAAAACCTTACCATGGGCTAATGGTGTACTCTTTTGATGATCTCGATGTCGTGTAGGATCTGACGTGTGACATCTTCGAGCTGTAGCTTCCATTCATATACTACGCGGTCGTGAATCATCTCTAGGAAGAGAGAAAGTTGCACGGTTATAGATCGTCTCTAAGAAGAGAGTAATGCTATAGTATAGGATTTTCCTACCTAGGTCGGTTTTCTTTATAATGGCGTGAATGTCGACAATGAGGTCGGAGCTAATGTCGCTCAAGGATGGATGCCAGGTCTAATGTGGATATTACCAAACGATGGGCAGTAGGTAACTTGCTAGCAGTATCGAGACCTTAACTTCTTGGATGAGCCTGTCGGCTTCTTCTTTCTTAAGGGGTTCAGTGAAGTCATAGAAGGCTATAGTGCCTTCGTTGCTCGGCTTCTTAGTCAGCCTCGGCGCGAGCTTGATCAATGTATCCCTTATCGCCTTCGCAGCTTTGAGGTCGTCGGTTGTCTCCCAGATGCAATATTGCATGAAGATGGCATTGGATTCAGCGACTGGTCTGGTTACCGTGAGGGGGTTGGGCAGCCTCCTGTTGTCCGGGTCAACCATGGATACCTTGACCCTCTCCGCCTCCTTCTTGGTCTTTGATGCATGGTATTTGCATGCAGTTCCAAGTGCTGTTCGGCTCTGCTTGATCTGGGCGTTGTGTGAGATATTGTCCCAGATCTCAGAGAAATAAAAGATCATGTCGCCCGCGATGAGGCGCGTGTCGCAAAGACCCACCGTCTGGTGGCATGCCACGTAATACTTGATGCTTCCGTTGGCGATGGTCTCGCTAGTAGGAACTATCGCTCTTAGCATGTTGGCTTCTGCTAGAAGAACTCCTATGTTCTTCTTCTTTTTGTCTTGCTCACTGTCTCACGCCCGGGTAGAGCCTTTAGTGGAATACTTAGAAGGCTTGCTAGCAAGTGATAATCTGAAGACAAGGCATTAAATCGTCTTAGGCATCTCTTGTTTCTCTTCACGGATAAGTAAGATACATAGGGTCTGCTTTCTAGGCAGGCTGCCTAAAGTAGCTTGGTATGGGATTTTCAGCTTCGAAAATGAGTTATAGTAGTTAATTAAGTAGAAATCGAGAAAGCTTCTTCGGCACTAAAACTTAAAAAAAACTTCTACATACATCTTAGAAGTTGGAAATGAATTAACTTTTTTACTATAATTTTCTTCGCGAGTCGTATAATCTTCTTGGTGTTAAAGAGGGGAGACTTAGGCTGTTAACCTTATGGATTCCTTTAATTTAGCATGTATCACGCTTTTCAAGATTACTCTAATACTAAATCTAGCTATGAATAAATACTACAGTATACCTTAGACCTAAGAGACGGAGGACTATCGTAAAATCTTCTTCACTCTTCAGCAACATGATTGCAGTCGTAAAAGAGAGTTTTGAAGAACTGGAAGAAAACAAGCGCAGCTTACCTTGCTGATGTTTCGTAATGCATTACACGATGCCTATTAGATTAGAAAAAGCCTAGAAGCCTTGACGTAACAGGATTGGTATTAGAAAAGCCCGAGGAAGCAGAGGCTTTGCAATAAGAAAATCCCTCGCGTCTTTAAGATGAAGACCATTAAGTAATACATAGGAAGAATAGATAAAGCTCAACCCGCATCCCTCTTCAGCACCACTAGCTGAACTGTCGGAGTTCCTTATTCCATACCCACAATCGCATTTCACCCCCACCACCCCCGCACCTCTCCAACCCTACCCCGCCCCCTCTTTCCCCCCTTCCCCAAGCACCACCACCACCACCAAAACCTAATGCTTGAAATCGCTGCCTTCACCGCCCCCTCCGCCATAATCGCCTCCCAGTCCGGTGCCACGCGCATCGAACTCTGCACTTCCTACGCCCTCGGCGGCACCACACCTTCCCACTCCACCCTCTCCATCGTCCGCAGCGCAACACCCCTCCCCATCACCGTCATGATCCGGCCGCGCGGCGGCGACTTCGTGTACAGCACTTCCGAGTACAGCACTATGGAATCTGAAATTGCCAGCTTAAAGGGTCTGGCTGATGGATTCGTATTCGGGATTCTAGATGCAGAGGGACGGGTGGATGAGGAGAGGTGTACGCGGCTGGTGCGATTGGCGGAGCCGAGGGCGTGTACGTTTCATCGGGCGATTGATGATGCGAGGGATTTGCGGGAGGGAGTTGAGGCGGTGGTGAAGTGTGGGTTTAAGCGTGTGTTAACGAGTGGTGGGGAGAAGAGCGCGGTGGAGGGGGTGGAGAGGATATGCAGGCTGCAGGAGGTGTTTGGGGGAAGGATAGAGATTATCGCCGGGGGAGGGGTGAGGAGTGGGAATGTTGGGGTTGTGAAGGGGACGACTGGGGTGCCGTGGGTGCATTCTGCGGCTGTGACGAGGGAGGGGGAGGAAGTGGATGGGGAGGAGGTTAGGAGGATTAGGGAGTTGTTGGAGGGGATGTAGAGGTAGTTCATTAGGTGGTTTATATATACATTAGATGTGTCGCTACATACAAGTACAAATAGTGTGTGTACCGAATGTCTGGTCTGAAGACTAATCAGACTAGATCAAAGCGTACATGAGAGCACCGAGAAGAGACATTCCAAATGAGGCAGTGCCATCAATACCGACGCATCCTGCACCTCCCGTCTTCGTAGGTTGAGCAGCATCTGTCCTCGTCTCCGTCACAACGGCTGTTCTGCCAGCAACAGTCGTAGCTTGTGTGATGGTTGTAGCAGGGATCGTAGTCTCAATCTGCTGTCCACCCACAGTCGCCGTAGCAACAGATTCAGCAACTGTCGTCGGTGCAGTATAGGTAACTGGAGGGAGTGTAGTAGTGAATACAACAATCGAGCCCAGTTCTGATACAGGAATGGCGCCACCAACGCCCGTGCCAGTGAACTGCGGTGGAATCGACATGGTCGATGTATTGGGCCTCTCTGCCTCGTTGCCAGAGTAGATATTTGCGCTTTGTCCGTCTTTGGTGTAGTTTCCGCTAATCAGGTTTACATCCGTGCCGCCAGAATGGTAATCTCCTGTTGCGATGGTGCCGTAAGAGCCATCTGGAAACTGAAAGTTGGTCGTGAATTTATCGTAGCACATTGGGATGTTGAGGTTCTGGAGGTTCACGCAGTCAAGACTGGGGTGGCAGGCGAAGCCCTCTGCGCGCTCGTTTATAGAACGCGGCTGGAATGAGATGCCTTGAACTGAGGCTACGACATTGGTGTAGAGCGAGCTGAGGCCCGGTCCGACGGAAGGAGGTGTCTCGGTCGTTGCGCCTTGAGGTGTGCAGGCCTTGTAGGAAGCTTCGTCGTCTTTTTTGAATCCTTCAAAAGGCGATGCAGCAGCCACGGCGGCAAGAGCGAGGGACAGGTATTTCGGGATCATGGTGACGTTGTGGCGGTGGATTATGATTGATTATGGTTATTGCACAATGTAGTGCTGAACGATTGACGAATACCACAACTGGCAATGAATGGCGAGGGTAAAGAATGGACACCTGAGCGAAGGAAGATGGGTTAATCCAACGGCTAGGGAGAGGCGAGGGCGGCCCTGAATCTATATACCGCGATTGCAGCCCTTGCATGCGGTACTAACAGGGTTCGTTAGACTGCTTTTCTAGCCAACAACGAGTATCACGCGTGCAACTGGCACTATCTAGTCGAACGCACGCTAGTATACGAGAGACAATCGTCAATCGAGGGGAATTGTTCTTTGTTGCGCATTCGCCCGATTTATCCCATCTGAATAGAACACTACCTTGGTATGAGACTCGACGAAGAGCGGGTTGCGCACTCATTGAAATCTGCCCTTCAGTTCCAAAATCCTCTTCGTGTTCGCGATTTCTTGGAAAAACGTCAACGGCAATCCAAGATTCTGCACCAAGGAAGCGATTTTATTGACTAGGGGTTCGATACGGCAAGGCGGCAACAAGTGGAGTACGACAACATCTTCTCATTCGCCAGAGGCACAACTAAACAATATCCCATTTTTTCTTGCCCTCCAGACAAAAACCGGCCCTAAAAAAGCGTCTTGGACTCGCCCCATCTTTTGCAGGCTGGGCTCGCTTTTTGTTTGGGTTGGGAGAAGTGGCAGCTGGAGCAACAAAGAAAAGTGCGGGTTGCAACGTCATGATGGGACGCCTTGTTCCCAGCAATGAGGGTGCGGCTGGTTGGTTCCTGGCGGTGTATGCACTGCGTTGTGAGTAATCCACTTATATCACATGCAGTGTTTTGCAGGGCTATAATTTCCGCTAGGAAGCGATGGAATTATGTGTTCGAGTAAAGTTGAACACGTCTTGACGCGTTACTGGATGTTCAGATGGAGGTTGTGCGGAAGTCGTACCATGACTCGTCTCACACGAATCGAGTTCAGCCTCATTGCATCTGCTCAGGGTAATCGTCTGATCCTACTTTCTCAGGACAATACAAGCAATGTATACATGATAAGTATTTTATTTTTCAAGCTGTTTCACCGTAACGAACCACGTGCGCCCCCCTTTTGTACCCCGCCATTTGCCAAGCAGCGTGCGGCCTACTTAAAATAGCATACGGGCATCCGAGTAGGTACCGGTGCGAATTGTTTCAATATGCCATAGTATCACCGAGGTTGCGGCTGTAACGGCATGTTCATGCTACTGGTATGCAGGGACAAAGCAGTGCATCTGGACAAGATGTGGACTCAGGATTCCCGAGACCCGCATCTCTGCAGTGTGGGTCATTGATGTCCTTATGGAAAAGGGTCGAGAAGCTTAGCAGGTTATTTGAACTGCAGCTGCGGAAACTGATAAGACGAGCAGCCGAAATCTTGTAATTCATCTGATCCGTCTTCGCGAGAGGACATAACAGTGGACTCATAATCGTGTTTAGGATGCAGTCAATCAACTCCATGTATTTCTCCTATTGTACCGTAAAAGAAGCCCCTCGGCAATACTGCGATGAATTGAAACTTACAACTGTTTAGTTCGCATGTCAACTGAGCTTGTAGAATGAAACATAGCAATCCACGTGACTATTGATTTGAAACTATTCAACTCTCAAACACGATATAGAGAACAACTGGCCACATGAGCAAGGCAAGTGCAATGCAACATTCATGGCAGCAATGCATCTACTGGACGCATTTACACCCCACCCCCAGATTTCCTGCAAAAAGCACGCCAAGCTTTGTCTAGACCCGCAACGCCAAGTTCCCTTGAAGCTTGGATGATTCAGACTGAAAGAAACATGAATCGATGCGTACACTGTCAAACGTGACCTGGTCGGAGAAAAGCATGCGCTAGAAGAAACACAGGGTAACTGCCGAGGCCAGCACGAACTCAAGGAGACAAGTCCTTTGGAGGGAATTCAATCGCCCTAAGGCTGGGACTTCGATCTGAGGAAATTATTGAAAGAATTAGCACAGATCGATGGTTCGGTAATCGCAGTTAGAAGTTGGGGCGGGCTGAGATGGTGCATGCACATGGCTGGTCTTGTTGCTCTTCTCCTCGGCAGAAGTGCATTGACATGATTGACACAATCGACACAGCCACTCGAGATGCAGCAGTTCCGTGCGCAGTCTTTGCATCATGCAATTGCAATCAAGATGCCGCCGTAAGAATCAGGATCGGCAGAGCTTGTACCGTACTCTATCTGACGCTGGAATCTGGGCGGGGGGGAAAGGGAGTAACTGAACGAGACGAGATCAAACACTGGCCAGACCGGGTCCAAGCTACCACGCCCAGTGACATCATGGCGCCCGTACCTGCAGCGACACGCAACCCAGGCTTTTTGTATAACTAAACCTGCTGCTCTCCATCACTCACCACTACACTACGCATTAGTGTGGCTGTGGCTTGCGACTGCTACGTATTTCTTCCGGGCCTCTGTCTCCCTGCCCTCGCATTCCCTTGTCTTCTTCAGCTCGCCATTCTTTTCTTGAGGAAGAGCAGCACGTCTTCGCCTCCTTGGTTCCATTCGCTGTCATTATTACAACACCAGCATGGTTCAACAACGCACATGGCAGCACGCGCTGCAACTGGCCGCCACTCTTGGTCTCGCCGGTGCAGTTGCAATTCCAGAGCCCACGGCTGTCCCAGCAAAGGTGGTCGAGGTCCGTGAGCCACTCGTCACTCCAGCCGCGGTCCGATTCGACAGCCGCATGAGCTACGTGCAGAGAGACATTATCGACGATATCAAGAGCGGCGTCGGGGGCTATGCGCAGTCCCTAGGTAGTGTGCTGGGCTCGGACCTACCCAGCTTCTTCACCGAAGGTAAGCAATCATTCGGGGATAGAGCGCGCTAATAAAGCTTATGCTGACACTTCTTCTCTAGGCATTCCCGCTTGGTTCGAAGGCCTCCCCACCGGCTCTCAAGTCCTCAAGTCTCTCGACATTGGCGACGATGACTTGGCTTCAAAGCCTACCCAAGTCCTCAACATCCCTCCGTATGCGAACTGGACCGATCAGGGCTGGAACGTCCGCTTCCACGGCAATGTCTACAAGTTCCCGGACATCGATCAGAAAAAGGTCGATGACCTGGCCAATGTTTTCTTGATCGACACAAGCATCGATAAGCTGCCTCAGAACCAGCAAGAACAGGCACGCAACCTCACCCGCTCCATCTTCATTGTCCAGCAAGGTGACCAGAACGTTTCCATGAGCCTTGAGCCCTCGCCCATGCAAGGCGCCGACGGTGAGCCCGGTGGTGGTAACTCGGTTCAGGCACCTGGCGGAACCCAGTCCCTTACCCTTCCTTACGAGACTACCGAACTGGGCGACTTTGACGTCTTCGTACCCATCCAGTTGAACGGCCTCACACCCGGTAACCAGACCAACAACGTTCAGCGCCTCAATGTTCATACCAATGGCACGGATAGCGGCAATGCCACTGCCTTCCTTGTCCCCCCTCAGGGTATCACCTTCATCTCAGATATTGACGACATCCTGCGTGTGACCAAGATCTACGAACCCAAGGAAGGTCTCCTCAACAGCTTCGCCCGCCCCTTTACTCCCTGGGAGAACATGCCCGACATCTATGCCAACTGGTCGCGTACTCTTCCCAACAACACGCACTTCCACTACCTAACCACCACACCTGAACAAGCTACCCGCCTCTACATGGACTTTATCTACAAGACCTACCCAGGAGGGTCCTTTGACACTCGCCCGCTCAACTTCTCCGACATCGAGGCCACCCTCTCCATCCGTCAGTACCTCCTCACCAAGGTTTTCGAGACATTCCCTCAGCGCAAGTTCGTTCTCGTCGCCGACACCTCAAACAGCGATGTCATGAAGGCCTACCCCAAGATGGCCCACGACTACCCCAACCAGGTTCAATGCATCTTCTTGCGCAACACATCAGCCACTGACGACAAGATGTGGTTCCCTTACAACACTGAGGGCTTCAAGGGCTTGAACAGCCGCAGCTACATGTTCTTCCGTGAGCCAAATGATTTGATGGGTCTCGACATTGTCAACGGACAGTGCCTGAACGAGACGATCCCGCAAAATGTCACATTCTCCAGGCAAGCAGAGATTCTCGGTATCCATGGAGACAGCGCTGGCAGCAGGATTCAGGGTGCCTCAACGCTTAGCTTGGTTTTTGCCTTCCTTGCTGCTGTCGCGTTGTCGATGTAAATACACATGGATGACGACACAATCAATGTTGAATGAAATGAGCGTACATGAAGGATGGCGTTTTGCTTGGTAAACATGTGTGGCGTTGGGGTCTCTAGTGCAGCGCACTTGGTCTTTGTTGTTTCTGTCTTACTCTTCCTTTGTGTATAACATTGATCCTGTACAGGGTCGCAGTTGATAGGCTATGATACATACGATACTTGTTCACACTTTCTGTCCCACACTCTCATGCCATGTTATTCTAAGTGACTACTGATTTTCCCATCCTCCTACCCACACACGCTCTCTTCAAACCGCCTCGCAATCTCCAACATCTCAGCATCTAACCTCGATCCACTCAAGAAAGTCACACTAAATGGCAGTACACCCCCATCTTCCCTCTTTCCACTCAACTCCTTGACTGGATACTCCCCCGCCGGCACCGCAACCCCGCACAAATCCAACACATTCCCACAATGCGTAAACTCGCCCAGCACGCTATTCTTCCTGATGGGGTCTTCCAGCACCTCGTCAATCCGCCAATGCGTCGGCGTCGTCGGCACAACGAGCACGTCGATTCCGTGCGCCGCGTACGCAAATACTTCTTCTGCCTGCCGCGTATACAGCGTTTTAGCTTGTAAGTCACGGTACGCATCTACCGCTGAGCTCTTTCTTTGGACCACGGCATCCATGAGCTGTGCGGTTACAGGGTGTAATCCCGCGCGATTTTTCTCGAGGAAGTCATCGGGGAGGGAGGCGAGGCGCTCGGATACGAAGGTGCCTTCGTACAGTAGCTCGCCTGCTTTTTGGAAGGGGGTCCAGTTTATTGGGGTGAGGACGCCGCCGAGGGATTGGAGCTGTGAAACTGTGTCGTTGAACAGCCGGCGTGTAGGGGCGGAGCAAATAGCCAGTGCTTCCGGTGGTGGGATCCCGAATTTGAAAGTTGAAGAGCGAGGGCCGATGCTGTTGATGTGGCGTTCGAAGGCTAGTGTTGGTTTCGAGTAGGGGTCGAGAGGGTCGTAGCTTTCCAACACTTGCCAGAGTGTTCGGGCATCTGTGATGGTTTTTGTAGCGAGGGCTATGCAATCGAGGGAGAGGCAGGCGGGCGTTATGCCGCGGAAGGAGATAGTACCGCGTGTAGGTTTGAAGCCGACGATGCCGTTTAGACCTGCGGGAACGCGACCGGAACCTGCAGTGTCGGTGGCGAGGGAGAAGGAGACGAGATTTGCGGCTACGGAGACGGCGCTGCCGCTGCTGGAGCCCCCGCTTATGTACGAGGGGTGATAGACGGAGTGAGGAGTGCCGTAGGGACTGCGGCAGCCGACTAGGCCTGTGGCGAGTTGGTCGAGGTTTGTTTTGCCGATGAAGAGGGCGCCTTGGGAAATGACTTTTTCGTAGACGACGGCCGAGGTGGAGGGGATGTGGGCGAGGGGTGGGCAGGCGGTTGTGGTGGGGAGGCCCGCGATGTCGATGCTGTCTTTGACACTGAAGGGGATGCCGAAGAGAGGGGGGAGAGCGGTTCGATCGGGGAATTTGGTGGTTAGTTCTCGAGCGGCTTCTAGAACAGATTCGAGGGGTCGAAGGTGGATCCATACGGCTGGGTCGATCTTTTTGTATGCTCCGAGTTTTCTGTAGACTGCTTCGACGACGGTCAGGGGTGAAAGGCCATTCTTGTAGGCTCGCTGCAGATTGGATATTGTGAGGTCGCCATCGAATTCGGGTGGTGTTTGGGGAGGCGTATAGCCGAGTTGAATCTGGTTTGTAGAGAAAGGTTTGAGAGCCTCAACCAAGGGCTCCAGGCTACCGACGAAGCCGAATAGGCCTTGTGACCAGTGGATCATGTCTAATGTTGACTTAAAGCATGCATCATTGTATCCACTGGTTGCTTCTTCGATGCCACAGCATTCGAAACCACGGTCGTTTGCTTCTCGAATGGTTGTAGCAAAGCAGCATTCTGTAGTGACGCCCGATACAATCAAATGTGTAATGGCTCGCGCTTTGAGCTGATGTAGGATGGGCGTGTTCCAGAATGAGCCTTTTCCAGGCTTATCGATGACTACCTCGCCAGGCAGCGGCTTTAATTCATCGATGATATCATGGCCGTATTCCCCTCTGGTCAACAGGCGACCCAGTTCCCCCTTGTCGCCAATGACTAGTTTGTGCTGGGTGTTGCCAGGCGCTGCTTCTTGCCTGGTAAGCTTTGATGAAGGGCAGTCTGAGAGGTCCGGTTTGTGGCCTTCGCGTGTATGAACAATGGTCATGCCTGCGCTTCGACATGCGTCTAGGAGTCGTTTGGTGGGCGCAATGGAAGCTTGAACTGCTTCCAAGTTTCCACCCTGGATCTCACCGAATCCTTTAGGAAGTAGAAAGTCGCGCTGCATATCTATGATGAGCAAGGCAGTATGATTCAGGGGGAAAGAAAAAGCGTATGGCTTTGCGTCAAAAGAGACCATGTCGGGTTTTGCAGTTGGCTTCGCCATAGTGTCTAAGTATGGGCGTTTTCTTGACACTAGTCAAGATAGCATCGAAGGAGAGAGACGAAATGTTCAAAATAAGCTGAATGGATGATGGTGATAAAAGAGCACTAAGAATACAGCAAGGTGCCACATCTTTAGCACACAACCCATTCTGAATGAAGATTGTCATCTGCGAACTGCCCGAAAGCGGAGTATGCAGCGGGCCTACGGCGGGCGGCGGCGCGAGAACTCTGGGGTCTTATCAGGACAGTATCAACCCTGATTCGGTTTAGCGCGTCTTCTGATAAGCCCCCGCTCCTGGATACCCAAGTCAAGACAGCCCTGGTTTCTCACTCTACGGCTCATATCGACATGGCTCTGCCGAAAATCATACACATTCCCCCCCATTTTTCCTGGTGCCGAAAGCTCCTATCTTGATAGGCATGGGTTGCCATGATGGAACCTCCAATGTGGATATCTGCGGAAGTGGTCTTGATACGGGCAACATGCCCTAGCCAAGTTGTCTTTGGTATTAAACATATCGCTGGTAGATGAATATGAACAAGAATTTTGGTGTTTGGTTTATGTTCTTCACACTCGAAGATACAAGACCATGTCAGTACTTAAGGCGAGACTTAAGGCGAGGCTTGCACCTCATCTCCATCTGAGGGTTCCGTTTAAGAGCGGAAAGTATGGCTCACGCTGGTCGAACCAAGGTGCGTAGCCATTCGAGACTTCCTGGCTTGCATAGATACTGACGATCTACTTCACAACAGATATGGATCCGATCCCTCCGGAACAGCGCACCTGGGGCGCTCTGGATTACTGGGCATATTGGTGTGCGGATATGCTGGCTCCTCCTCTGATCTCGACTGTGAGCAGTGTTATGGCTCTAGGATTCACAGCTAGAGAAACAATCCCGATTATCTTTTTCGGTTTTGCCATTTGTAGCGTGGTCATCACCCTTACTGCTAAGATGGGTGCTACGTACGCTGTCTCCTTCCCAGTCATTGTTCGCAGTGTTTTTGGAATGTATGGTTCCATCCCAGCCATTGCTATTCGATCTTTTGTCGCCATGATCTGGACTGCTATCCTCACAGTTCAAGCCAGCAATTACCTCCAACGCTGCATCGAAGCCATATGGCCGAGTTTCATCACTTTTCCGAATCACCTGCCCAAGAGTGCTGGGATTGATTGTAAGTGTCCATGTTTGCTAACAGGGTGACCAGTCTCTAACGAAATATTAGCTGCTGGGCTGCTTTGCCTGTTCTTGTACTGGTTCCTACAAACTGGGCTGGCGCTCATGAAAATTTCCAAGTTGCGTGTTCTGTTTTGGATCAAGAGCATCGTAGTGCCCCCGACGTTTTTGGCCTTGTTTATCTGGGCTGTTACAATCACAAAAGGGTGAGTTCCCTTTGTAATCTAACATAACGTAAGATACTAATTTGTTTGTCAGTGGCGGACCGCTCATCAAGGGAGAAATGAAACTGACTTCAACGTACATGAATACTGCCTACTCAGTGCTAAAAGGACTCAACGCTGTCATTGGGCTCTTCTCTTCGTTGGCAACCAATATGCCCGATTTTGGCAGGTTTTCCAAAAACCGGATGTCTGGCAACCATCAGTTCCTTGCTCTTCCCATAATTGGAACACTTGGGGCATTGACACCGATATTTGTCACTGACGCCCATTCATATCTATGGGGCGAGTTTGAGTGGTACATGCCGAATGTTATTGCCAAGTTCGACTCCCGAGCAGCAAAGTTTTTCGTGTCTGCCAGCTTCCTCCTTGCGACCATCGGCAATCAGATTGCAGCGGGTACCTATCCATTCTCAAACGACGTATCGGGTATGATGCCAAAATATATCAACAACTTCAGGGCCACCGTCTTTCTCTCAATATTTGCCATTGCCTGCACTCCTTGGAATATTGTTAACAATGCTTCGGGCTTACTTGCCTTCCTGGGCGGCTACTCCTGCCTCATGGGACCTCTTGCAGGCACAATGATCAGCGATTACTACCTTGTCAAGAAGAGTAAGCTCGATGTCGATGAGCTATACACCTCTTATGGTATCTACTGGTATGATTACGGCTGGAACTGGAGAGCCTGGGTATCTTTTCTGACGGGCGTCGCGCCCCTCTTGCCGGGCTTTGCGAAAAGCATTGATGGCACGCTTGATATTGGTGGCGCATGGAAGATTTACACATTCGCGTGGGCTTTTGGAATTTGCCTCTCAACCTCCACACACTATGTGATTTGTACGTACATTTCTGTGCCGACAAAGTCACTGGTTGAGTTTGCTGTATATCCCCCACAACTCGAAGATGTCGCATCGTCTGTTCTCGAAGGCGAAGAAGTCTCAACCAAGGAAACGACGGTCGCGAAAGCGAAGGAAGTAAAAGAAGTAGTTTAGATAATTATGATGATAAATCTACATCAGGGATGGTTTCGTCTTTGTAAAGAAAATTTGAGGCCAAATCAAAGAAATTTTTGTTCCTATGCTGTCGCTTTTTCAATGCCCATGTCTTCGGGGCACCATGAAGCTGACATTGCTCTTAGTGATACAGCTGATTAATCCCTGCTTGATCGGCGCTCTGGTTGGCTTGGCTGTTCCCGTTTCTTATCGTGTGCCTCAACGACCTCTCAATTAGTTCACTCTCATTTTTGATGGTCAATCAGACGATCATTGGCTCCAGGGTCTTCTCTACGGCGATGGATAGTTAGATCCGAAATTCATCAAGAATCAGGCTTGTTCAATGGACTATGTTCGTAGCGCACTAGGGAGCATCACAACAAGCTACCAGGCGTTGTTTGGGCGGATATGAATCAGTCACAGCAACAATATCAACCGCAGACAAGGACTGCCAATTCTATCGGATCACATCTATCACACAGAAGGCTCTATATCATAGATTCTTGCCAGCAGCCATGGAAATTATCCCGGATGAGATTTTCGCACCAAGCCACTTCTTTCCACAAGTAATCAACTCCCAAAACACTCCCAAAGCAAGATCACGACGCCCATGCGACCCTTGTCGTCGGCGCAAGTCAAGATGCGAAAAACCAGATGACCATCAACCCTGCCTTCTGTGCCGCTTTCACCACCAGGAATGCACATTCAACGAGAACCCGCCACCGCGAAAACGACGAGCACTAACGATCAACGCCAGCCCAGAGCCCAGCGAATCTATCCCAAATCTACTGGCATGTTCACCAAATAGTCGCAGGAGCAGTACTGCTGCCTCTACATCACCTCAGAATGCGCCCACCACAATCCGTCAGGATCCACCAATAGATGATTACGCGAACCTTCGTGGTCCCTCGCTTCTGAAGAAGACGCTGGGCTTGCAGACTGGTAGGCACAGCCGTCTTCTTGGATCTACTTCAGAGTATGAAAAACTCCTACTTGCATATGAACCAACTCAAGGCCCCCAAAATCCCGGTTCGTCTGCTGGACCGTCTACGTTGAAGCGAGTAGAAGACATAGGCGCCACAACATTCATCTCATTGCCCGATGTTGGCTCACTCAACCACCAGCATGATATGCCAGATCTAGACGCGATTGAAATAGCTGTCGCGCCTCATGGATCCGCTCTGATCCACCTGTACTTCCGGATTGTCCACCCTAGTTTTCCCATATTGCATAAGAAAGTCTTTCTAGAAAAGTATGCACGCACGCATAGGGAGTTTTCGCCGCCTCTCCTTGCTGCAGTTTATCTACTAGCTCTAGACTGGTGGTCGTATTCGAGTGAGTTGGCCTCGCTACCGAAACCGGATGTGGCTTATCTCGAGGAGCTAGCCATGAAATCGTATAGTAATATCATCCACCGGCCCAAGCTCTCGACCATACAGGCAGGTTTACTGCTTCTCCAGCGACATGAGGGGAAAAGCTGGGCGATGACGACGCAACTTGTTGGCCTTGCTCAGGACATGGGTCTCCACCTCGATTGCACAGAGTGGCACATTCCAAGCTGGGAGCGGGGGCTTCGAAAGCGCCTGGCGTGGGCTGTATACATGCAGGACAAATGGGGCTCTCTCATCCATGGCCGACCCTCGCACATCACGCCATCAGACTGGGAGGCGCAACCACTCAACGAATACGACTTCCCCGAAAATGCTGCAGACGAAGACGATGAAGATGGAAGCACAGAAGTGGAGAAGGGTCGCGTCTTATTCTGCTACATGGTCGAGCTCACAAAAATTCTGGCAAGAATTCTAACAACTTTTTACACGATCAAGGCTGAACGCGAGTTTGCATGCCGTGGAAGTGAAGGCGTGCGCTCGCTTCTCGACACTGCAAAGCCGCTGCAGCTTGCCCTGCGTCAATGGTATGCCGACATGCCGCCAACTCTCAAAATGCAAGATATTGCTGCGAGGAAACTTTCTAGTGTAGGCTATCTTCATCTCGGCTACTATGCCGTTGAAATGACGTTACATCGGCGCATCATCCGCTCTTTGTCGTCGGCAGACGATGCAGAGCTGTGCTTCATTTGCCGGCAAGCAGCACAAACACGACTCACTTCAGCCATGAGATTTGTTCAATCTCTACGACCCGAGCACCATCAATCATTCTGGTACTCTGCGTCAAAGTACAACTTTGTCCTCATCGGCTCGTTTATATCCCTTCTGTGGGTGACATCCAATACTGAGGACGAAGCAGCCCAGTACCGAAAGAAGCTAGATGAATACAAGTGGATGCTGCGCCTGTCGAGTAAATCGGCAGATTTTCTCGGGTCTGCACTGACGCTGCTCAACAATTCGACTGTCGCATTGGTGAACAAAGTGGCTGAAAATCTCGATACTCGCGGAGAAAAGACAGCCGGTCTGCTGGTGGCGAGAGATGCAGCTTCTGCGGCAGCGGGCCTTGCTCATTTGGATACAGTTCGATCTACGCCTCCTGATTTAGCGCTCGCTGGGGCCGAGGTCCGTGACAGCACTAGAGGCACGCCTCTTGATGGAAACAGCATGGACGAGCACTCGTGGTTCCAAGCGCTGACGGAAGGCGAGTTCCATGGCGCATAACAGAGCACAAGATGAACTCATAGTAGTCAGTGTTGATGCGCCAATGCGGCATTTCGTAGAGTAAGTAAACTTTGTTTTGCTCCAAGGAAACGATCTATCAATTCGAGACCTCGCATTGAATTGAATGCATTTGAAAGAGTCCGAGTGCGATCCATTGGCCATGATCAACCTACTGGTGATGCATTTCAATTGTGCTTGTTCGTGGATCATATCCCTTGATTCGCCAAATCCCACATTGAACCCAGTTAGCTCAAGCCTCGAAAGAGTCGGGGTTCCAAAGACAAGAGTCGGCGCGTCGGAATGTCGGAACACAGACGCCAGAGATCTTCCTTGAGCCCAGAGCGAATCATTGCAAACAAGGCTGATTGACAAATGCGGACCCGCGATTCAAGTCTTGTGTAGTCATGAACGGGAGAGATGACGAGGATTGCACCCATATACTTTGGCGCTGTAAACTTTACCACCTCTGAAATTACCAAAACAAAAGGCGCATCTAGCCTCACACCCAGAATGATGCAGAGAAATTTGAAGGACTGCATTTTTAATTTCCTCGTTACCGAGATGGTGGAGTGGAAGAGGCTGCAGCATGGCAGCTGACTGCACGTGGGCAGTAGTCAAGTCTGTGGGACCAAAGGGCCCAAAGGACTTTTCTCTCCACCATCCTAAATCTGGTAGATGATCTAGCCCACACTTCCACATCCGCAACCCAAAACGAGAGGTAAAATAGATGCAGAACTAAAAACAAAAATCTATCAAGATAGTTGCAATCGCATTGCGTAGTCACGACGTGAATCATGGAACCATACGTAAATCATTATCCACACAACATGCCAAAATCCCGCAAACATTCCTTTTTTCCACGCCGTCCCCTTGAAAAGAAAAAAAGTTCCGTCTCGATCTTATCGCAAGAAACATCCGAGCAAAACAAAACAAAGGAAATCCACGCTTGGTTCACGAACAGTTACCAAAAAGGAACAGAGTCGGTATATATGACGTCATGCCCCTCACGCCCACAACAGCTAGCATACACGTTATCATTGCATCCACGGTTTCCACTTACTTGCTTTGTCTCCCACATCCGCAAATAGAAGGCACAGCCCAAAAAAAGGAGGACGAGCAGAATACAAGCGGTCAAACCCAAGCACTAGATCAACAATTAGTGAAGCGGAGAAATAAACGCACCATGTGCTCATCACTTCCTTCTTTACTGGGGTAAAAAGCGATAACAACCCTGTTAGATGCAAGATATTCCCAGGGTACCGGGGACCTAAAAAATCATGCAGGGTCCGTCGCATCCGCAGCGTGCCGCCGGGTCTTCTTATTGGGCAAAAGAGAAAGAGAGAAAAAGAGGGAAGAGGAGAGAGGGATAGGTGGTTATCATGGTGAGCATGATTGGCATGGTTAGCCCCGCTGCTAAAGAAGTGCCACGCGGACACAAAGGTTAATTCACGTGGTGGACAAGGGCGACAAGAGAATCAAGGAATGGAATACTAAGACTAGGAACTTGGAAACTAATGCACTTTGGAGAGAGGTGTAGAGTGTAAAAGACATCTATCATTGTAATCGTGATTATCAAAAAGACTAATAATACATAAAAATGATAAATCAAGAACCTAGCAGTTCAAATCACCAATGGATTAACCATCAGTCTGGGGGTATCGTTTTCTTCTCTCCTGATTTGAGCACTTCATTTCAGAACCCGTTTGCGCCAAATCCCATGTGCCTCTGTGCCCGCTAAAAAAAAGAATACTCGCATAAGCCATAACCATGTTGCAGTCATCAAGTACACGTCAAAAAAACATTAACAAGGTGATGAGTTGAACGAAGTATGAAAAACGACGTCGTCAAAGGCTCAACCTCACGCCCAGGTCTTGGATGTATTGAGGCCAAGCTCAAGATGCTGGGCAATAGCAGATGCGAAGTCACCGCCTACATTAGACGAATGGCGGCGGCGCTCACGGCGTATTTGGTGTTCTGCTTCCATGAGACGCTCCTGGATCCAGGCGCGCTGCTTCTCATCGTTACGGATACAGTCGGTGTTGAGCAGCTCAGTGAGAGTGGCCACAATCTGCTGGTTGATCTCAGCGAGCTTTTGAGGCTCTTCCGTGTGCATGTCGTCGACACTGGTACGCGAAGTTGCGCTTGTCCTGGAGCCGACAGGTATTGGGTCACTCGCTGTTGGAAAGGGCGAGGAGTACTTCGAGGACGTAGGGGATGACGAAAGAGATTGAAATTCGGGTGAGCTAGGAGTCATAGGTGCGTTGAAGGGGATCTCCATGGCCATACGACGTTGGAGAGCTTCTTTCTGGGCGGAAAGTAGCATGTACTTTTGCATCGATTGATGCTGGGCACCAGTGTTAGTACAGATCGCTTCATAGATTACTGTAGATGCACTTACCCGACACAAAGCGGGCCTTGGCATGGGGCTCATGTTGTCGTTCAACTTAGTATCGTCTGGCGTTTGCATTGTTGGCGGTTTGCAAGGTTTGATTCTGATTGTGTGGAGATGTTGGGCCCTGATACATATACCTCTTGACAGTGCCAAGAGCGTTGCGTAGTGGGAGATCGGCGAGGCCCTAGAAAGGTGGGTACCAAAGCCTAATCAATATGTGGATCGAAGTGGAGCCGGGACGACGAGGTGATGCTGCTGTGAAGCCTTGGTGACGGTGACGCGCAAGCGGTGGGACAAGAGTGGTTTATGATGGATGGATTCCAGAGATTATTTGACAACGAAGCGCAATCCCGAGCTTTATGGCTTTTGAGCAACTTAACCGCTTTGCAACGACACCTGAGTAGGCCATGACGTCCAGTGAGGAGACCCCATCCAAGACACGGCGCGGCTGAATCCGCCCTTCCAGGCTTTGAGCAGCCGGGCACGTTTCGCACTACCCAGTTGGGATAGCCAGGGGTTTTGGGTGGGTGGTGTTGTGATTGGTAGAGTCGTACCCTTTGTTGATCTGCATGAGTTGTGAGGGGACGGCTAAGCGAAATCACGTCACCGGTAGGGACTTGAAGTAGGACCCCCCTCGGAGTAGAATCGCGATCGTTCAAACCAGCCCACTGATAAGTGCCAACGAAGATCGTGATTGCGTGCTGTACCTGCATGGCTGTTGAGAAAAACGTTAGTGGGTTGCCTCTCACAGCTCAGCATGTGAGGATAACGACCGATGTCCATATGCAATTTTCTCAGTTCCATCACAATTCCATCATGATGCGAAATTGCGCATGCGTTACAAGAAATGACGTCGGGCTGATATCCAAATTATCCCAGCCGCACATCTCGACAAAGGACCCCTGGTATAGTCCAGACACGTCTCACAAATCACCGTCAGCTTATCGAATAGATGCCCGAGTAAGACATTCAGGTTGAGCTTCCAGCCAGGTTAGACAAATCCGGATTACCGAGCACAGCATCTGATTGCTACGATTGCAGGCCTACGTGATTATGGGGCGGAAATCAGGTTTGGACGCCACATTTGTGGCTCAGTCTCGCACGTGTGCCGGGTTCCGGCTTAGCGGTGACGTTCCTGTCCAACCCTTCAGCACTAATCATATTCCACGGATGAAGTGCCTCGCGTTGTGACCATGGATAAGGCTTCTAGATGAAGGTCCAAATCCTTCGCTGATGCAACGTGCCGCACGTCACATGAAAACGCCACGCTAGAGTCACATATGGACAATGAGCTCTGTAGAGGAACATGCTGCAATCTAAGTGGTACGCATTGATGCGGTCAGGGAACCTCCGTGGAAATCCTGGCTTTTCGTTTAGAGGGGTGTCCAATTTGCGAACACCTACGAAATTCGAGTCTACCACTTCCAGGTGTATGTGTCTTTCGGCATGAGCATGTTTAGGCTGATAGGATGCTTTGCGTCCAAAACTAAAGTTTGGTTCGATGAGAGTAGAACAATTGATGTAGTGTTTTTGAGAGTGTCAAAAAGACGTACACAGGCGTCACTCTTCAGCTACCTGTCGCTCCGACCAGAAACCTTTGCCATAGCTGATGAGAATTTCCTGGCCACGGGCGATACCCTTTGCCCTCTTTCCACTTTTGCCAGCACTGAGGACGAACACGCCGACTCGCTTCTCCACCTTGCCGTTTCGGCAGTCCACATATATGTCGCGAAACTCGGCATTGGGTGCGGACGAGACTCCTCGGTAGTCGTTGATGAAGCGGGCTTCGTTGCCCATCATGGACGCATCGACGCCAATACCTAGTTCTCGGTCTAGTGAGAGGTCGTAGTCGGATGTTTCATTGGTATCATTCTGATCGTGAACATAGCCTAGATATGGCAGGATGAACGAGTCTGGGGGGAGCTGCTGGTTAGCACAGAGAGCATGTTGCCCAAACGCTGGATGAGCAGAATCTGTAACTGGGATAATCTTGACATTGGTGTATGGTCCACTAGGGTTGTAAATGGGTACACTGGGATCCAAATGGGATTTTGGGAACATGATTGTCATGAGCTTCTCACGGGAGAGCTTCTTTGAATATGAAGGGGCATGGAGGTAAATGGCATGTCCGTCCCATCCCTTTGGTACAGCGGTTTGGGTCCTTGGCATTCTACAGTGAAGCCGGAGAGGCCGTCCGATGGCTAAAGGACTTGGGGGGGCCGCGGTTGACACGTTAGTTTCCGGTGATGGTGTCTGAGCAGATAAGAGGTGTTGGAGGCAGATTCTGGGTAGGTGGTGTTGGAGTAGAACAATGGCGCCCGGTGAGCTGCCAGCATGGAAGAGCAAGGCTGCTCGTGCTGCCTGAGAGCGAGGGGCACTTGCCTGGGCGGCGTGACTTCGGAACAGGGGGCGACTAGCGCGCGCCTGGATTTCCCTCACCGTCAATACCACCTTCACCAACACGACGCTACGCCTCACCATTCTCACCGCGACTCGATACGCTTTGTTGGACCCAAGGAAATGACCCCCCGCTTGGGGTAAGTCCGCACATGGTAGTGGAGATCGAGATGCTCGTGTTACGCGGTGCACTATGTGCTGCTTAACATATTTCGATATAGGTAAGCCGATGCCGCGATCAATGCGTAAGAGCTTACTGCTACTGTAGCGCCCACTAGATCCATGCGCCGCTCGAGGCGATACTGGATGCGAGATTACACGGTTCCGCCTGAATGTGTTACCGCCCGTAAGCCGGTGACGGATCACGCCTGACCCGACTTACTGCAGAAGAAGCTTGTCAAAACGACAACAGTGTAGAAGCCACGCGCAACTACAGCCTCGCGCTGACATCTGACAACAACCACTCACTCACCCTACTTAGATATGTATATACAACGCTCCGCCAGGCCACCACTGCCATGTATGTACAACACAATTGTTCATACAGCCATGTACAAACAAGCAGCGCATGTCGGTCGGTCCTTCACTCGATTAGTCAAAGGTCTAGAAGCCTGCGACGATGCAGGAACCCGTCAATATCCACTGGGAGCATGGGCCAATGACATTGCAACAGACGGCTTGGATTCGCGCCCTCTCCTTTCAGCAGGTGGCTATTTTTGCGTGCACGCGGGGAGGCTGCTTGATATGTCAATGAGTGGACACAGCGAATCTCGGGGCTGACGGGCCTCGGGGTGTCGCAATGCTAGCCCTTGGAGATGGTCCCTTGACCGTCGCTTTGTTCAGGTGTTCAGTGATGAAGCCAAGAGCGGTGTGGCCTACAGATGCCACGACGCGTAACTGAATCCACTTGACCAAGACGCTCAACATTGGCGTCGCCCTCTTGCATGTTTGTGCAGCCCGCATCTCTGCCGTCCTGCGGCTGGCGACCATAAGCTTCAGGAGAATCGCGCCTAGTGGGTGATTGAGCAGATTCGGTGTGCACAAGTCGCTCACTAGCCGACAGGGCTCCCAAAAGAGTTAGCATGGGAGTCGAGATCCTGAGACGACATGAGTCGCTTGGTAGGGAGGCTGTCGAACTCATTTCGTTTCTCTCCAGCATGCCCGTTCTAATTGGCTCGCCCAGCACGTATCAATAAACGACTCATAACGGCGGCCAATGTCGACGCTATCCACCACCTCCCCCTATTCCGTACTGTTTCCACGCACAGCCCGCGGCGCGGCGCTATCCCCGACGCCACGCTAAAACTCTTGTGATGCTACCGAACGAAGACGGCCACGTCCAAGTGCCCCCTGTTGATGGGGGTGAGCATTCTCGGCAAGGTCAGCTCGTGTGCAGTTGTATATAATGTCTTCCCCAGCGGCCTCTTTGATTTTTTCTCTACCACACACTCACTACACTCGCTAATACCCGGTTATCACCGATTACATTCGTTCTCTACGACCTCCTCCGCCCCTACTTAATACCAACCGTATTTAATACCAACCCCCTCAACACTCAAGATGCGTTCCTTCGCCGTTGTTGCTGGCTTCGCCGCCGTTGCCCTTGCTGCTCCTCACTACGAGGCTTACCCTGCCGAGTCCTCTGCTCCTGCTGCCTACCCAGCCAGCTCTGCTCCCGTTGCCTACCCGGCCAGCTCTGCTCCCGCTGGTTACCCTGCCAGCTCTGCTCCCGCCGGCTACCCCGCCGAGACTCCCTCTGCTCCTGCCGGCTACCCTGCCGTCACCCCCTCGGCCCCCGCTGTCACCACCACCGAGGTCATCTCCGCTACCACCTACGTCTGCCCCGAGGAGACCACCATCACCTACGGACCCAGCACCTACACCGTCCCCGCTAGCGGCACCCTGAGCATCCCTCAGTACACCGCTACCTACGTCCACACCCCTGTGGTCCCCGCCCCTGCCAAGTCCACCCCTGTTGTCCCGGCTCCCGCTAAGTCCACTCCTGTTGCCCCCGTCCCTGTGGCCAGCAAGCCCGCCTACACTCCTCCTGCCTACTCTGCCGTTCCCCCGGCTCCTCACTACCCTGCCACCAACGGCTCCACCCCCGTTGTCCCTGCCGCTGGCACCGCCACTGGCACCGTCCCCACCCCCACCAAGTCTGCTCCTCCCCAGTTCACTGGTGCCGCCGGCAAGGCCACCGTTGGCTTCTTCGCCATCGCTGGTGCCGTCGCTGCTTTCCTTTAAGCACTTCGCTCTTGAGTGGTATGTTGTGACATGACTTTTTGTGTCGCTACGATCTATTCTTGAGTCCGGAAAGAGGAGGGTGATTAAAAATATGGCTTCACGGGTTACGACTTTAACTCTGCATCACGATTCAGTCCAGGATTGGGAGCGCCGTGTTTGTTGTACGAACCCCTGCTTCCTTGCGCAATTCTGTCGCAGCAGCATTTCGATGGAGATATCATACTTGGTATTGTAATACGCATTGGTTGGAATGCTTAGTCGCCCTATGGAGGGAGTCGTGTGGTCCAGGTGGCCTTTCTTGTTCATAGATTCTTCTGCTGTATTTTGAAAAGAATCGGCAACACAATTAACAGTAGACCACCTACATTATACCTTTACACGTTTTCTCCCACCTAGCTCCTGTGATATCTCAGTTTTCGTGATTCTTCGTCTTGGTGACATCTGCACTCTCCCTGTCCCGTGAATGCGCGCACCTGACCGCCCTTTTTCTCCACCATCCTTCACTTCACCCACCCAAAAAAACATCACCCTTACTACGCCGGAATAGTCGACATCCCCGGTCCGCCAGCACGACATTTCCACTCAATCCAATTCGCTGCAATCCCAAATACTCCACCTACTCGCCTGTACACAGCCGGAACCAAGCTCACCCATGCAACTGCAATATACCTACCAAGCCCACTACTTATTACTTACCCTCGGTGCTTACTCGCCTCTTCTCTCCTCCACTCACACCCACCGCGTTTGTCTCAACCCAGACACTAAGGAAATGAGGAACCCCATCCCCCACCCTCCCTCCTTTCACGAGATTGAACTGCAGGACCCAAGGTATGTGCTAAAGAAAAAAAAAAGAGAACGAACAAGGTAGAGTTCAACATGACGTTCACCAGGTACAGTTGAAGTAAGCTTTTTTCTTGTATTTGTTTTTTTTACTCGGATAAGTATGCAACTTTTCTTTTGCATTGCTTTGTTTATGTTTTGAAGTCACTTTTTTTTCGGGGAAAAAGGGGAGAGAGAGATGTGATAGTGACGTAACGGGGGGGGGAGGGTACGGGACTGAAGGAAGGGAAACGTCTGTGTCACTCTTTTTTTTTGTTGGGCGCATGGGCAGGACGCGAGCGGGTGAGGCGTTGAGGAGGGCGCGTAGGTAGCTAGGGTGGCGGTGTGCGTGATAGGTGTGGGTGGTGGGTATGGGTGTGTTTTGCATAACTTGTGTATGTGTGTGTGTATGTATGACTTGCATATGTCCGTACCTTGTGTGCACTTTGTACATGGTGATATATAGCCATGTAGCGATATAGCTCATGTGATGTGTCTGCGGTCAGTAGATGGGCCTTGCTGCGCACCAGAGTGATAGTGAGGCTGCGGTGTGAGTATCTACTCATCTAGCTAGTCAACTACCGAGCGGAACAAATCCGTCTCCTTCGGCGGTTTTGCTTGACGATTTGGCCTGGAGATTGACAGACGGACATGGCTTACCGCTTTTTGGGCTTGGTCGCGGAGATGGAGGTTAGTGCTTATACGAGGCTTCATTTTCTGGGATTGGAGGGTCGATGGTACTTCCGGTGATAATGCCTTGGGTTGCTGTGGAAGATGCAGGTACAGGGTTTATGCCACACGTGTGATTGGGTAAGAGATGAGGTTGTTGTATAGTTTGAATTCTAGCTAATCGGATGTTTTGGGGAGGGTAGTACGAAGGCGCACCCCGGTCCCCTTGATCCCCCCTCGACACAAACGCATCCTGCGTACTCCAACTAACTTTCCTGCTCGATTTCAATACACGCATGGCAGCTCTTCATATATAGGCTCTTCGCTCAATTCGGCGAACCCTGTTGGCACCTCGCACCGCTCTTCCCACAATCGCTCGCAACACCGTAGTCGCAGCACCCTCCGCTTGAGTTGCACTGGTATGCGTGGGTACTGACGCGCTTGGTGCGTATCGCATATGTGCCAGCGCCGACGACGCAGTTGCCGCAATAGATGCCTGCAGCGAGGCCACTGACGCAGGCGCAGCCGTTGTAACTACATGCTCGTTTGTCAAGAGGGAGGCTGTCGCGGTTGCTCAGGGCGGGGTGGCTGTTAGCCTCTGGTGATGGCGAGGCGAGTGCCATGACGGCGAATAGTTGTGAGAGGGCGTATTGGAAATGCATTGTTGATTTCTTATCTCAAGATGGGCGTAAATAATTGAAGAATTGCTGAGTATCGAGATCAAAGGGTGAGTAAGCTAGATAGTGTTTTATTGTTTGCTATGCGGGACGGGACGAGGCTGTTGTTCAACAAGTATCGATTCGGAGTACAATCGCTGATTGGATACGCCGTCGTATTCTTCGCTTTCGAGCTGCAAGCCACCAATTGTTCAGCTGAACGTTGCTGGTTAGATCTTGCTCCTCTCAATATATTTTAGCTGGAAACCGGGCTTGCAGTAGCTCGCGTCCCTGCTATAACGTCGATCGTGTGGAAGTTTCCCATGAAATAGTTGACACCTTCCAATTGAAGCCTTAGTCCCGAATTAAAAACGGTAGTACAATTAACACAGAGCTGCGTTGACTACATCGTGACATTCTCTCGATCCCACCGGCTAAAAAAGGTTGCGACAAGCAATTGCTCAGGTCTTTTTGGGCATCACTTTCGACGCATGACGTATAGTTCATTTCCCTTCTATCGTCTCGAAGCCACAAAATTTGAACAAGCTTTTCTTTTCCCCAAAATACCCCCCCAACTTCCCCGCAACATCTGAAACCCCACACATCCAAGTAGATCAAAAACACAAAGGTCACACACACACATATATATATATATATATATATATATATCAATCTCTCCGTTTGAGGCTAGGTCTACAAGCGCGACGGGAGTATGCATATCCTCATGTAAATACTTTCATTTCCTTTCGGATACACTCACGTATGCACCATTGACTCTGATGTTATAAACATACATTGCTGTACGCAAACAAAAAGCAAAAGGAAACCTGGATCTAGAACCAACTTTCTGGTTTTGGGTTTCGAGGGGAAAAAAAGTAAAGATAGAATGAATTGGCAGTTTGATATCTGATGTCGCTTTGAACCATGTCACAGCCGTTGATGCTGTTTCACGTAACCTGTATGTTGCAATGCTAGATTGAACTGTAAGGGCACGTAAGTGGTACTGGATGGTGAGATAATTACTTTTCTCGGATACAACAAATGTCATTATGCAATCCAAAATCTCCGAGGGCAAGCAATGGAAGATTACACACTTCTCTCCCAAAAATAAACAACAATACCATGAACAAGAAAATATTGATCTAGGTTATCTACCTCATACTATCTGATCTTGAAAGACTGTGGTCTAGTGAACCTTCTAATACCGAGATCCTACCCAAAAAAATGACGCCAAAACGCCATCATACATGACCTCGTAACTGCCATCTCTCGTGACTTACAAGAGGGTATCACCAAGCGCACACCTCACAATCGACACACCAGCACGCACCGTATCGCCCGCACCCTCAGCATCAAGGCTAGGATTAACCTCGACAAGATCAAGAGCAATCAGCGAACCCGTCTCAGCAACGCACTCAGCGATGAAGTCGCCCTCTCGCAGCGTAAGACCGCCACGGACGGGCGTACCGGTGCTGGGTGCCCACATGGGATCGAGGGCGTCGACGTCAAAGGAGAGATGGATGGGTGTGTCGCTTCCGATCCAGCCCAGGGCCATATCCATGACCTTGCCGATACCGTGCCTATACAGATATTAGCCACACTACAAACGAGGTTAAACCACGCGCAAGAAACTCACCTATCAATATCATGCATAGAAAACGCCTTAATGCCATGCTCCCTCAGAATCTTCTTCTCACCCCTATCAATATCCCTCAACCCAATATACACCAGCTTCTTCAAACTAAGCCGATGCTCCTCTTTGATCCACCCGAAAACATCCTCACGATCCTCAGTCGCAAGACCGGTGAGAAAGGAAACAGGCATGCCATGGATATTCCCACTCTCAGAAGTCTCGGGTGTGTTAATATCCGCATGCGCATCCACCCAGATGACTGCGATTTCCCTGCCGAGGCGCTCGCGGATGGCTTTGGCAGTCCCGGAAATGGTGCCAATGGCGATGGAGTGGTCGCCGCCGAGGGTGAGGACGAGCTTTCCGTCTTTGGCGTGCTTGTACACTTGGTTGCTGACTTCGTGGGTCACGGCGCTGGCGAACTTGGGACGCTTCATGCCACGGTAGTCTGGGTCCTCGGTGGGTTGCAGCTCCGAGTAGTTGTGGACTTGGCCGTCGTAGGTGACGTTGTATTCTAGGTCTTCTTCTAGTTGCTTGATCAGGCCGTTTTCAATGAGGGCCATGGGGGCGGCGTCGACGCCGGCTTTGGGCTGGACATGGGATTGTTAGTTGCTGGTACATTGTGTGTGTGTAAGATTGTTGGGGTAAGGCTTACCTGACCGCCGCTGAAGCCGACTGCGACGATACCCAGCTCATGCCGACTAGGCAGGAAGTTGGGCTGTTTTGTGGGTGCAGAAGTCATTTTTCTTTACTGAAAAGGTATGTTAATATAGTCGTTCATGGTGTTTCGTGCAGAGGAGTCGAGCTTGTAGAATGTTTGTTGTTCGAGGTTCCTCGTTGCGGTAGTAGTGCGACTCGGATACCTCCAGCTTGCCAAAAGAAAAAGAAAAGAGATAAAACAAGACCACGTCCTGTATGCAACAGCGTGGAGTTCTTACCGGATGTCGATTTGCTTTGATGCAGCAGGACAAAATATACAGTGGGGGTAATTCAAAAGATGCTAAAGTAGCTATCCAAAATATACAAGACCCCTCTACCAAGACTCAGGTCTAAGTAATCCACAAGATAAATCCAAAAAAAGGAAACTGCGAGAGGCGAAGATAACACGACAACAAAAGCAGGGCAGAGACGCGGGGCGCCCTTTTTATCTCTGGCACGGGTCTCGGTTGTTAGGTAATTATGTGTCGCTGATTTTTCGTGGCCATCGTGTACACCTGTACTTAGGGGAAGAGCAACTTGAGGCTCTCGTCAAATTTATCACTTAGGGGAAGTAGTCGGGCCCGGAAGGTCTGGTAACAGATGGAGCGGGCCCACCACTAAGCAAGAGGGCCGAGGCAAGCCATGTCGCTTTAGGTAGGTGGCATAGCTTGATCGTTTTTGCAGAGGGCGAAAGGAAGCCGAGGAGATGCAGAAGCGCTTGAGATGGGCAAATGGAACAGGCATGTGTGTATGTTGTACAGGTACTTTGTAGGGTGTTGGTGTAGGGCAATTGAGCGGCCAGGCAGACGGGATGCCGTGTTGCGGGCACAGCAGAGTGGCATGCATTGCGCCTAATCCTTGCTGGGAAACCGGCGGGTGCAGTCGGCTTTGCGCCCATTTTCCTGGCTCAGCCGCTGCCACCGCCGCCGCCGCCCTGGCCGTTATCTTCGCCCAGCTGCAGCCTCGCAACACCTGACCTCTGTTATACACCGATTGCATAATTGCCAATACCCTTATATCCACTATCGCCAAATGTCCGGTCAGGCTATTCGCTTTGTCGCTGCGGTGGCGGCCAGGCCAAGTACGGGCACAATACAATTGCTCTGTCATGTGAAGCCTGGTGTCAGTGCCAGTCGCGAGGGTATTGCTGCTGTTTCAGACGAGCGCATCCACCTATGTGTTGCAGCTCAGGCGAGAGACGGCGAGGCAAATAAAGCTGTGAGGCGAGTCGTTGCCGATGCGCTTGGAGTTCCAAAGTCTGATGTCGAGGTTATCAAGGGTATGAAGAGCAGGGATAAGACGGTGGCTGTGCGGACAAGTCTCCTACAAGCGCCCGAAGAACAAGTCGAGAGAACAAAACTTATGCTACAAAGAAGTTCTGAAGCATAAAAGAGAGAATGTTATTTCTTTGGGCTGATACCAAGGTGAGCAGTATAGCAGTAGGAAAGAAGATTACTCGTATCACGTTACAGTCCAAAAAAGGAAAGTCTTGCCAATTCTTAACTTATTATCATTATACGACTGTCATGTACAAGTCATTAAGGAGCGTTATATATACACCGTAGCTATGTCCATCTCTCCGCAGTATTACCAATTACTTATATGTATCTATGATACAATGCGTTCGTTCTATTATGTACTTTTTGGTTGGGTTCGAATAGAGTCGCAAAGGCATCTAGTATTGCCAGGCGCCAGGGGCATCGACGGGAGCTATTGCAAACGTTAGTAATCTGCATGTCTAGAGCAGGCTTCAACAAACTTACAGGCAATGGCGCTGAATGAGAGGCACTCGTCGCTGAAGGTGACGTTGTCGAGCTTGCCGTAGACCTTCCATCCATCGTCGGCAGAGCCAGGGCAGGCAAGGAAGCCACAGTCCCAGTTCAGGTAGCCAAACAGGTCGCTGTTGGGAGCTGGGGTGCGGCTGAAGCCGGTGACGGTCGAGCCAGGAGGGATGTAGGCAGAGTGAGCGGTGGTGTAGCTCAGGGCACCGTCAGGGTCGACGTAGACCTGTTGACCACCGGGAACAACAACGCCGAGGCTGAGAGTGTTGTTGCCACCAGCAAATGTCGTCGTGTTGCCTGGTGGGCAGTTCTCAATGCCGATAACCTCCGAGGGGCAGTAGGAAGAAGGTCCCTTTCCGCCAAGGTAGAAGGATCCGCCGCGAGCATTCAAGTTCTGGAAGTGGATGGGAGAGGCGCTGCGCTGAGAGATGACGTTGAAGTAAGGGCTGTTTTCTGCTTGCCTAGCAACAGGCTGAACAGCAGTAGGGGCTGCCATGGCGGCAGCGAAGAGAGAGGCGAGAGCAGTGGTGTACTTCATCTTGATGGTGTTGATGTTTGAAAGTGTGGAAACAAACAGGTGATTATACTAGGTGAATAGGTATTAGAGTCGAGGTGTTGTGAAGTGGTAGAGTTGAGTTGATGGTCCTGTTAGAGGTGCCATCGACGTCTCTTTATATATATTACAGACAAGTGGGACCATGCGATACGACCTTTCATCATCGCATGGAGCCGTCTTGCGTGTATGCGGAGTCGCTTTGCGCACCCATCGAGGGCACACAGCCCTGTCTCTGGAAGAGGAACCCTGGGCACACGCGACTGGCTAAGCTCATTGCACCGACAACTTGGGTGAAGATCAACTAACGCTAGCACAAGGATAGACCAAATTCAGTGGGGCTACCCGCTGTGTTGTATTGAGATTGCCCAGAATAACCGTCGTACCCGACCCTTCCCATCCGAACACGAGCGACGCTGAGGGTGATCTTCTCGTGTTGACTAGTACAATGTTCATGAAGTCATGCGATGATGCAACGACGAGCAACCCCGCGCCGTCGACCTCCGATTGAATATCTCTCTTGCCCTGTTACGAGACGGCGGGATCCAGAGTGGAGAGTATGATGCCATTGGGTACTGGTTAGTTTGCGACGGTCGCCTCTGCTCGCCAGGCAGTCCTGGACGGGGATTTTGCATCCCGAGAAGACGGTGTCGCCCTAACACCTCCCCTGTTCATCCTCTTGCTATTTTGGTCCGGATGCCGGTGATATCACTAGCGAATATGGACGTGTTTGTGCTAGCTGTGAGTTGTGAGCCGATCAGCAGATGCGGCGACATTTCTGTGCAATCGTCGAAATTGGTGGAACAAATCCACGACCAGACCATCGTCATGTCGTTCCCCACTCTCGGCGTTGTGCCACACCCGTCTGGCTAGCGCTCCTACTGTTGCCGTGCCCCCAGATAACTGTACTTGCATACGATAGTGAGTGCCTTTCGCCTATGTAAGCCCTCGTGTTGCGCTTGCGGGACCCTGCGCCTCTCTGGGGTAACGTTGACTGTCGCCCCTTGAGCATTAGCAATGTCACCTGCCATGGTTGTTTCTGCCATAAGACCGCCACTGCCACCGTCTGGCCCTCGTACGAAGCGTCCTCGTAGCATCTCCGACCATGTCCGGAGCGGGTCCTTTGAAGCGCAGAATACAGGACCGTTTTGTCATGCCACATCGCAAGCAAGGCATGTAGTGGTTAAAGAGCGCATGACATGTGACCCCTGTCAGCCAATATGGAGAAACTGCTTAATTTGGCCGCTCAACTAACAACAAAAGCTTGACAGACGGCTCGCATGGCTGCACCCGTGCGTTTCGATAGCCCACAATTCGCCTCTTGCATGAACCATGATTTGGGAACAGACCAGAACGAGCGAGCAGCGGTGAATGTTCTGCGCTCAACTTCCAACAATAGAATAATAGAATGCCTCGACGCTACTATCCTATCGACCGTCTTCTACATCCACAGACAGAGCTTGCCACTTGCCGTTCCAGCTGCCACCCAGTCAAGTGTAGGATGGAACTTTGCAACAGCCGGTACTGCTGTAATACCCTCACCTCCCAGCTGCGCCAGCTGCTCGCCCTTTGCAGTGTATATGTCTACAAAGCGGTTCATATTGCCAATACAGAAGCGCTGCACATTGTCCTGAGGAAACTGTTGCCACTGGGCTCGTAATCTACACACACACACACACACGGTTAGTATTATAGTTCGCAAGTATTGCATATATGGGCCGACAAACATTGTAACCCATCGCCCAGTCTGGTTGTTGTGCGGCACAATAACCGTAGGCTCCATCTCGGCTTCTTCCAAAGTCGTCCCGGCCTTCCAGTCAGCACAATTCCCGAAATCGTGGATTTTAATAGTGTCGTCGTATGAAGCCGTAGCCACTTGACCAGCAGAGTTCCATGCAGCGTGTGAGACAGATAGCTTGCTGGTATGCTCACTAACAAGGGTCGGTAAGCGATCATCCCCCTTGCCTGTGATTTTGCGCAAATCCCAGATCTTCAATGTACGGTCAAGAGAGGCCGTGGCTACGAGATGTGGGTGTAGAGGATGTAGAGTGAAGCCACCAATCTTCTTGTCGGACAACTGGAAGATTTGTAGCCCTGCTGCCTTTTCAGACGGCGTACGCATATCGTATATGCCGAATTGGCCGTCGAGTGTGGAGAAATATAGCGTGTTCGGATCGTCCTTGGAGATCTCGAGCCCAGAGAGCGGGGCTTCTTCGCGTGCATCGGGGGGTGAATAAACTTCAATAGCAACCCCTTTTGCAAGATCCAACTTTCGTACCGTCGAATCATACGAAGCAGAGTATAGTGTATTGGCATCGTGAGGACTGAATTGGAACGTGTGTATTGTCCGTGTATGCGGCTTCAGGGTTGTAATGGTAGGCCCTTCTCTCTCTGCATCCTCATCATCTTCCACCTTCACCTCGGCGGCTTTCTGGGAAGCGTCACATATGCCCAGGTTTCCCAGTTTGTCACCAGCAAATATCAGAGGTTTGTCCGTTGTAGGATGCAGGCCCATGGAGTAGATGCGCTCGGGTGTGATTTTGATCTCATTAGGCTCAAAGTCCTCCCAAAGCTGCAGACCACTCATGCGCTCACGAAGCGCTCTTAGCTCTTTGTCCGTTGTTTCCTTTACGTCATTGTAGTCGAAAGTGCGTGCGTACGGATCTGCTGGGCCAACAGAGAGAAAATTGCCGCTCTTGTTCCAGTCCTTGCCGGCGACCACAATATCGCTGAAGTTATATGCATCACTTATGCGCTGTCTCTTTGCGCGATCGGCCTCTCTTATGGCAGCGTATTCATCCTCTGCTTTGCGCTTCGCGACCTCACTGTCGGCTACAATGCCCCTTAGACGTGACGATGTTCGACGCGGCGCAGTCTCTTCCTCCTTGATCTTCTTGGGCGCTGGCTTCTTGGTCTTTGGCCTTGATGGTACAGACACCTTCGCCTTGCCTGTAGGCCCTAGGCCTGCCTGCGCAGCCTCCATCTCGAGGTTGCGCAGGAGCGCCTGTGTCTTTGCGATGTTTTCCTGTCTCTTGCGCTCATACTCGCTAACCTCGACATTTTTCCCGCGCGCCATTGCGGTCTTGTTTCTGTAATACGATACGATGCGATGCGATATGAAGGAAGGGACTAATTCGTCGGAGATCGGGGCGCCGTCGCGAAGGGCAGTGATGGATACTGTGGATTACGATGATGATACGAACAAGGTGACAGACGAATCGCGTTGGTGATTGATTATCGCCTCCAAGATTTGCGGGACGTCCGATGTGTTCCTGAATATCGAGGGGCGAAGTCTTCCCGCAGTGCAGGACGAGGGCAGCGTCATTGCCACTAGCGTAGACGCGGTCGACGCGTCAGTCACGTGCTGGCGCGTGCTTCGTCTAGATCTAGCCTCCAGCCTTGAGAAAGCCAATGGAGCGGCTTGGCTTCTCCAATGTGGGTGTGGGTGTGCAGCGGCGGGATCTAGCGAAGAGCGGATCATACTGTATCCGATGCGTGCGCTTGTATGCTCACCTACGTATGGTTGCTAACCGTCTGTCAGCGCGCCATGGACCGTCGTTAGTGCGAGATGTGATCGACTGCGGTCTTGGCAGATTGGTCGAGTGGCCATCGTCTTTGGCTATCGGCTGATCTGAACTTTCTCAATTCCAGATTCCACCACCATGGCACCCATACGCCTGGCCACTTCGCTGTTCGGGACATGCCGAGCAGCCTCAATTCGCCCAGGCGCAACATGGCGACAGCGATGTCTGTATCACTCATACGATTACCCCTCATCGCCACCATTCCCCCCCGCTGAAGCGGCGATTCTTTCGTCTGCATACACACACGTACCAAACCATGGCTTCACCATGGATGCACTTAAGCTGGGCGCTCGAGATGCTGGCTACCTCGATGTCTCGACAAATTTATTTCCACGAGGCGTATTTGAACTGATCAACTACCATCTTGTCACTCAGCGATTGGCTTTGCAAAGCAACGTCCAGTTCCCCGAGGAGAGCGAGCACGGCAAGAAGATGGGTGCCGGTGCCAAGGTCAGGACGTTAACACTCGCACGGCTCCGCGCAAATGCACCCATTATCCACCGCTGGCAAGAGGTATGACTATCATGGTGCCCTTCCGCGGACAATCGGCTAATTCTTTTCAGGCACTGGCAATAATGTCCCGGCCCACATACGTCCCAGCTTCCGTCACTGAACTGGCCAAGCTCGCAGACGAAATATGGTTTCTGTCAGGCGACCAGAGTGTTGATAGTAGCTGGTACACAAAACGAGCAACCCTCTCGGCAATCTACTCGACGACAGAGCTGTACATGACACAGGATAAGTCGCATAATTTTGTAGAGACTGAGCAGTTTCTGGACAACAGACTACAGGATATGATGAAGGTTGGTGGCTTCATGGGCAGTCTGGGAGAATGGCTCAACTACACGGGCCATTCTGCCATCAATGTACTTCGGAGTAAGGGAGCTCGTGTCTAGGCCGTATCTGCCTCCTTATCCAGCGCCAGATTTTTTTTATTTTATTTTGATAGTGTAATAATATGTGTAGTATGCAGGCGCATTCGCTCCACGGAGCCAGAATAGGCGACAAGGCGACAGGAGGGATCTCGATTGCGACTCTGAGCGTTACAAAGATCGTACGATGAGGCGGGGGTTGAAATGGACATCGCCGATGGACTACGTAGCAGCTTGAACGGCGCAGTCATCAATCAAACGTTACTAGGACACTACTGTGTTGTATGGTTCGCCCGGAAAATTTCCCCGGCGCCTTGACCTTGCCGGAGTTTGCTGGAAGCGTATGTGCGATCCGAGCTTCATGGGCGATTTCAGCACAACACAGCACCACATGACGTTTTAGCAGAAGGTAATGCTGGATGGGGTTGAGTTGGGTGCAGCAGATGGTAAGGCTCCACTAAAAGCTGGCGTCGGTTTGCAGGCTGAAAAGAATGGCGTAGTCCAGGGGCTCATTGCCGAGTATGGACATACATGTGTGAAGCAGGGTACAAACAAGTACTTGTAGGTACTCCTTCACATCAAGTGACTGTTGATGACTGGCATGAACGGCCAATGACGCGGTGGCGAGAAGTCTAGTTCGACCTCTCTCAGCTCAGGGTCTTGTCGGGTGGGATGCTAGCAGCGATGGTCTCAATCAGTTCGATCCAGCAGCTCCGTGGACCACGCTAGGCGCATCATCACGCCAGCAGAATCAGGGTCCAGTAGCCCACGGTAGGAAAAAAACATCATCATCATCCCCGGCACGGGCACGCTGGGAGACTGGGGCTGGGGCTGGCCAGGGCGAAACGAGAGCGATCTCGATGGTGTTGTGCGAGGCGGGTACACCTAGCGCTGTGTCGACAACGGGTCGCACCGCCCGTTGAGTCGAGTCGAGTCGAGTCGAGTCGCGATGGGTCTGAACGGAGGACAGGATGCGTCTGGAAGGTCGCACTGCCGGCAGTGGGAGAGGCAGTGTATAGAGTAGAGCTAGCGTGTGGAGAGTGAAAGAGAAGGGCGTTATGCCGCATGGGGGCTAGCGGGACCCTTGTCTGCAATCACCGATTCAGAGAGGCATCGGGGGTCAGACAACAGACAGGGCCTTCTCTCATGTCGCATTTACGATAGGGTCCAATTCGGGCGATAGACAAGTGAACCGACGAGGCTCATCGTCGATGGGTCGCTTGGTCTAGCCCCGGGTGCGCCACACCATGTCTTCGTTCCCTCCCAGGCACCTCGATCCCCACGACCTTTCTTGGCGTCGTGGGAATCGAGCACATCGCCCTCCTTACCCACAGCCAGATCGATAATCATCATGGCTCCGGATTCAGAAAGCCCAAGAACCGCCTCTTCAGACCATCTGCTTCACCCACAGCCCCCATCCTCCACGCCCTCAGCCCGCTCCCTCTGTCCACCACCACCTGTGCCCGACAAACTCACCTCACGAATCTCCGTTGCAAAATCACCCCATTGTTTTCGACCGCCGTCCACGACCTTAGCTGCCCTCTCGCACCTTGCCCATCCGGGTGGCGTTCAAACCACAATCCCCACATACCAGCACCCGCCTGCATTCCGATATCGACCACCCTCTTGCGCATATGGAGAGCATCCTCTACCAATAACTCGACACACTACGCCAGCAACCATGAACGACCCTCCAGGCACCATACCGAAGCCTGTCATGAACCACCCTCGTCGCCCCCCCGCCCACAAGTCCGTCTCCCTCCGACACAGCCCTCCAGCCTCTGCGTCGGGCCTACAACCCAAGGAACGGAATACGAGCCGCAGCTCCCCAACCCTGGCCAGCGACAAAGCCAACCCGCCGTCGAGTGTGTCGCCACAGCTTACCTCGCTCAAGAATAGCTCCGGAGAGAGCAGTGACGCCGGACAATGGTTTGAGAAGACGAACAACAGCGCCAAACAGAGCAAGTCTACTTTTGTTGACAGTGGGTTGTGTCCAAGTCCTCAAGTCGATGGAGCACTGCTAATCGTCACGCCGTAGATGAGCCGCCTTTTTTTCTCCGCAACTCCTCTTCGTCCGACACACCACCCGACCATTCCCATTCCAATGTTACAAACTCAGCAATGCCATACCGTCCCGGCTTAGGCCATCTAGGTACCGACGGCAGCAGTACCGAAGACTTTCGAAGTGTCATCGACGACCTGACCGTAGCAAACAAGCGCCTCAAACAGAGGCTCAAGAAGTATGAGAAGCTCTACGATGCTCATCTGCAAGACGAGAAGCTATTCGAAGTCAGGTTCCACAGTCTACCTGATCACAAGAAAAAAGAGCTGGAAGAGACACTGCGCAAATTTGCTTCTGAGCTCGATGACGGAACCAACGACTACGCGCGCGTGTCGGCAGCCTATACTCCAGCACTCGAGACTCACAACACCTCTTCGTCAACATCACGGTTTGCTGAGTCTGGTTATGCGTCCTTATCAGCATCTGGTCAAAACTCGGCGGGAGCCTCAAACCAAGAAAAGGACCGTGAGATGACCCGGTCGGCATACAGCCGCCAGCAACAGAGCATTCAATCATACCTCCATGACATCCCGATGGGTTTGATGCCGAATACCAAAAGTGTTCCAATGACCGAGAAATCGAAAAAGAAAATGGTTGTTCGGCGCTTGGAGCAAATCTTTGCTGGCAAGCGATCAGTGCCCGGATCGCATCCACAGCCAATGCAACAGCAAGAGGTTGCCCAGTCAGCAGCAACGGCAGATCGCGAGCAACGGGAAGCGACTGGCCAACATTTCAGACCAGAAGGCCAGCGTGAAGCCCGCATCATGTCTGACCGTGGCGCAGCTGATGAAGACGAGGCAAATCAGACCGAGGCCATCCAAGGATTGCGACCCGTTCTGCACATTGAGGAACATGACTTCGCTGGCTCAGGCTCTTCTCCTGACCAACGACCCACCCGTCCACTGGACTTGGACCCTTATCGTGCGCAGATACCGAACGAGAACATGAGTTACATCCGGCATCTCGGTTTCAGCCCACCCGATATGAATTCTGGAGAAGCCCCACTTGGTCATGGCTGGATATACCTCAACTTGCTCATCAACATGGCACAACTACATACTCTCAATGTTACTCCCGAGTTTGTCAAGGATGCTCTACAGGAGTATAGTAGCCACCTTGAGATTTCTCGCGATGGACGCAAGATTCGATGGAAGGGCGGTCGCGAGGTCACACAACACAGTGGGGAAAGTTCATCGGAGCATTACAGTAACGCCTCGCCCAACGAGACAGGATCTTTCTCGCCTTTCAAGCGCATGAAAACTGGAAATAGCGGCAGCGGCAGTGACCCTACTAGCTCTGAACAGGCAAGGCGATTGGCCCGTTATCAGCGCGAGAGAGAACAGAACAAATTTGCCTATAAGCCACTATTCTTTCACAAGGAAGATTCTGACAACGAGGATGAATTCTACGGCTTCGATGCTGATTCCTCGGCAAATCATTCTCACCAGCCGCAACAGACGGGCAACTCTTCGGGATTCAGCAGCTCAGTTATGCAGAGCTCTTCTTCTAAGCCAAGAAGGCGTGAGAACGGACCCATGATTTTCTACAATAAAGCCAAGTTCTGTACTGACCTTAGTGGTGACAATAACGGGGCATTTCTCACGATGCCCGGTAATTACCAAACTATTACCAACCAGCCCTTGGGCGTAAAGTCGAGTTCTTCCTCGTTGAACAATGCTGCCACGGAACTTTCAGAGCCACGAGGCCCCTTGGATACCTTGTTGATGATGGAGACCGAGTCAAACAACGGTTCACGCACCGTCTCTAGTGGAGACAACATAAGCTTTTCCCCAGAAGCCCTAAGGGATAACAGTGGCAACACCAGTCCGGAGCTTATGGACTTTGAAGCTTCCGGTATTGGTGGCGTACAGCCAGAGGACAACTTCTCCATCCATGTCCGTCGCTCGCAAATACCAATGATACCTTCTCACGTCGCCGCTCGCCACCGAACAAGCTTTTATCCCAAGGCCGTTCAAGATGCGCTCCGTTCCGAGCATGACCCAATGGAAACCGAGTCTCCACGGTCCAGTCCCCAACGCGTTATTCACGAGAAGATTCTTTCTACGTCGCGCAAGGATTTACCTAACTCGACTCTACCACCTGCATCCTTCCTTCCCTTCGACTCTTGTTCCTCAGGCGATATCGATTCCGAATTCGCATCCGACGCTTCGTCTGAACCCGAATCTGATTCCGATTGCCCGGCTACAGCTATGCAAATTCTCAATATTGCGCCTGCCCGCTCGGATGAATCTGAAGCGTCAGACTCTGATTACGAAGATAGCGACGATGGTAGTGTTGATCTGCTGGCCACCGCTCGCCTGCAAAACCCAAATGCTGTTATTGCAAGCGAGCGTGAGTACGACGCCGCACTTGCAGATCGCCTCGCTGAGGAGATACCAGCTGGCAGCTCGGCAGCGACGGCAGGCGGTGGAAGCGGATTCAACAGTCCTGTCGGTGGTGCCCGTGAAGTATAGAATCGGGTTAGTCGACGAAGTGGATCGAGTAGTATGGCATCTGGCCCCGTCAGATTGAAGCGTGCTAGGACCAGTGATACGGCGAACCCGCAACCGACGAAGAGCCCAAAGACCAGGAAGGCAGAGATGTAAAGTCGATTTGGACGACTTTTTAGGGAAATTTGATTGCATCGCAGTTGCCTATTTGTCCTGTTGGAGTTGAAGAGGTTTCGGAGCCGGAGGACGTTTTCTCTTTCCCTGTGCATAGTTCTACGTCTTTGATACCCCCCCTTTTTGTTGCCCGATGGCAGTTTGATACCCTCTTGGGCAACACGAATAAAATTTGCTCAAACACATGTATGCATACCTCGTTAAAAATCTTGTATGGCTACACATAGTCAACCAACAACCTTACTATGCTATCACATTGAGATCGTTTCGTTAAATTTCAGCTGCAATTAAGAATGGGTGTTCGCCTAGTATGGCAATGCGGAAGTTGGGATAGTGCCAAGGTAGCTACTTTTTGGTGCGGCACTTCATAACTTGCCTGTGTAATGGACCATGCTCGAGAAACGTATATTCAGAACCATTCTCGTCTTATACCACCAGCATGTCCTTTTCTTGTCCGAGAATGGCACGTGGAACTCTCGTATTAATTATCGCACATCGGTAGCTCGGCGCGTCAAGTTTGCACCAACGGTACGTCATAGCCGCCGATTTTCGCGTCGTACCCGCAAGCACCCGGTCCTTGGTCCAAGACGGCCCCTAAATAAATTTCAAAAAAGGGAAAATGATCAATATAATAAAACATTATGCCAGTATATCTCCGTTTTAAGTCACATGAACCATTTTTCTATTGTGACAATTATGTTGTCTAGTCGCCTGTCCCAATTGCCTTCTGGCGTAAGGGAGTTAGTCTCTGTAAGCTCGAGAACGGGCGTCCCACGAGCAGTACTGTCATGTCGGACTGGTGGTGCTCTGGTAAGTGGAAAGAGCTTTGAGCAGAAAAGGCAGATTACGATGGAGCAATTGAACAAAGACAAAGACAGTATGCATAAACCGCTCTTACATTACAACTATCTACTCCCATCATCGAGGCTGACAAGCATATATCTAGGCCGGGAACGTGTAGTCATTCTTGGGTCAGGCTGGGCAGGCTTCACCGTTGCCCGCGCTCTTGACCCCTCAAAGTATCAAACTGTTGTCGTTTCTCCCCGGTCATACTTTGCCTTTACCCCCCTGCTTGCCTCCACAGCAGTAGGCACACTGGAATTTAGAACTGCACTAGAACCCGTGCGGAGCCGAAGGACTAAAGTGGAATTTCTGCAGGGCTGGGCTGATGATGTGGATTTCAAGAACCGGACCATTACTATTGAAGAGGCGGTCGATGATCCAAAGCAAGGTGTGGCGCTGACGACTGACCGTCACGCGGGGAAAACTACAGAGCAGAGGGCTCTTGAGAAAAAGCAGGAGACCAAAGAGGGCAAAATGTTTGATGTGAACTACGACAAGTTAATTGTTACCGTGGGCTGCTACAGCCAGACATTCGGTACACCGGGCGTCAAGGAACACGCCTTCTTCCTCAAAGACGTGGGCGACGCACGCAGAATCCGAAACCGCATCCTAGCTTGCTTCGAAGGCGCCGCTCTCCCCACGACTCCCATAGACATGAAACGTCAACTACTAAACTTTGCCGTTGTAGGCGGCGGACCAACAGGCATCGAGTTCAGCGCCGAACTCCACGACCTGATCAACGAGGACTTGAAGAAGCTATACCCAGAACTCATCCAGTACCACAAGATCACCGTATATGACGTAGCAGAAAAGGTTCTCCCCATGTTCGACAAGAAACTAGCCGACTACGCCATGCAAAAGTTTAAGCGTGAAGGCATTGATATCAAGACGAGTCATCACGTCGAGGAGCTGCGTGCCGGTACACCCGTGGAAACGAGTAACTCTGGAAAAGTCCAAGACTCGCATCTCTACACACTCAAAATTAAAGAACAAGGTGAAATCGGTGTGGGCATGTGCGTATGGAGTACGTCCTTCCTCCCCACCCTCTCAAAAAAACCCCCTTTACTAACAACTCCACTCCCTTGAATAGGCACAGGCCTAATGCAAAACCCCTTCGTCCATACCGCCCTCTCCAGCGTGCGCTCCGCCCCTTCTAATCTCATCCCTTCTTCTCCCTCTTCTTCTTCCTCTCCACCCTCCTCCATCCAATGGATCGTAAAAAAAGACCCAAAAACCGGCTCTATAATAACAGACTCCCACCTGCGTGTTAAACTCGTCCCCGCCTCATCTTCGTCTGCAGACAAGGATTCTGCCTCAGCAGACAAAACAGAAGCAATCAACCCAGACGTCTTTGCCCTAGGCGACTGCGGCACAATCGACGCAACAAACTACCCAGCCACAGCGCAAGTCGCAAGTCAAAAAGCCGTGTGGCTCGCCAAACAACTGAACAAATCGCCCACCTTGGCCGAATCTGCAAAAGGTTTCACGTATAGGGATTTGGGCACGCTGGCGTATATCGGGAATTGGAATGCGCTCTTCCAGGGCGGCGGCAAGTGGGGTGGGAGACTGCAAGGCTACGTAGCGTGGATTATTTGGCGGGGAGCGTACATTACGCGAACGGTGAGTTTGAGAAACAAGGTGCTTGTACCGGTTTATTGGGTGGTGAATTGGGTGTTTGGGAGGGATATAAGTCGGTTTTGAAAAAAAAAAAAAACTTGTTCACTGTTCTTTTCCCCCTTACGACCGGAAAAGGGAGGAAGATTGTTCCAAAGTAATATTTCTCAAGGAAGAAAAGAAAAACGGACAAATTCAATGTGCATACTATAACTGGGTATCCCTAAAATCCACAAAAAAAAACACAAACACAACAAAACATCGACATCTTACTTTTACTTCCCCCCCAAATACCCCACCACATCCCCCGCTCTCTCCAACCGCGCCCTCGTCTCGGGCAACCCCTTATTCAACGCCTGCAACGCCTCAACCGCCCTCTCCCAATTCCTCTGTACCTCCTCCTGCCTCACGCCACTCTCCACCGCCGCCACATCCCCCTCCCCAACCACCTTATTAACCCTCTCCTCCACGCCCGCCCACTTCTCCTCCGCCTCCACGCCCTCCCTCTCAAACCTCTCCTGAAAAGCCTTTGCCGCAACCGCCGGCGTCGCCCTCCTATGCTGACTAATCTTGGCAATAAGCGCATCGCGCCTCGCCACCGCATCACCCAGCCTCGTCCGGAGCTTCTCATCAAACGCCTCGAATTCCTCCCTTTCAACCGCCGTCGTCGCCGTCTCTGCTGCTTCCCCAGCCTGTAGACCTTGTAGACCTTGCATAGCGTCATCGCCTTGGCCGCCAGCATCGGGGCCAACAATGTCAATCCCGTTTATGCTAATGTTTTGCCGCATGCCGCGTAGCACGTGCGCGACAAACGCGTCGACGAGGTCTTCGACGCTGCGGCGCAGGTCGTCGGGTTCGGCGGCTGTGGCAGAGGTGACGGGAGGGAGGTGCAGGTCGAGTTTTTGGCGGGCGGCGGTGCGGATTTGCGTCGTGAGGTAGGTGAGATCTGAGGGGGATTGGAGTTCGATTTTGCGGTGCGAGGAGTCCATGTTGTTGGAGTGATGAGGAGTGTGTGTGTATATGTGTGTGATCAGGTGGAGAAAGGAAAAAGATGCGGGTGTGGGCCTTGGAGGAAGGCGCTCGTTTTGTTTCGTTGGGAAAGGCGATGGTGGTTGTTGTTGTTGCTGGAAGCAAAATGTTGCAGACTTCTTGTTGTTTTCGTGATGTTGTTTGTTTAGTGGTCGGCGGAATGTGGATCGCGCTGCGCGACGTTTTGCGGCGGCCACGCTCTAATCGATAAGGGGGACCGGGGGGTGCCGAGGTGTGGGGTCAATGCACCCTGGACCCCCATGTGCTGTACGGAGTGAGGCGGCATAACGGTTGCACCCAGTGTGTCTGAATACATCTTAATGCTTGATTTATAAATGTTTATGTGTATTTTTCGAGTTTGTGAATGTCTCATTGACAATGAGTGAAGCGGCCTGTAACACCGTGACCCAATCCCTCATGTAGTATGCACCCCCAACGCCTACAACAGTGCCAAACGCCATTCCAATCCCATATCAACACAATCCAAATAACGCATTGTCAAACAAAATCATACACAGACATGTATGTACCAAGTCCACCTGATTATCGCCATCACTATTCAACCCCAAACCTCAGTATGTGTTGTTGCCACAGCCTTGCGAGTTACCGTTCAGCTGAGAACATGCTTATGATGGAAACATGTTCTTGACCTCCTCGTCAGTGAGTATGATATCCTGGACAGGGTCCTGGCGACACTCGAGGTCATCAAAGTGGTAATCGGCGTATGACGGAAGGAAGATTTCTGGATATACAGACAGAGGCAGTTAGCAACACATCCACAGCTTGATTGCTTCGACACAGCCATTTCTACAGTAAGCTGTGAGAGGGCGACATACCCTGATTCCAATCAAATCCTTGGCTAGCCTTCACGCAAGTAATCTGCTGGGTATTAGCTATCGTCCTGCTTAAAACACGACACAATTGTAGTAGTAGTCGCAGATTATGGGCCCGTACCAGACGAGGACATTCCTCCTCTCCAACATTAATCACCGTATGCTCTGCCTTGGAGAATGTCGCACTCATAAGACTCTCCCTCCGCCTCATACTGCTCGCCGACTGTGGACTGTTGGACGGCGACGATGAAGCGGAGCTGCCGTAGGAGCCATAGGAGAAGCGATTCTCAGTCGGGGTGAACTGGTAGTTGCGAGAATGAGAAGCGTAGCTGGGGGTGCTGGGCGTGGAGGCACTCGAGGACGAGGATGAGTCGACCGAGTGGCGGGACGCAGCCGGGTACTTGCCCTTGCGCCGGGGGATAGCAATAGCATTGGATGACGAAGACATGTTTGGGGGGATCGCAAGCAGTGGTAAGACGAGAGATATAGTATAGCCGTAACACCGGATGAAAAGGGACAGTAGCAATTGTTAGCAAAGAGACGCCCGAGGTATCCGCACAATCATGGAAAGAGAGAGTGGTTGAGAGTGTGAGTGAGAGAGGGAAGAAGGAAAGCACAGGCAAGGTGGAGGAGTGTGGAGCGACTTGGTAGTCGACGCAGCCTTGTGTCTGACTCCGCCAACCATACGGCGATGAGACGTGGCGGGCGGCCAATCAGACGACACCACCTTGCTTCCGCCTGACGATCGGTCCGGGGCAGCAGCAGCGGCGGCGCAGGCGTGTACGTGTGACAGGCACCCGTGCGTGGTGCATGAGGAGCGCATGAGGAGCGCACTCATCAGGGTAGCGCCATGCAACTGCAACTTCACCTTGGACCTCTGGCTCCAGTCCTTATCTCTTATCAACAACATCCACCCTCATGTCTGCCCTCGACAACACCCTGCCACGGTCGGCCAGGTGGCCCGCTAGGTGACGTAGCGTGTATGCAAGGTCCGTGGACAACCCCATGGCCCGTTGTCGGCCCACCACCAGGCGCTCCGACATGGCATCGACCAACGGCCTGACGACGCCAATGTCCATCTAAGTAGTAATTAGTTAGTTGGCTCTGAGTCACCCCGTCATCCATGTGTCAACGACAGTCATCTCGACTAACAAACAAGAGCCTTGCAGCTCAATTGCATTAAACAACAGCGCATTGAAAAACTACGCTGGTCTGACACCATGGTATTTCGTATCGTACATCTGGATATCGCTCGCGCAATTAAAAAACAAACAAAATAAAAACAAGAAAAAAAATCCATCAAGTCGGTCCTGCCGAATCCCAAACCATGGACTCAAGTTCCACAAACACTACTAACATGAAAAAAAAATTCCTTTCGGGTACCCGGACTCCCTTCGGTGCCATCCCACGAAGCGTGTGCAACATGCGTATTAGTAGCGAGAGACTATGAAGGTGTAGGAATCTGAAAAAAAAAGAAACACGCACGCAAGGCTGCTTGCAAATGCCGCCCTTTCTCAAAAACATAACAAAACAAAACAAAAAAGACTACAGCGACCCTCCACAACAAAGTGGCTGATCAAAAACTGCCCAAGCTGACGATACGGCACGACGCGTCGGCATCACAGAGGGTATCCTCCAAAAAGCGCACAATCGACTCCTGGACTCCGGCGCCGAGATGCTGATCAATGGTTTCGTAGACATGGGAAATGTACTCCGACGAGGGTGAAAAGGAGAGCATAAGGATGGGGTGGTTTGGGTGGGGGGGGCGTCAAACAACGGGGAATACGTAGTGGCAATCGGGGGTATCGTACATGGTTCGTGACATGTGTCGCCCGGGGAGAAGACGAGTCTACCATCCCTTCTTTCGGGCGAAACGCTTGTTGAGGAGGACCAGGACCTTGCTCACGTTGAACTGGACGTACTCCAGGTCCAAGTCCTCCTGATTATCTTTCTGCATCTCCAACAGATCGTCCAGCTTGAGATCCAGCTCCAGCAGACCGCGGTTGCGGCCCTTGTAGTGGAGCGAAATGACAAACGTACCGGGGAGCGGGCTCGTGAAGTTGAAGTAGATGTTGGCTCTCCTATTCTCCGGAACATTGCTCTTCTGGATTACACCCTCTCGCTCAAGCTGCTGGTGAGTGAACTTGTACGGGCCCAGGACTTGATGCTTTTGCTGCTTCCTCGTCTTGCCTTCAGACTGACTGCGTACGTTGTGGAGATACGACTTGTACGTGTCAAGCTGGCTGACCAGGAAGCCATTGTGGTCGCGGATGGTGCGGAAGACCTCTTCGAGCTTCCTCGTCTCCTCAATCACCTTGTCCTTCATCGAACCCAGGTGGACAAGCTCTTGTTCGACTTCGTCTCGGAGTAGAGAAAATCCGTCTTCCTTGTCAATCACGCCAGATTCTTGCAACTGGCTCAACAGCTCCATGCTGCGGATACCCTTCTTGACCATGACTGAATCGTTCTTTGTCGTGGCGGCCGCCTCGGCAATCTTGTCCAATCTCAATGGTCGGCGCGTGATTGATGTGTTTGCAGGCAGCGAACGGAGAATCATGACAAATGTTGATTTGGCCTCCATGAAGAAAATTTCCTCTTGCGTAATGTCGAGCGCTGCTGTGAGGTCGTCAAGAGGCGTCTCCCACTTGCTGAACAGTGGAAGATTGATGGCTCTGTTCTCCTTTCGCGGAAGCTGCGCAGGCGCTGGTCCCAGCTCTTGAAGAATCACACCCAAATGCGAGCTATCCTCTTTTGCCTGCAAATGATTAGCGTGTGAACAGCCGCTGCCACAATCACCTCAAACTTACGAGTTCTGCTGCATGTCGCTCCAAGAGCGAGTGTGTTGCATACACTTCATTGAGCGTAATGGAAAGTTCAAGATCCTTCTTGGACAACGCAACATAGTTGTCCATTTCCAACGTGTCGTAAAAGTCCTGGACTTCGCACAGGTCAAGCAGGAACTTGTTGATGCGCTCCTTGTTTTGGTGGATAAAAGGCTGCAATTTTACCATGTACGGTTCCTTTGCGTACGATGGCTTGTTTGCAAGGTTCTGAAGCATCTTTGCAATGTATGTGAGCGTTCGCTTGGGGTTCTCCGCTGGCAGAACATCAATGAGCATGTATGATCTAGGAGTAACAATGGCAGGGTTGATAAAACGCAAGAAAAAGAAGCCACCAATCAGCGTGCAAATCGTCTGATCCTGGGCATCAGGATACTTTCGTCTTGACAAACTTCGAATCTGCTTGCAAATCCATCGGATGCCGTACGGCGTCTCTTCGAGCCCTTTGATGATGGTTGTGAGGAAATTGTTGGCAATCTCCATGAGCATGTTTACGCGAGGCTGGATGATGTTCTGCACCGTCTCGTTCTCGGCAGCTTCTTCTGCTGTGACGCCCTTTGGCATGTCCGGGGGCAGGGTTCCTTGGAGTTCGCGTTCGGTGACCATTTTCTCGTAGACCTTCAGGGGGTTAATTTCCAGGTCCAGATCCTTGAGCTCAATAAGCGAGTTGATGCTGTCTTGCAGGACTACCTTGAGGTAGCTCTGACCAGGTCCTCTCCGGGTGTACGTGGTCATCATGCGCGAGACGGGGGTGTTTGCGCGCAGAAGCGAACTATAGTCTGGGGTATTGTCAAACTGGTATGTAAGGACAGACTATAGCATGGTTAGTTATGATCTGCCAGAGTCATGTTGCGCAACGTACCTGAAACATGGTCAAGAGCAAATGCTCTTCCCGGCTCTCGTACTGATTTCCGTAAATTGTGAACATTACTGTCTGCAATAGCGCATCAATCTCGGCCATGGAGACGAGACGACACAAGTGCGCAATGTGCCGCGGTTCGGACTGGAGCAAAAACAGTAGGTTGCCATATTTTTGTGTCTTTTCGTCATTTGGAAAAAATCCTTCTTGGAGTTCAAGGCCGTCTGCGAGATGGTCTGCGACTTCGTTTTGCTGCGCGTATAGTCAGTGTCAAGTATGTGTGTGTGTACGTGGAAGATTGTAGAGACGCACCTCCTCCAACGCCATGCGGTTCTGGATAAGGAGCGCTATCCGCGAGTCGAGATATCGCACATCCTTTTCCAGAACGAAATTCTTCTTGGACTGGGACGAAATCTTTGCCTTTAATTCGCGCAATACTTTCTGTGCTGCTACAAGTTAGCCGGCGAACCAAGACGGACAGACTTGAACGTGGCAGACATACCTCGAGCCAGGTCATCCTCAATTTCCAGCTCCTTGTCTTTTGCCGACATGGACAGGTACAGTGCCGTGACTGAGTAGCGCTTGGATTGGCGCACCGAGCGCGAGCCATCGTGCGACGACATTGTGTTCTGGCGCGAGACGGGTATGAAGGACGATGACGACGACGTCGATGCCCGCGAGGGGGCATGTAGCATGGAGACTGCCATGCTGAGCGTCGCCTGGGAGAGGGGGGGTTTGGGGTGCGGTCAGGGCCAGAAAGGGAGGGTGTGTGTTGCAGCGCTAGCGAAATAGCAAAAGCGTGGGAGCAAAGGGGAGGTTTTGTTTGTGCGCCACGCTGGTCCAAGGCCGTGGGCCGGCGTCTGCGGTGGAATTGCAGCGGGAGGGCCCGTCCAGCGAGTCGGCGGCAGCAGGGCTCGGCGATTAATTAGGAGACAGTGGTGTGGCAGCGAAGGGCGACGAAGGTACAATTATCGGAGGAGAGAGGGGGGGATGGCGAGGAACAGGCTGCGAGGACTAGTTTACGTGAGATGGGCGTTGGAAAGCGGCGGTGGAGGGCTGGCGAATCGAAGGGCGAGGGAGCCCGAGACGCGAAATGGTGCGGGGGAGCTCAGACGGTGAGTGGTGGACAGAGGTGCAGCTGCGACATTCCAGAAGAGCGACGGCGCGGTGGTGCTGGGCCTGGGCGTAGTATGCTCTGAAGCGAAGGGGTAAAGGCAACCGATGATGACGGGTGGACAGGGACGTGTGGCGTGTGCGAGTGTGCAGGTGTGGGTGTGTGTGTGTATGTGTGTGTGGTGGGTGTGAGGGAGAGAGAGGGAGAGCGGAGGGAGTAGTAAGACAGAACGCGCGCGCACACAAGAGAATAGCGAGGGTGGAATAGAGTGGAGTGGAGTGGAGTGGAGTGCAGAGTGGGGAGTCGAGGGGGAGGGGTGTGTGAGTGTGAGTGTGAGTGTGAGTGTGAGTGTGAGTGTGAGTGTGAGTGTGAGTGTGTATGAGTGGGTGGGTGGGTGTGTGCGCGTATGTGTGTGTGTGTGTGTGTTGCAGGGCGGCTTTTGCAGGTCAAGGACAGCGGGCAGGAGCGATGGATGGGCGGGAAGGAGCAGATGTTTCAGTCGCTCGAGTCGGCATGGGCTGGGTGATGACAAGTGGGCGAGGGCGAGGGCGAGGGCGCGGGCGTGTGGAGAGCATGCACGAGGCCGCAGCTGCTGCACGCGCAAGTGGGACGGAGGGCCGGCCAAAGGGGTGGCGCTTGTGGATATAGAGAGAGAGAAATCAGAGATGGGTTGGCCTCTTTGTGCGCAGGCGCAGGCGCAGATGCAGCAACTGTTGAGGCCAAAGCCTGGGAGCTAGGGAGAGCTTCACCAGGGGCCATGGCGGCAGGGCATCCATCGTCTGCACACGCCCCTTGTGCACGCAACAGGGCCATGCTGAAACTCTGGTCACCTGCGCTCAATTTCCCCTAAACCCCGGCCCTCTGTGCCCAAAGCGGCCAAGGGCCTCTCCAAGCGACGCCTCTCGTTCCTGGCTAGCAGCACTACCGAGCCGACAAGCCCACACCACCACCACACCCTCATCTCCAACGACTGCACTACTGCACTACCGCACCACCTACCGCACTACCCTACCCCCACCCACACCAACATCCTCGCCCGTCATTTTGACTTTCGGCCTCTGTCCGTCAGCTGTCAAGGAACGACTGGGCTCTGCGCCGACGTTTGCTTCTTGCTGCTGTTGCACCTGCTCCTGCTGCACCTCCTAGTGCTAGTGTATACATACTTTGTCCGACTACCAATCCCACTACTACCACTACTACTACCACTACTACTACTACCACTACTACTACTACCACCACCACCACTAATCCCACTTACTGTCTACTTACTTGCACACTGCCGCTGCCGCTGATCCGTCTCACGCGCCCTCTGTGCGTGGCCCCAGGTTCATGCATCTATCTGAGGCATTGCCCGACTGAGAAACATGCTTACCCACACGCGCCCCGTTTTGGCGTGTAGCCCACGGCAATGCTGCGGCACCATCTGTGGAGGTGGCTACCGCGTCCCGATTGACACTCTTCCAAGGGTCGTCGCACACGCTGCCGCTGCATGCGTCTGCCTCCTCCCACTCCCACTCCCACGCCCAAATGCCAACTCCAGCTAGTCTACTGGCCCGTCGCTATGACCCGACGCCAAACCATCCTGCTTGCTTGCTTGCTTGCCTGCCTGCTTGTCCGCTCAGCTCAGCTCTGTGTCCCGACTATATCCGCGACAAATACCGAACCTTTGTCGTGACACCTGATGATAAACCATGCCGTCACCGATCGACCCAGCATCTTGATTCAATCTTTTCGGTCCGATGCACATCTTAACATCTCATCAAGGAGAAACGCGCGTGCCAGTGCCACTTACCACCACCACCACCACCTCCTCCTCCTCCACAAAAGTCTTATACGAACACCAAGTCTTGCCGTCCGACTGATTGTCATGGCCTAGCGCATACCGCACCCCCCCCCCGCAACCAATACAACTGCGCCACTTGATTGCGACCAGCGGCACAAGCTACCAAACTCGCTACGTGCCGACTACATACAGTAGTGTCGCCGCCACCCATGTCCGTATACATGCCGACACATGTACATCCGTCTCAAGCATTGTCTGCCAAACCTGCCCGATTGCCGGAGCCGCGCCATCAAAGCATGCATGCATGCATCTGCACTTAAAGTAGATAGTATACCTACAGCTCGGCATCCCGGTGTTGGGTAAGCAATCAGCCTTTCGCGAACCATGGGTCCAGCCTAGGAGAGATAAACTCCAGCCAAAAAAAAATGATCCCGAAAGCCAATCCCAAGCGACGTTTGTGGTACCGCCAATCATTGCCTTCCATTTTCTGCTAAGCGCTATCAAGCCAAAATACGTGCCGCGCGCCCTGCCGACAATAGTCTGTATACACATACACACGCGTTTATAAATAATGACCACCATGAATAACCGCAATGGATTTTTTTAAACAAAAAACACCCCCCCGCATGAATAAAATTAAGATGAAATTAAATAAAAAAGGGAATAACAACACTCATAAGGGTTCATAATAAACAACACCATTTTTTGGAAAATGAAAGAAAAAAAAGAAACTGCATGCAAAACCAAGCCATGACGCCATGTAACGCCCACCGCAAAACAAAATACGTGCCAGCCCAAACGGTGATCGGAACAACTCCACACTTGGCCTTGCTTCGGTCAGACTGGGGGGGGTGTGGGTGGACAAGCAAGGGCACAGGCACCCAACTTGCTGAGTGTGCGCGTCAAAAGAGAGCTTATGGAGGAGGGAGGGGAAGGGGGGGGTGGGTTTGGTCATTCTCAGCACATGCTGCAGCTCACACAGCCTGTACCTGGGCCCGTGCGCCGCAACCCAAGCCAAGCTTGCAAGTCCGGCAAGGCCCAAAAGAGCGCAGGAGAAAGAGAAAGAGAGAGAGGAGAGGAGAAAAAACCCCCGATTCTGGGCGATCATTGCGCCAAACTACTCCCTCTCCTCCCCACCTTTTTTTTTTGGCCAAGTTCCTTGTGTAACCCACCCATTAAAAAGGGCGGGCGGCGCCAGCGAGTCAGACTACCCCGTCAACGCACCACGGCCGCAAGGAGCACATTCAGCCCGAAATAACTGTGTTTTGTGCCTTTAGCGTTAGCCTCTGAACTCTTTTCTTGATATCTTGTCGTTTGTTGTTTTGTCTTGGCGCCTCTCTCTTTGATTTCCCTTTTTTTTTTAATTATTCTTCCCACGGAAACACCCTCAGGGAAAGGTTCGGACGAGCGTGGTGGCGTGGGGGGGGGGAATATAGTATGTGTGTATATGCGCGCAACGCACGCACGCGCTTGCGAGTATGTGCGTATATGTGTGTGCGAACTGGTTCCACCGGATAAAGAGATAGGCAAAGACAGCATTTTCCGCATGTCTGGTACTGCCTCTTTTCAGGCGCATGTAACACGCACGCACACACGCACACTCGTGCGCGCGCGCATATACACACCCCGTCTTTTATCGCGCATGGAACCTCCCGTTGGGATTGGGGTTGCGAGCGAGGGGCAGGGCAGACAAGACTGGGTTCCTGGCACTAGGCTGTGTTTTGTGCGGACGTTGGGCGAAAAAAATAAAAACTCCCCGCGAACCTTGGGTCCATGTAGCCCTTGTCCGCTGCACCCCCATGTTGACATGTGACGACATCATTTGCAACGCCGTACAATGGGCCGTGTACGTAGGGTAACTCCGATAGATTTTTGCGGATAGGGAAAAAAAGAAAGAGGAGGAGAGAGAGAAACAAAGAGATAAAAGACCACTTACACCGATGCTGCAGCCTTCCACTCCTGAAGCGACAAAAAACGCTGTATCTCGGGCGCCGAAGAAATGATCTTGAGTTCCACACCGACGATAAGCACGATAACGACCAGACGCCCCAGTAGGCTCGGCACTATAGTAAACGCCAGCAGAGGCACCGCCAATATCAGCGGGAACCACACGGCTGCTGACTGATGATGCCCGGCCCCTTGTTCGCCCGCCGCTGCCATTGTCGCCGTCGTAGTAGTAGAAGTAGTAGCCGCCGCCTCTGAGCGCGGCACGGAGACCAGGTCAGACGCGCACTCCAAAAAGCGACTCTCTGCATAATCAATCGGCTCGTGCTCATCCATCCACTCGCGGTATCGCGCCACATCGTCTTCCCCGGCTGGACGGAGCTTGCTCGTCACATCGCTGAAAGAGGATAGAGCTTTATCTGCGATTAAAGTTAGCAAATGACCCCTAAGAGAAACCCCCCTTCTTTGTGTGTACACAAAAATAAGTTGACAACGACGATCCTTTCCTCTCTCCTGTCTCTCATGTACCACACCATCTTGTCATGTTAAAAATGTAACAAGCTTATTTTTGTTGATGTAACATGCACATGTTCCCAGAAATGTAACTGCAACTTACTGTACTGTTCCAGCTTCTGGAATATCCGACCCAGCAGCTCGGTTCTCTTAAAGTGCGACTCGCCGCCGTACCGCGCGTCGTTTCGTCGAGACGCAGGATACGCGTGGCCGGAGGGATCTTTGGGCGACATTTGCGCAATGCATCGGTCCAGCGTACGTAGCTCTTCTTCGAGTTCGCTCATCTCATCTTGTAGGTGCAACAACACCCGGTGGTTTAGGTGCTCAAACTTACGGTACACGGGTACAAGGTTGACTTTCCGTGCTGTCTCACCTTGTGCGGGCGCGCTAAGTTCGTTCGCCAGAAGCTCATAGCCTGTTAGAGCCGGCTTGGTCTGAGTAGATGCCGGGCCGTGTTGCTGATAAGGTTGCGCTTGGGCTGGATGAGGTGAGAAGGGCTGTGGTATCTGTTTGACCAGGCTGTGTGGGTATGCGTGAGCGACTTCTGGGGATTGGTGTGGCGCATAGCCAATGGCCAATGGGGCTGGAAACGTGTGCATAGGCGACCAAACCTGTGGCGAGTTTGCTGCACCATTACTTATAACAGATGGAGATGCGCCAGCGTATACCTGTGGACTGTACATTGGCGTAGGTGGATAGACCTGACCGGGTGTTCCTCCATTGAATTGGAATCCCTTTTGTGGTTTGGGGTTCTTCAATATGTGATTGGCTAGCTCTCGCTCCTGCTGCTTTAGACGTCTGGCATGAAGGTCGCTACCGCGGGATGATGTAGATGGTGCCCGGTGTGGAGAAACCTTATCTGTAACCTTTTTAGACTTTTTATCAGACGACTCACTGCTGGGCTTTGCCTCTTCTTCACTCTCCGTACAACTGCCTTCACTCTCTCCGCTCTGGGCGACTGTCTCTTCGTCTTCATCCCTAGGCCCATGCACAAAGCTGCTAGCATACAGCGGCTTTTTGAACTTGCGAAACTCTTGGTGAGGTAGCTGAGATACCATTGGGCTGGAATTTTGTGCTAATGTTTGTGAACTGATATTTGATCCATTGGAATCTGTTCCTGCTGCGGATGGGCGCTTATCGCTCAGATTGGAGTCATTCAGAGACGGGGAGGGCAAAAAGGAAGGAGCACTGATCGACGGAACGAAGCCCTGCAAGTATGCAGGCGTGGAATTCTCGGTATCATTATCTGGCTGGAGGTATTTGAAGACATCTGATTCAGCGGCACCCATCATGGAACTGGTAGGACTCTGCCTCTCCGTAGCCATCTCGTATTGGTATGGGTAGCCGTAGTCCTCGCGGGATTTCTGCGTCACCGTCGAGTTACTTCCACTAGAGTTGCTTGATTGCTGTGACACGCTCGAGGCCGATGATGGTTCGGACAGCTCGGCGAGCTTTCCACCGTGGTGGTGGAGAGAGCTATGTTTACGTTGTACGCGTGAGCGACCTGCAGCACTGTCTTCTGTGTGTCGCCGACGAAGCGCTCTGGGCTGACCTGTAGAGCTGACAATGGAACTCCCTCGACGTCTTGATTGCATGGTGGTCTTTTTCTCTCGTATTTGGCCGAGTCTGGGTATATATCCCACGGTACTTCCCTCTTCGTCCAACTCTTCTTGCCCGCCGCGCGGCGTAGGTGACAATTCACCCTGGTGTGAGTCGCGTCTTGAAAGTTTCTTGAGAGTGGTGCGGGCTGCTTTGTTCTTCTTGTCGTCTTCGTTTTGCTCCTCGCTATAAGACAGGGAGGAAGAGGGCGGGGAGCCTTTGGTGCCCGAAGTGGTCCGGGATGGCCTGCGTCGAATGTGGGGTCCACTAGCAGCCACACCGACTTCTTTTTCTTGGAGGCTATCGTAGTGATATTGGGGATCGTCTGTGGTAGGGTTGCGATGCCGTGAAGGGGACTGAGCGCCCTCGACTGGGGAGGACCGGTCCGACTACAAGACAGCACAATTCAGGTCAGTCTCAACGGCCATCTGCGAGTCGACTCGAGAAGGCATTGTTTCGTTATCAACGCACCATGCTACGTAGTGCTTGCGAGGATCAGCTGCCGTCAGCTAAGGTCGCGCTCGTGGTAAATGTATCTGATATTTTTTTGACAATGGTCTGGTGGGCAAAAACCTGCCGAAGAGGGGATGGCACAGTGGGCAGCAGAGCAGTATGCGACTCGTTGCATGCTGGAGGGATCAGTAGTACATGTCGTGTGACGGAGCGAACTGAGACTGGTAAACTAAGCAAACGGTCTCTACAGTGGTACGGGTCGACGCCGGTGGCTCGCTGCAGCTGGTGTGTGCCATGACCATGGCAGTTTGTGCTATGTGGAAGACGAGGAGAGGGCACTCGAGGCTGGACGAGGCCACTATGAAAAATATTCGAGCCGGACAGTCACCGCCTTGCACATGCAGAGCACGCAGGACGTCTTTCCGGTGTGGATCGGGAGTGCGCGGTGCTGCCCAATCGTGGTGGATAGAGGCCGTCAAGCGACTTGCCCCCACCACGTGGGCCCTATTGCCCGAAGCCGTCCGTGTCTTCAACTGCGCTTCCTCCCTTCTGCTAAATCGATCGACGCGCATTCTGATGATGTACCCGTTCAGCCCAGCCGGCCAGTCACCAGTGCTTCTGCCATCTTTTTTCTGGTAACCCAAGAGCATGCAACAAGCCCCTCAAGGCCACGTCAACAAACACCGGGATCCGCACACGCACATGAACAGTATGGTTCTACCGCTGCCAGTGGATAGCCAAGCCGCACAGCTGCTCCGTTTCCGAGCTGGGGATCCCTGCCCTTGCTTGGCTCCACGCTTCAAACCCTCATGATTACGCCCAAAGTCTCGCATCTCCAAGGCGAGCAGATCTGATGGCATGGAAGTTATGCCTCCACTTTTGCTTCGTTTCAACTTCGTAGTCTAAAGTATCCAAGTCTGTACACTACACGCCGAGGCAGCTGTATCCGAAGCTAGGGTCTGTTTCATTATCATACTCGCCATAATAAGCTGCTCTATTCTTATCAGCTTATCGATCCTTGCAAGTACGCACACTGGCTTGCTGTGGCTTCATGTGGCGCGAATTAGAAGCAGCGGATGGCTAGCATACAAAGGAGGCAGCCGGACTGCTCCGTCCCGCTAGCCTATCATGCTCCATTCGTGATGCGAATTCTCATTTGGAAATACCGGCTTCCAATTTGGTCATACATTAGTCGTGGTCGCTTAGTGCCCGAGACAGTGAAAATACCGGAACGAGACATTTCGAGACACCTTGAATAGAGTGATACCAACCGGTCAGCAGAGATTGCAACAATTTAGCTACTTCCACCAATCACCCAAGAACCTTGCCTCTCAACGTTGTCATCTGCAGCACTTCGTCCTTGGTCAGCCCATCACTCCTAATCTCGCCCTTCTTCCCAGCCTTTCTCATCTCCCTATCACTCTCCATACCTATACCCTCGCCCCAACCCCAGTTCTCCTCGACCCATGTTACTGGCCACAGCAGCCATGTGCCTAGCACGCAAAACAGGGTAGCCCAAGCTTGCCAAATCCAGATCAGCACCCAGCCCCCAGGTGCAATGAAGCGTATCCATTGATCTACTTGGTAAAGATCGTCTTGTTTCTCAATCAGGTATTTGCCCGTCGAGGGTGAGTGGCGCAGGCTGAGAACCGTCGTCAGACGGACCGGCGCGTAGTAAAAGGGCACTGCCCAGATGCGGAAGATTTGGAAGATTGTCACATAGAGCGTCAAGTTCGCTTCGTCGAATGCTACCAATGAGAATCAGTGCCTAGATCCGTGTAGACCGTATGGAAAACGCGTTGCAACATACCCACACTCTGCACCGTCAGATCAATCCTCGGACTCATGATCTTGTACCAACGGTACGTCGCATCGACCAGCCATCGAGAGTTTGGCCCGCTCCATGTTCGACAGAATGGATGGGAGAAAGCGGCATCTGGCGTGAAGTACTTCTCAATCGTTGCGCGTTGTAGAGAGGGCGGTGATTGTGTGAGGAGATGGATCACCGCCGGAATTTCCTTGACTGGCCATTTCACGTCAGCAAGAGCTGTAAGGCCTGGGAACTCGAACAAACCTGGGTCTTCCATGTTGTCGATCCGTGTGCCGAGTAAATTTGCGCATTGCGTGCTCGTCGGAAGGCGGCTGCTTTATGTACATCGTGCAGCCTTTGGCGTGCTTTCGCATGTGAAGACGCGTTGATATGACGTCATATATGTCACTGCATCACTTTGATACTGATGGCACCATCGCAACCAAGTCTGTGCGGCCGTAACTTTAGATTCATTATATCGATCGTAGACGTATCGAGGTATTTTTGTAATTACATAGACCATAGAAGCATCAATCCGCTAAACTTTCACCACGTCTATTGAGACCTGTACTGCTGGATCTCTGCCTCCGAGATCTGCCTCAGCTTGTTCACATTTGGTGACTCGCCGGTCGCGATACCCTTGGCCAGCTCAACAAGCCCGCCGATTTGGGTCCTCTTGGATATGGCGTATTGAGCAGTGCTGGCCTTGACACGGATGATACCAATCCGTGGGTCTTCTGGACCACCGTCGTGCTTGCCGTCGCCGAGGTCGCCGATCCAAGCTTTGAGCGCTGGCGAGTAGTGCTTGCGGACAACCTCGCGATCAGTCTCGATGGTTGCATGGCCAGAGATGGATGCCCATTCTCCGGAGTTGTTGATGAAGCCAATGTTGACCGACGCGTGTTCTTTCAGGTCGTCCGTCTTGCCAGACTCAGTGTTGGTGTGGAAGAGGAGATCGAAGCCGTGTCCTTCCTGTGCATTCGTTAGCGGTGCTATATCAATGGATACTGCTTGTTGCTCACCTTGGCTGCAAGTGCCATTGCTCTCGAAGCCAAAAGATCGCTGTCAGCAACTTGTGTGGTCAAGAGGCAAAACTTGGTCTTGTCGACGAAGCTGAACAGATCCTCAACCTTCTCCTTCAGAGAAGGCTCTTCGAGGTTCTTCTGAGTGTAGGGGTCGGCGGTCTTGGAGCCGGTGTCCGTGTTGCTGAAGCCAGACATGTTGAAGGTAGTGTTGGAGAAGACGCGTTGAGAGGTGAGTGATTTGGGTAGCTGCGAGGAAGGCGTCAGCTTCTGTAAACACAACGTTCGTGGTAATCTTCGTGCGGCCGGTGCAGCACAACGATGAAGAAAGCGAGGTGCTATCATACCTGAGTAGAGGACTATTGGGAGCAGGTGGTGTGGTGCAGGAGAGGTCCACGAGAGGGCACGACTATGTAGTGACAACGCTGTGGTGACGTCACATGGTCCCGACGCGTTTGCCCACCCCCGCTGCTAAGGTGGGGAGGAACAATTAGACAGTTAACCGGATCTGCTTTTGCGAAACAATGCTGGGCTTACCCAAAGGATCAGTGGTTGCGTCATGTCTCTTAGTAATAGTTCAGGTACGACAGGAGCGGTAAGCTAAAAAGGAATATAGACTTGAACATCACACCGGCGATCAGTCCAGCCAACTGCGAGCCGCATCATCTAGTGTGAGCTTAAGAATATCAGATAGTGATATTGACCATCTAGATCTGCCGTGCGTCTAGAAGGAAAGTACCGTACCCCACGCCGTGACCCCGTCCAATGCCATGCTGGTATCCCATAAACAACAGCGGAGAATGTCCCGACCACAAGCTAAAAAGAAAGAATCGGGCTAGATCCCAGACTATACGGATGCCCCGGATATGTCACCCTTTTTTTTCGAGGGACTAGATCCCTCACGACAGGCGGCACTTTGTGTGCTCTATGCGTCAGCGGCGGCTTCCTTATCCTCGAGCGACGCCTTCTTGAGGTCTTCGGCAGCATCAGCAGCAGCATCCTTCTCCTGGGCCAATTCAGCCTCTGCAGATGCATTGCCGTTGACCGCCTGGTTCTTCTGGGCAGGCTTGCGTGCAGCGTCAGTGCTACCGCTAGCCTCTTCCTCCGCCTCTTCTGCTTCAAGACGCTCGATTTCCTTTTGTGCCTTGGCAATGTTCTGTGGTCTATGTTAGCCCTGTGACAGCAATGTAGCTCGCAGGCATATTTACCTCCTTGGTCTTGCGGTCTTGGTCCTCTTTCCAGTGCGCAAGCTTGGCCTTGAGCTTCTCGACAGTGGCAGGCACGTCTTCTTGGCTTGAGGGAGCCTCAACGCCAACCTTGGCCAACTCCTCAATGATACCAATGTTGAGGTTGAACTTGGCGGGAGCAGAGCTGGCGCCGCCCTTCTTGCCCTTCTTGCCCTTCTTTCCGCCAGTGCCGACAAAGTAGCTCTCTTCCTCGGTATCCTTCTTAGAGATGCGCGTGCCCTTCAAACCAGACTCGTCGACAGTGCGTTGAGCGGAAGCAGCAAACTTGCTTGCCGCAGTGGTCTCCTTGGGTGGGAGAGCGGATGGGTCGAAGTGACGGATCAAACCTTCGGCAGCAATGATCTCGTCGCCGTAAGCAGGTGTGCTGGCTTCTTCGAGACGCTTGCTGGCAGCCTCCTTGCGCTTGCTTGCAACGTACTGGAGTTGCTCTTGACGCCTCTTCTCAAAGCGAATCTTGCGAGCCTCGGACTCGTACGTCTTGAATGCGCGCAGCTGCTGGAAGTATGCATCCTTGAGGTCTTTTCGTGCTTGGTACTTCTCTTGCTGCTCAGCGCGCGCCTTGTCTGTCTGCTCACGAAGTGTTCGCAGGTTCTTGAAGGCCTCGTCTTGCTCGGCCTTGAGAGCATCCAGCTCAGTCTGGAGCTTGGTGTACTTGTCGCTGAGGGCCTTGTTCTCGGGGTCGTCCAGGAGCTTCTTCTGCTCAGCGATCTGGGCCTTGATGTCGTCAATCTTCTTCTGCTGAGCATCGAAGCCGGAAAAGTTCTTGCGGGCCTTGTTAAGGGCGCTGATCTCGGCGAGGGCCTTCTTCTCATCAACCAACTTCATCATGCCACCGTCGACTTGCTTCTGCAGACGTGCGATTTCCTGGTCAACCTCCTCAACAGACTTGTAGTTCGACTTGCCCTTTGCGGTCTTGAGCTCGGCCAACTGCTGCTTAAGCTGTTCGTCGAGTTTCTTGATCTTCTCGAAAATGGCATTGCGGCCGGACTTGTTCCCTTGTTGTGTCTGGCGGATAGCGTTGAGCTCGGTCTTGAGCTCCTGCTGGCGTTTGGCATTAGGCGAATCCTTGTTGTTTGGCTTTGCATTATCGAGCTTAGCCTTGCAGGCGTTCTAGTGATAGTCAGTACCGGTTTTCAGACCTTTATATCTGCATATGATGCAGGTACCCGACGATCCATCAATGTCTATGTCAATGGACTCGATGTACTTACCAGCTTCTCCTGAGCCGCAGCGTGCTCCTTCTCGAGTTTGGCAAGTTCCTCCTTGTACTTCTCCTCGTCAGGCTTGTCCGGCTTGACGATCTGCTGCTTGCCTTGCGGGGCAGAGCCATTGGCGGTGGCCTTCTGGGCGGCGGGGGGAGTTGCAACGTCGGCCATGTCTGCTATGCAGTCAATTGGGTTGACGAGTTGACCGATGTAATGCGACGGTAGAGGAGAGTCTGCGCGAGTTGCGTTGACCACCAAAGGGTGAGGGTGGACAGTAAGAGCGGTGGGGAGGACAACTATTAAAATCGAGGGTCTCGAGTGAACCGCGGAATGTTGGCAACCTTTCCCGAATTTTAGCGGATGGGCTAGTGCCGCATTCTCCATCCATCGAACATTCACCGGGGGCCTCGAACCTCACCCACCAAACTACGGGATGGCGGAGCAATCGCGGGGCAGTATCCCCATCTTGTTGCTCAAAACGAAGTCGGTACCCACGGACACGTACGAAGAGTTATTCCTTGGCCTCGACAATGGCCGCTACGCTCCTGTTTTTGTGCCGGTGCTGGAGCACAGGTTCAAGCGAGACGCTCTGCGCGAGGTGCGTGAGCATGTCACCAGCCGAGGCTTGGTGCCAAAGTCGCAACAAGGCCTCGCGACATACGGCGCCCTGATATTTACCTCGCAGCGGGCCGTTGAGGCGTTCACCGAGGTTATCCAAGAAATTCGCAGCCAAGGAACCTATAAAGTTGACGATCTGCTTCCAGAGAGCCTGCCACTCTATGTCGTAGGCCCGGCTACCGCACGCGGACTGCGAGCGTTAGGACTTAAATGCCCCATCCTAGGTGAAGAAACTGGCAATGGTGAAGCCCTAGCTGGCTTCATCCTGCAACACTATAACGCCATGTATCCAGATACTCCCAACCCACCTGTTCTGTTCATGGTCGGAGATAAGAGAAGGGATATAATACCAAGAACGCTCCAGTCGACGGAGCTGGAGCCGAATACTAGGGCAAAAGTTGACGAATTGGTTATATACGAGACCGGAGAGATGCAGTCTTTCAAGGAGAACTTTTCTGCCATTTGGAAAGACAACACTAAGAGGGGTTTCAGACGCCAATGGGTGGTTGTATTCTCCCCAAGCGGATGCCAGGCGATGCTCGAGAGTCTGGGTCTTTTGGATACTGAGACTGGAAGAGCAAAAGCGTCTACCGAACAGAGGGACATACTCATAGCCACCATCGGCCCGACTACTCGCGACTACCTCATACAGCAATTTGGCTTTACTCCCGATGTGTGCGCAGAAAAGCCAACTCCAGAGGGTATAGCGGAGGGTATTAGATATTTTCTCGAAAAGCGCGGTTGAAAAAAGCACGGTCTCTGGTCGACACTTCGTGTAAAATAGATAGGTTATTGTGTTTGTTCTGGTGCTTCATCAGAGGCGCTACAGGCCATGCTTGCTGTGAGCAATCGCATTCGTATTCGCACGTTTCATTCTTATGACGACTATGATGATTGATCACAACTTTGTTCTGGCGGATATTGCTGCACGTGCCTTCCTGACGCGTTGATGTGCTAAATACTGCCATTGACGTCACTACACACGCGACGCGACTGCGACAAACTTCCAGCGCAATCGTCTGTCCGTACCCTTATATCTTTCCCATTCTTCACTGTTCGACTTTCTATTAACAGATTCTCGGAATTCTACTCAATTGACCCAATATCTGCACATTTGACTGCAACACACTCTCCTACACATAATTCCAGTAACATGTCAAGCCCCACGAAAAGCAGCGATGTCGCAGCTGGTACTAAGAGGAAACATGATGTCGAGCCATCTCCCAAGCGCGAGACCAAAGCAGCGAAGAAGCAGACCACTATTGAGGAGACGATGGGATCAGGTAAAGAAAAGGACGAGGAGATGAAAGACGCCTCGGATGATGGCGAGACTGTGAAACAAACAGACAAATCTGAGGAAAAGGTCGATGAGAACCTTGTCGATGCGAGTGATGAGCAAGCTTTGTCCAACGGCGACGACGCAAAGCCGTCTGGGACCGAAAGTCAGGGTGACGACGATTCCAACACTGAGCCAAAAGCGCACACAACGACACGGGACGAACAAGAAAATGATTCGCACAATACTTCAAAAGAACCAGTCACCAATGGAGAGGGCGCGATCGAGGAGTCATCGCAGCGTGAAAAGCAGATTCCATCGAACATTCTTGAAAAAGGCGTCGTATACTTTTTCACTCGCAACCGCGTCGGCATTGAAGAATCTGAAAGCGTGGGCGATCTACAGCGCACATTCTTCGTCCTGCGACCTATGCCAGTAGGCGCCAAACTCGGCGACGGCCCGCTTGCGGATGACAACAACAATCGTTTGTTCGCGCTTCCAAAGAAGGTTTTCCCAAAGTCACACAACGATCGTTTCATGGCTTTTGTGGAGAAAGCGAACGTTACCATAAAAGAGCTGAAGGAGGACTTTTTCAGTGCGGAAGAGTATAATACAAAGACACAGGGCACTCGGCGCGTTGAACCCGTTGCTCCAGTGGCTGAAGGTGTATACGCAATCACACGTACTGAGGACCGTACATGTCATCTTGTCTATTCTACTACTATCCCCTCAGAACTTGGTGAGGTGCAGGATGATCTGGGTATCAAAGATCAGGGCAGCTTCATCATCAGCGTCAAGAACCCGGAGCGGAGTGGACCTGCCCAGGCCCAGCTCCCTCAAAAACCTGATTTTCCTAAAGAGTGAGTGTGCTTCATATCGCAAAATTATTATATACTGATCATGGGACAGATTCATCGAAGAGTTCCGTGGACTAGCTTGGGTCGAAGCGAAGCCGAAGTATCTTGACTATGAGTACTGCCAGATCCTGCTCATTGGCGAGAGACTGGAGTCGGGCGTCAAGCCTACTACGAAGGACCAAAAGCATGATAAGGAGACTCCGCTCGAGGAGATTGAGAAGCTCGAGCATGAAGACGAGCTTCGCGTCGAGCATCTTCATGGTGAGTTTTCTGTTAGATGTTTGACAACGCAGGTGTTAACTGATCATCAGGTGATGATTCCATCTACGATGACCTCAAGATTAGCAAGAAGGAGTATCCCCAGGTCTCTACGACCTGGTGAGCGGATATGTGGAAATTGTGTCCATTTTCTTGTTATCTAAATATAGGTTTGTCGGGTAGTGTAAAGCACAAATCTTTGGCGTTTTAAAGGCGCGGAAAACAATGTGGAACCCACGAGTATGTGATAGGATATAACCGAGCGTATGCATGGGCGAGAATGTTGTTGGGACACACGTTGGATGAGAACGACTAGTTCAATGAAATCTCTCTTTCATTCATCCATCTCTACTATCATACTTATGATCTGGCCACAGCCACCCTATGTTCCTTCCTACGCATCTGGTGGGCAAAAACATGAGTACTCCACAGGTCATCACCCAACTCACATCGATAAAACTCTAGATAGTTGGCAACTTTAGAGCTTTATCACGCTACTATAACATCATTATTACTATTATCTCCTACGCGAATTATCTTCGCAATATACTAGAAAAGCGTGTGAACGGTGCAGCCGACCACATGGAGGATATCGTATTTTAGAGTACCCGTGTTTTTGTCCACCGGGTGCCATGGTACCCAAACAGCAACATCTACTTCGCAAAAGATTCCAATAGATGTATTTGCCAATAGGATGAGAGCACAGCGGAGTCCTCCGCTTTTATACTAGAACACTGTCCCTACCTGTTTGTTTTGCGAAAAGGGTCTCGCAGAGTGCTTGCATCATTAATTCTTCAACAGGGTCCGAAGACTTGAAAATAGAACACTTCCCTCGCTAATATCCCTTCGCATCTCGAGACACCTCACCTACCTTTCAAAAAAAAATCTCAACTTTTCCTCAAAGCACGTCCAAAAAGTCCATCATGCTTGCCCCCGGAAAGCACCACTGGTTAAGGCCAGGCTACTACAACACCCCTTCATTCCGCCAAATCTGCCGTGACAGCTGGCTAAATATATTCACAGGGACCCTTTGTGTCATCTTAGCAATCCTTCTCTGGAGGCTTTGTCCGCCCATAATCCCTCACTACCTCCCTTACTTCGAGGGCGTAGAGACCCATCCCATTGGCCTAAAATACTCACAGCCACTACGAGAAGAGTACATCAATACCATCATGATGGCAGCAATCTCATTTTTGGTGCCTAGCAGCATCATGCTTGTCATGAATCTACGGGTACTCAGAGATTACTACAATTGGGACGCATCCGTGAGTCTTTTCCCATTCTCCGCGCTCTTAAAACAACCAACTGTTCAAAAAAAAAGGTTCCATCTCGGCTGATAATTAAAACCTTGAAAAAACAGTTCACAGGCCTCAGCTATGCCCTCTCAACCTCAACTCTATTCTCCTGCATCATCAAAGTCCTAATCGGCGGCCCCCGACCCAACTTCTACGAAATATGCAGACCAGCAGCCTACCTTCTTGAACCTACTGCTCCCCACATGTGGTCTATCGTACAATACTACCCAGTCTCCCAACTCTGCACCAACACCGACAAATTCTCCCTCAACGAAGCACAGAAAAGCTTCCCAGCCAGCCATGCCTCCTCCGCGTTCGCCGGCTTCGTGTTTCTCGCGCTTTGGCTCAGTGCACAATACAAGACGTTTGGGCGGTCGAGACTTGATACCAAGCACCATAACCCAGTTACGGAGACTGTTCTTCACGATCCCAAAAGTGGGCTTAAGATACTTTCAGGTCGATACTTTGATGCGGTTCCGCACTGGAAAATCATCATTTTTTCGATACCGCTGTGGGTTGCTGTTGCGCTTTCGTTGTCTAAACTAAGAGATGGATGGCATCATCCTGTTGATGTGGTGTGCGGGGCGTGCATTGGGACGTTTTTTGCGGTGGTGGCGTATAAGATGGTTTTTTGGAGTGTGTGGGATGCAAGGGATAATCATGTGCCGAGGAGGCATGTGGATGGTGCTGTAGAGAGTAGGGGGTGAGGGGTTGTAGGGGTTGGAATTGCCCAAGCGCCATGAAATGGAGTATTTTGAGAGAATCAGGGGTCCTTTTTGAACATGTTTATTGCATTGGGAAAGCATTAGTGGGGTTGTGGTGTTGGAGTGTCTTCACATCACATTTTGGTCAAGATTACACTGATTGGGCTTACATCTACTCGTTGGTTGCCCTCATCCTCTGTTCATATCACGACTGAGCTAGCAATAACCTACCGCGGTATTGAACAGCATATTTGAAATTTCGATCCCTTTATTCTGCCTGCGACGAACAAGTGCTCACTTCTCTTTAGTCTTATGCACCTAGTGTCATTCTTGCAAGTACTACTAACCACAAGTTCTACCTTTGGAAAATTTGAGCAGTATGATATTCGGGAAAATCGCCAAACGCGTCCAACTCTTCATTCTCAAGACCCCGTCAACATATCCCCTTCCTTATTAACAAACTCTACATCTCCCACACTTTCAACAACGGTCACTTCCCTAACGATACCCTCATCATCCCACCCAAAATCCACAACACCTCCACCTCGAATCCTCAAACCCTTCACCTTCCCTCCCTTCCAACTTTCAGGAATAGCCGGACCAAGCACCACCTTCCTCTTCCCCTCCTGTCCCTCAGCCGGTGCCGGCAAATCCACAACAAGCATACTCAACACCAACCCCCCATACCCATAATTCGCATCAATCTGGAACGGCGTGCGCTCTCCTTTATACATACTGAATCCATTGCCTACAAAATTCTGTTCAATTGCATATCTGAGCTCCAAATGCGCTTGTGCCGTATCATTCAGTCTTGCCCAGCATGCTCCACGCCATACTTTTTCCCAACCCGAGTTTGCATCGGGCCCATTGCCGATGCCGCGGCTAATGAGTTTGTTACGGACAGCAGATTGCACTGTGGTGTTTGAGTAGCCACCAAGGAAAGAGGAGAGGGAGTATCCGGGGTGCCAGCCTACGAGTTCGGAGATGTGACGGTGGGTGTCATTTTGGAATTCGTAACCGAAGGAGTCGGGGAGTTTCCATTCTTTGATTTGGGACCAGGATCCCACGTGGAAGCCTTTGTCGAGGCGGGAGAGCGTGGAGGAGACGTTGGACGTGAAAGATGTATCGGTTTCACCGGCGAGGGAGTGCGTGGTCAGAACGGCGTCGAAGACTTGGTGGATGAGTTGTTGGTGGTGGGCACAGCCGAAGGTTGTTGGACCGTGTTCAGGGCTGCTGCAGGGATTTACGATGAGTGTGTTGTCGTTGGTGAAGGCATCGGCGTGGAGTTGGGAGAGCCAGAATTGAGCGACGCTTTTGATGAGTGGATAGCCTTGTGTGCGCAGCCAGGCCGTGTCGCGGGTGTAGTCCCAGTAGTCGAAGATGTGTAGCATCATCCATGCTGGGGCGGCGGGATAGTTGGCCCAGCCTTCTCCGTCTTTCATTCCGGTGTGGCCGAATATGTTCATTTCATTGTGGACGACCCAGCCTGGTGCGCCGTATAGTAGCAGGGCTGTTTCGTGGCCCCGTGGGACCCACGTGTTTATCATGTAGTCCCACAGTGGCGTCTGGGTTTCTGTCAAACCTGTCTGGTCGGCAGTCCAATAGTTCATCTGCAGATTGATATTGGCGTGGTAGTCGGCAGACCAGTCGGGCGCCATCTGTTCAGTCCATCGCCCCTGTAGATTAGTCGGTAGAGAGCCTGGTCGTGAGCTGGAAATCAGCAAGTATTGTGCGTAGTCAAAGAGCAAACTTTCGATAAATGGGTCACCAGAAGTAACGTTAGAGTCGTAACTTGCCATCAGCTCCGGTGTTGGAACCTGGGCCGAGTTCAGGGGGTCGGGAAGAAGAAACTCGAAGCGGCCTGTGAGGGATGTAAAGTCTTCTAGATGAATATTCTTCAATTCCTCGAGAGTTTTCGTGGATGCTTTTCGTATCGTTTCTTCAACCACTGGGCCTGGGTCATTTCCTCGAAACGAGTATTGGTACTCCGCTGTGCCTTTCTTCATATCATAATTCGTCTCGGCTCCTATGATAACCGTAGCGCTCTTTGCTCCGTCCCCAGGTGTGACTTTTAGGATTCCCGTGTTGCTATTGCAAGCTGTCTTCAACCTAGAATTTGGCAACAAGCGTGCAATTGTATCATAAATCATTCCTTCTGGAGGGCCTAGTTGGGTTATACCCCGTAGCCTCACATGGTCAGAACCCGTTCCAGTACCATTTGTAGCGCATGTAATATTTTCAAGCTTGGGATCAACTAGTTCGTTGCCCAATTTTATTTCGAAAGCTGGCAGATTTCCAGACGACTGGATTGTGTAGACACAAACTTGGTCCGGATAAGAGCAAAAAACTGTAGTTTCAAGCTGAGTATCATTGGTGTTGAAAGAAGTCGAATGGAGACCATTTATCAAATCCAGTTTACGCGTGTAGTTGGAAACTTGGGTGCCAACAAGGGATGGGATAGCCACAGTGAGATTGGCCAGGACACGGTATGTTCCATAGTTGTCGTTGGTACCGAGTAACTTTGTCACATTGCCGGTGCCATTGGTGAAGATCCAGTCTCGAATTCCAGGCAATGCGGAGTCGATTGATGATTCTGGGTTACCACCAGTGTAATTCTTGAACCATATTTAGTTTATACATGTCTAAGCGTGTATTGTAAGACTTACAGATACTTCAAAAGGCCCTCCCGACCATAAGCTGTCGAGATTCAGCGTAAGAGCTTCAGCCGAGGGAGGGCCGATTGGCATAGCAGCTAGTCGTCCATTGCCGACAGGTAAAGCGGTTCGGATGACGTCGCTGGTATTGGCAGGTGAAGTGGACCATATCAATTTAGCGCTAGTGCCATGTATAAGTGCAGATATCACTGACGGCAATAGCGATTTTGGCAGCATTGTAAAGTATTGAGTTTGCCCACAGTTCCCGGGCAACCATGCATTTTTCGAAAAAGCGATGGAGCTCTACATAAATATTCATAAACCTTGTGTTCTCCCCGCTTTGCTTGCGGGGACGGGTATTGGTTTTCTTTTGGTGATCGCCATGTACGTAGATTCTCCGCGAATGGCATTAGTCGGTTTGCCCCATAGTTACCGACGATACGGGCGTCTATTGGCCACGAGACACGATGGGATGTCGGAACAGGAAGGAGTACCTCAAATATAGCTGCGATATCTCAAGTATACAACCCAATGCTCGTTGATCTCCAAGAATTTTCCTGTATCGAGTATACATTCCGGCATGTTGTAGCTCATTTGGTTGTAAAGCAGGTTTCCGGCTGAGAAGGAGCGGAGGAGCCATTGCTCATTCCTTTACTACTGCCGTTGTGCTGCAAGTCTTCAGCAATGCCTGAGGTTGTTGGCATGCCTTCATTTTTATTTCGTGAAAACATAGCTGTTGTTCGTCTGCAGAGGTGACACAGCGTATTCTAGATGCTCTTCTGAGTCGATCTTGTTTCCAGCCGCCGTATCAATGCCTGCTGGTCCCGGAAGTATTGCCAAACTGAACACAATGTCCGCAATGTCCTGTATCTTTGACGTATTTTACCCACTTATATGTATTGGACTTGATATGCGATGATGGCTGCAAGTATCCGGACTTGAGGAGCTCATCTGTCATGTCATGAGATGAACACGCTGTGAGGAAACAAAGGTGGTGGTGTTAAGGGAGGGTGTTGCGGTTGGAGGGGCAATTCCAGCCAATCGGCGGTTCGATTGCCCGAGCGGCGCTAAGTTTGGTGAACGATGATTCCATGATCATCACAGCTTCTGCGCCCTCAATTGAAGCCGGAATAGCAAAGATGAGGACGCCGTACACGTGCAGACAGTGTCTTTCATTACTGAAGACACCACGGGCTTCACTGCGCTCTCCGCAAGCCCTCCGTCCGTTGGCCCAGAATGCGGCGGTATCACGAAGTCACTCCACCAAAAGTCCAGCACCGCCAAAACTAGCCCTACCAAAGCGCAGCCTCTCTACGACCCCGCAGCGAGCGTTCGAAAAGCCGTTTGAGCCATATGAATACATTGATCCCGAGGGAATTCGCCGGACCAGGGTTCTGACTGAGGACAATCTCTTCAATTCATTCTCCAACTCGCCCATCCCGCAAATACGAAAGCGCGCAGCTTTCATGCGCCAGCATGCATACTGCCCGCATCCTTCGCACCAGCCTACACGCGCCGTCAACAATCCCATGGACCTCGAAGCCCGCAAGTCCTCTGAGACGGGTACTCCCCCTGCGCACGTAGATTTCGAGTGTCCAGACTGCGGCATTCCGGTATACTGCTGCGAAGAACATTGGGCAGACGATTACGAGGCACATTTGGAAGTTTGCGATGTGCTGAGACAAATCAACGAGGATGATCACGACTTGCGGAGTGGGCGATTCTTCCGCGAGTTCCAATTCGCTGAGCCTCAGATGGAGGAGATTTTGGTCAACATGACGAGCTGGGACACATATCTGTACACTCGTGACTTTGATGCACTCAACGAGGACCGTGAGATGAGGCAGGCGACAAAGCTCCTGACATATCCTATGACCATTGCCAGTATTCTAAATGAGTTGAGCCCCTACAATATCCGGAAGAATGGACGCATGACACCAGAGGGACTGAAGAGTTTTAGCGGTATGTGTATTCTTGCTTACTCAACCTTGTGGTACTAACTTAGACATAGCACTCCGGCACACGCTTCATCCACCCCGAACCGGCGGTGGTGACACCTGGAAGAATGCACGTATCGCTCCACCTTCGGTCCGCCTCTTCATCCTCGGCGCACGCGCAGAGTCTTCACTGCCCCGCGAAACATGGATGCAACTTGCCTACCTTTTCCACCGTGTTCAGTTCTCTTTGAACTTCATCGGACCTGAGAGCATGGCAAACCGCGAGAAGGAGCTGCCCCTTCCCGAGCGTACGCCCCTAAACCCCTTTGGTGCTGTAATCGAAGACCGCATCAGCAACGCCATGAAGATCAGCACTTTTGTCGAATACTATCACAACATCCACAAGACGGGCTACTTCTACCCTTACGACCCCTACTTTGACTGCTTCGTTGTTTTCCACCCAGGCTTCGGAAACCCCGCCTCAGCCCATGAGTGGGAGGAGACGCTGCCGCTCTTACTGGAGACAAAGGTTCCAATCATCGCGACTGGCTACAGTCCATGGGATATGCAGCAAGACGTCGACTTCTTGACCAAGAGGTTTGGCAATGAGATAGATATGCTGCTTGAGCCTGGTGAGAATCTGTTCCGGAGCTTGCGTTGGGACCTCAACGACCTTGACCCTCATGATGTCACGTGCAGCAACTGGGGAGTGTACTCTTTCCGTGGCAAGAGGTACGAGGCCACGAAGAGAGATGAAGAGAAGGAGGTCCATAGTGAACGGACTGAGTGATTAGGAATCGAAGCTATAGTATCCGTGTAGTCATGTACAATACTGTATATTGCAACTGAGCATGTCTGACATGTAATATGACGATTGTTGATCTCTGTTTCGTCTTATCAAGGGCTTGAATAACGACACCTGTGTTGGTCAGGTTAACTATCTGGACTGATTGCACTGTGCGTAGTCGAAAATTGTGTCGTCTCTCATAAAATCATGTCTCATTCATGCTATCTACTTAGTGGCATCCAGGGGTGCACACGCCTCCGTAGCAGTAGCAGACCTGACGCTTAACCTTGCCGTGGCATCCGGGAGTACAGAATCCTCCGTAGCAGTAACATACTTGGCGCTTGTCAATAGCCTATTAGAATCAGTAGTGTTCTTGGGTGTTGCATTGCTGTGAGCGGGAGTAGTGGCTTGACATACCATACCCTCCATAACCTCGTTGGTGAGAGCGTCACGAACTTCAATCATGTTGGAGTCGGCTGAACGAAAGTGTTAGTAAGCTCTTGACCACTATATCCTACGGGTGATTGGAGAACAAAGATGGCATACCAGCGGGAGCGGCCAGCGTAGCGCCCAAGAGAGCAGCGACGGTGAAGAGTTGAGTGGCGAACTTCATGGTGACGGTTGCAAAGTGATTCTGTTGGATTGATCTGATGATGTTGTGTGCTGTGAATAGAATCTATCAACGGAACTCATTCTTTTTATATGCTCTTTTGCTGCTCCAACTTGGCACTTCCTTCCTACCACACGGCGCCATCACATACACAAAATCCCGCATATGATTCTGTTCTAGCGACCTTCTCGCAACTCAGCAGCAATCTGTAGCAGTAACACACATACAATAGAGTAACCAGATTCGGTAAAATCATCGCATCACACAAGCTTCGAGGTCCACATGTGGATTCATAGCATCTTCACATGTACAGCCACCAACGCCAGTGGGTCGTGAACGGTCTCTACTAGAAGAAATGTTGAGCGTCATTTCTAGTCCTAGATACTATAAACTAGACGCTTTACAAGTCCAGTGGTGGGTCGGCCCGTCACCCCACAAACTACCTTCCAGACAGAGTGAAGAAGATGAGCGTTGGTGGCTGAACCACAGTGTAAGCGATGAGGAATCGGTTCATCGGTCGAAGGCATACTAACATGACCGATGTAACAGAACAAGAGGATATGATTTTCCGCTATGTTGACTATCCGACTCTGTACCAATCGCCCTCGAGCCTAACGGCTGCGTATAAGAGTCCGTGTCCCGATCAGCGGAACCTCTACCAAAGACAGGCTTAGTGCCATCTACGTAGTATCGGGAGGCCTTAAAATCAGTTACACTAAAGGAACGTCACGACACACAGGATCTAAGACACGTGGGTCAGAGGTGAACGCCTGAATGTGGGGAAAAAGAGTATTCTTTTAAGACATTTTTGTAGCAGAACAGGGACAAGAAAGTGGCTTCCATATCCGGGCCGTCGGCGGCCAAGCCGACATCAACCCCAGAAACCCGCATCCTTCAGTCCTTGAATTGTTCCTCTGAATCCCACGACTTCTTTGGGATCAATACCGAGGTCCTCGGGGCTGATGAACTCATCTGTTACCTCCCACGGATCACACGCCTCTCCGTACTTGAACTGTAATGATAGTTCGGCGCCTAACAGGCCATGCAGCTGTGCAGCGGTTTCCGGGCTGATTTCAGCATAGACGCAGTTTTTGCCTGTCACTTCGGACCAGACGTCCACCATTTGTTGGAAAGTCCACTTTTCTAATGCAACGTTGGCGCAGCGACCGAATGCTTTGCTTCCCGTGGCTAGGACTTGCCGCACCCAGATGCCGGGGTTAACGCTCATGTCGCCGGCAAGAAGAACTTTGGCATCTGGCTTTGAGGGGAAGGCTTGGACCCAGCGGCCTGTGTCTGGCTATTCATTGGGTCAGTATCTCGGGCATCTAGGATTAGAGTTTGCAAAGTAACTTACGTATTTAACAGGCTTGCACATGGGGAAGAAAGCCATGTTTTGCGGATAATACCCAAAGTACAGATACGTCGTTATAGCCGCAAGTTGAGGGAGCTCAGACTTGATGCGAGCATCGACATTGGCCTTGTAATCCATATGCGGGACTTCCATCTTGCCCCAGAACCGGCGCTTGGCACTCGGACATGTCGACCAGATGTAGTGCCCTACTGTGCGTGAAGACGCAGCAGCCCGTGCCAGATTCATTCCATGACGCTCTTCGATTTCGCCGCATTCGTGTTGTGTCTTACCTCGGAAAAGCCATTCCCACCAGTTGGTGACTGCAAAGACAGCATGTACGCCTTCGAACGCAGCACGGAGAGAAGCTTCATCGTCAAAATTGGCTCTCACTACCTCGATACCCTCTTTTGCGAGCTTCTTGGCCGCCTCGCTGTCGGGGTTTCGTGTAACCGCACGGATCTTCCAACCTGGAGTCTTCTTCATAACGTTTACTACCCCGCCACCTTGACTTCCAGTGGCACCGGTCACTGCAATGATTTTGACCTTTTGGTCAGGCCAGTCCGAGATCGTGCCCGGCAGTCCGCTTGTCTCTCCATGCATCATCTGGAACCAGGGCTCAAAGACAGCTTCAGTGCGCTTTGCGAATGCTCCGCTCTTATATCCCGGATGGCCCCAATCGATGATTTCGTCATGTGCAGCTTCGATGAGCTGGCCAGTCTTGATATTCTCCACATCATTGAGGAAGGAATCGAAACCAGCCATTAGCGTCGATTGCAACGTCATGTGTTCCGGGCGGAAGGCCTTGCTAAAGCCAGGCATGGCAGGTGTCTCGATACCACCGGGCATCACGCAGTTGACAGTGATGTTCTCCTTGACCTGCAGGACCGGTCCCACTGTCTTGACCCACTGATGGACTGCGGCCTTTGCAGCGCAGTACTCGGGGAAGGTTTGACAAGGATATATACCAATCATGCTTCCAGTCACGACAATCTTGCCTCCTTTCCCCCCCGGATTATGTCGCATGAAGTGAGTTGCCAGTGTGGTTCCATATATCGTGCCTTTCAGATCAATGTCAGTGCAGGTGGTGTTGGGCTCCGCAGGCAAATCGCCAATGGCCGCATCGCGGCGAGCAAAGTTGTAGACAGAGCCTCGATCTACACAACCGGCATTGGCAATCAGTACATCGATTCGACCCCACTTCTTCCAGACTGATTGAAAGAGATTGGATTGTGATGAGTAGGAGCTCACATCGCACTGGACAAAGAACGCTGTGTTTTCGGACGCGTCGAGCGAATGGACAACTGTCTGGCCCTCCTTCTCCCGTCTACCGCAGATGGCTACGCGGTAGCCATCACGATGAAGATGTGCTGCCAGCCATGAACCGATACCACTCTGTCATGTGTCAGTGTACTCATGGCGATCTTAAAAGTATAATACGACGAACCGTAGCACCGGTAACAATGGCGACCCTTTGTTCGTTCTTCGAGACCCGAACCATTATGCAACACTTGCTTCCTCAAGGGTTTCCTGGCACAAATGTTGGGGAAAATGTCACCTTATGCTCGCAGAAAAATAAGAAGTTACCACCGCTCTGGGTAGTAAGTATGCATGTGAAAGCCCCCTTATTGGATCCTTTTCAATGTCACTTTATGTGTTGAATCCTCCGCGGAACTTAAAGCAGGACCCATCGCTTGCCGACTAGCCTACTTACATTTCTATCGATTGCGGAGCAAAACGTCGCAGTCGCAGGATCAGGGCTGCCTAGCCCCCTTCTGTTCCATCGGACCGTTTGTCTGGTATCTGCGTGAACAGACAGGCCTGGCACATGGACGTCCATGCCCATCACCGATGTAGACCCGACGCGGCTTACCCTCAATCAACTTTGCACGGGCAATCCCTTCTATACTATTGAGTTAGAAGATTGTTATTGAGTTAGTGAATTACTCTAGACAGAGCATGAACGGCAAACCTACTAAAAACACAAGTCATGTAGACAGGACGGGTGGGGGTACTACAGTTTCCGGAAGACTGCACCCCGATTTCCACAAGTCGAGTCGGTCGTCCTTGGCCCGGCCGCTGATAGACGTCGACCAGGAAGGAATCGCGAAGTTATTCCACCGAGTCGCTTATCAGGAAAAAACCAACCAAAAGTCGCAAATCAACAATTGCGTTAGGTGATTGCGGCACAGTGCAGCACGCGCATTCCAAATGAGGAGTTGCATCCACCCATCATCCTTTCGCTAAGAAGACGAGATTACATCAGAGCAGCGGTACTATAGGTGGTCAGTGCGTGCAACAGTTCACTCAATGCAACACCCCCACCAACCGTGGCAGCCCAACACAAATGAGGCTGTCGACGCCCACACAAAAGCTATTATTATAAGATTTTTTTAGTAATTTAGTCTAAATATCTTATCTATCAGATCTATCTAGTTATATTTCTTTAAAAGCTTAGTGTTATACCTGCGTAAAGTGGTTTTAGTAGCATCTAGTAGTGCTAATACACCACCACTTTAACTACCTACATTACTACTACTACTAAGTATATTAACTTATAACTTAGTAAAGCTTTTTATCTAGTAGTACTCTATATATAATAAGATTTCTATAGAGTTTTAGCTATAGAATATTATAAAATATAAGTTTAAGTAAAAAAAAGCGGTAAAAGGTATAGTTTTGCAGCAAGAAATAACGAAAATAAGCGGAGAAAAGAGAAGTAAACTACGCTTTCTTAAAAATCTCGCGACTCTAAAGCTAAAACTTTAAGAAAATCTTACGATATANAAAGTAAGCCTAGGTAAGAAGCTTTATAAAGCTAGAAGTTAAGAAAGTTAAGTAGTAATAGTAATACAGAGAGCTAAAGTAGTGACGGCTCTATATTATTAGGTGCGCAGCCTCCCATTAAAACTACTACGCGCGGCCGCAACACTAAGCTGCTAGCAAAATCTAACTAGATAGAACGATTACTTAGACTACTTAGACTACTTTACTAAGTTTTCTCATAATGATAGCTTTTGTGTGGGTGTCTACAGCCTCATTTGTGGTGGGTGGGCATCCTAAGCGGGGTGTTGCATTGAGTGAACTGTTGCACGCACTGACCACCTACAGTACTGCCGCTGACTGGCCCAATTCCGAGCGCGCATGTAAGAAAAGGGAATCCCAAAGTCCATAATGAATCATTCCCGCCCGCTCAGTACCCGGTATGCAACGATCCGCACGCCGTTGGCGGTGTGCGCATAGCGGGTCGGGTCAGATATGCGCCAACGTTGAGCATAAGAGAGAAAACAAGGGTCAAGGGGTGAATCTACGTAAGCCCCACACACGCCAAGTAAATACACTACGTAGTACCATCGTCTTTTTGTGCCGCAACCACGCCGCCTCAACAAACATATTCCTACGAACAAAAACCGGACGAGCCAAGGCCAACTTAGATCGTCCAAGCACATCTAGCAGTAAGGACAAGAACTGTGCCACGTGGGATACAAGGTGTGCCGTAAGCAATTCAACCGCTCGCGTTCCATCTCACCTCACGGCCGGACTCTCTCTTTCTCTCTGCCCCTCCCCACCCCTATCGGACCTTTCCACTCGCTACGATCGCTGGCATCTAACTATCTCATGTAACGTCCTCCGACTCGGTGCCAAAAACGTGCAAGGCACGCGAATTTATCGCACCTAATCCCTCTTGCAGATCCGTTTCGTCTTGCGGCACTTCTTTCCTTGGGAGGATGCGCGAGTGAGCATGGAATGAGTGCGGAGACGCGGATATGTGAGAGTTTTTTTTTGACTGGCCTGTGTCAGAAGAAAGGTAGGTTCGGGAGGAAGGGAGGGTACACACGGGGCCGGGGCTAGGTACTAGCCGTTTTGTACGAATCGTCAGAAGGGGGGGGGCGACGTAGAAGTAATAATAGGTGAGATTTGTACCCTAGGTGAGATTTTTGGCTAGGATATTATTAAGAAGGTCGTTGCGTGCTCTCATGGCTTGTTTTTGAAACTTTACGTACACACTTTTTTTTACTTCATTATTGGTTATTATCGGTTGTTGGCGGAAGGAGTGCAGACGGTGCGCTGGTGGTGGCTCCCCCTTTACTAACTTACATCTACTATGCGCTATGCATAGGACGATTCCCATTGAGAATGGGCAGCAAGTGGGTGTTGTGATTGCGAGTTCGATATCAATATCGATTGCGGTTGTTGCGGTGGGCTTGAGGCTTATGGCGAAGAGGATACGGAATCGTGTTGATGGGAGCGATTGGTGTATCGTTGTTGCTTGTGTGAGTTTAATACTACCAGAGAGAGAAAGAGAATGGGGTTCTAACGTTTTCTTGATATAGCTGTGGAATGCGGCTCTGCATGGGACATGCATTTCGCTGGTTACACACGGCGGATTTGGATTCCATATTACGGAAATCATGCGGCGGTTTGGACCAGGAACGGCTACGTACTTCTTTAAGGTATTTTCCATTTACCCTCTCCCTTGATGTAAATATCTGATGTTCTGGGCTACAGGGAATCATGACCTTCTCCATGCTGTGGAACGCAACCGTATGCTTCAGTAAACTCTCCATCTTACTCATGTACACGGCCTTGATCCCCACACCCACCATGATACGAATGAGCGTCACTTTCGGCGCCTTCATCGTAGTATGGTGCATCGCAAACATCATGACCGCGTTCCTCATCTGCCGGCCACTGGCGCGGAACTGGGACTTCACCGTACCCGGAACATGCGGAAGTCAACCGGATTTCTACTTTACAATGGGAATCATCAATCTCATCACCGACGCCCTCCTCATTGGAATGCCCATGCCATATCTCTACAAACTCGCCATGCCAATGCGCAAGAAACTCCTCGCTATGGGTCTCCTCAGTATCGGAATAGGGTAACCAACTTCCCTCCTTCTCCCCTTACTCACCCTCCACTCCCGCTAATACAGAGACAAATAGCACATGGGCCATAACCATCTACCGCCAAACCCTCCTCCCCGACCTCAACTTCGCCGACATGACCCACGACGGCGTCCTCGCAACTCTCCTCTCCGGCCTCGAACCCGCCGTCGCCATTGTCCTCTCCTGCGTCCCCTTACTCCGCCCTCTCTTCGGCAAATCACGCCACAACCTCGACTCCGGGTACCAATACGGCAGCAGCAGCGGCAAGCAAATCAGCTTCATGTCGAAACGCGGTGCGGGCGCATCGCGGGGGTTGGATCCTACGGCCACGTTTTCAGAGCTTGTGGATCAGACGAATAATTCGTCGCAGATTGAGCTTAGGCCCGTCGAGGGCATACAGCGAGTTTGCATTTCGTCGGATGAGGAGAGAGGGAAGGATGGGAGGGGCAATATATTGGGGGCAAAGGGGGGAGTGCCACCGAGAACGATTAGTGTGGAGCGGATGTGGGAGGTTAGAAGTCAGTGATGCGTGGGTATGTGTGTGTGTATGAGAGAGAGAGAGAGAGAGCGTGTGCGCTTCACTGGATTTAGCGCGCAAAAGGAAATGGTTAGGATAGAAGAAATAAATAGAAGAAGAAGAAGAAGAAGAAGAAGAAGAAGAAGAAGAAGAAGAAGAAGAAGAAGAAAAAGAAATGAGGGTTCATTGAGTTTGTTTTTTTGGTAAAAAGGGATACTAAATGGAGAATTCGCCGACGTTACTGCATATTAAGCTGAGAAACTTAAGTACTGGCGTAATGGCCGGTAAGGGGGAGGGGGAGGGAGAGTCTGTGACGACTACAAGCCGGTACAGACAAGGCCCTTTCTTCCTCCTCTCGCCTCGAGCTTTGTGAGCTCGCGCTCGTACTTCTTCGCGTCTTCATCTTCGTGGTGGCCCTTGTAGTCTTTCTTGTATTCATCCCCGTGGTGCTCCTCGTCATGGTGCTCTTCTTCGTAGTGCTCATGCTCTCCATGTTCCTCATGCTCCCCCTTACCCTCGTGGTGATCCTCCTCGTGATGCTCGTGCTCTCCCTTGCCCTCGTGGTGCTCCTCATGGTGTTCCTTCTCGTGCTCCTCATGATGCTCATGCTCTCCCTTACCCTCGTGGTGCTCCCCATGGTGATCCTCCTCGTGCTCCTTATGCTCTCCATGCTTTTCGTGATCCTCTTCAGCCTCATGGTGCTCCCCCTCGTGATGCTCATGCTCTCCGTGTTCCTCGTGCTCTTCCTTACCCTCATGGTGCTCCTTCTCATGGTGCTCTTCCTCATGGTGCTCTTCCTCATGATGCTCATCGTCATGATGCTCCTCCTCCTCTTCCTCACCATGATGCTCCTTCTCATGATGTTTCTCCTCGTAGTGCTCATCATCATCATGACCATGGTGCTTCTTCTCATTATACGTCTCAATACGGGGGGCTCCGCATCCACTCTCGGCACAAAGCTCCACCGGGTATAGTAGCTGTCTCTTGCTTTCCGCCAGGGCTACAACATCGGGAATCGATGTGTTAGGCACTGGGGCGGCCATTACGGCGGCAGCGGCGAGAGCGGTGGTGGTGAGGAGGGTTGAGGGATGCATGGTTGATGGTGCTAGGGAGGTTAGATTGGGGTGGGATGGAATGAAAGGGGAGGGGAGGGGAAGTACTTCAGTGTCTGTATCTTCTTGACAATGGACTCGATACTGTTGGAGTCTTGAGAGGAGATGGAGATGCTAGGGAGGAAGAAGGTAATGTTATATACACAAGCAAGCCAGCAACGAACCATGGTATCTTCATATCGTCTTTCGTCGCCCCCTCTTTCCAGTCAACAAGAGGGCGGGGTCACGGTGCTGTGTACCAGAAACATCAGTGCGGTACCGAATACATATACACAAGATGTATTCGGATAGAGTACCTAATGATATAAGAAGGTGGCTGAAAGTTACATCATGAGTCCTCATTCAAAGTGACCATCCTTCCTCTATATATGCACCCCAAAACAAGGGCCCAAACAAACCCTACACATCTATTCCCAACGCCAATCATGCAAAACGGGGTATCTTCCGTGGGCCAATCCAATCCATAGCAAACCCCCCCTTCAAACCAAGTATTGTAAATGCAAGAAGAAGATGAAGAAAGATTTCTCACCTCCCCAACACCCCCAACAACCCAACTATCTATGTACACACTCTCCCCCGCCCCTTCCTTCACCCCCACCCCCCACTGCTTCTCAAACACCGGGATACGGCACGACGCCCGGAAAAAACCTCATACAATCATTCATCAACACACCGCCCGAATCCAGCCCAAACTGCGCCTTAACAATCGTCTCCACAAAACACGTCACCGCCTGCGCCCCCTGAACCGGAAACCCACCACTGAGTCCCCGCGCCCTCGTCGCGGGCTTCCCGCCTTCATTCCGCGCAAGCTCCACGATGACGGGGAGGTCGGACACGTCGAAGATGGCCGAGTCGTTGAGATCGAATTCGGTCGCGGGGCCCGTGAGATACGACCATGTGGTTGACCAGTGGATGTCGTTTTCGCGACGGTAGTCCTGGCGGCCGAAGAAGAAGAGGGGGTTGTTGCGGACGGGCGAGGTGAGGAGCGGGGGCGTGCCTTGGAGGTTGATGCTGAAGAGGGCGGAAGAAGAGGGGGTTAGGCCGAGGGAGGTGGCGACGGAGCCGCCGAGGCCGTGGCCTACGATGCCGTAGTTTGATGTGCGGAGGCCGGTGCTGGAGGAGAAGGTGAAGGTGCTGAAGTGCTGCTTGAGGAGGTCGATGGAGTTGAGTTGGGAGAGGACGAATTGGATGTCGGAGATGCGGGTGTCGAGTGCTTTGGTGACGGTGGTGTTCCAGGCGGTTAAGGGGGAGAAGTTGGAGAGCGAGACGGTGCCGCTGTTGTAGACTGTGTCTAGGGCGCGTCGGCCGTTGTTGGGGAATTCGACGATGGAGGCGTCGCCTGGGTGGTCGACTAGTACGACTGCGGCTCCGTTGGCGGCGATGAAGCGGGCCATGGTTGAGTATAGCAGTCTGCTCGTGTCGACGTGTGGCTCTAGTACTACTACAGGAATCTTGCTTGCGTCGATGGACACTGAGCTCTTGCAGCATGCGTTGTAGGTCATGTCTTCAAAGACACCAATGTCACGCTGTCCGCCAACAATGAACTGCTCATTGGCAATTCGAGCAGTCTGTGGTGGCATGTAGCTGTTCTGGCACTCGCTCGAGCACGAGTCCCTGGGAATAGGCATGAACAGACTGACCATGACGCGGCGGTCTTCTGTGGAAAAGTATGGATCCTTGCGTGCGGTGTCTGTTAGAGGGAAATGCGAGACGGCAACCTTGAACCTGTGGTTGTTGTCTGCCCCGGGGATTTGAACTGCATGACTGCTTTTGGATATAACAGCAAGCAGTAGGGTAATGGTGACTCCCAAAAAGGCCACCATGATGAATGTTCGAACAGTGTTTGCAAAGCACGGGCTGCGACGGGTGGTGAAGTCAAGTTTAGTCCGCAGAAACATTGAGGGCGACGCCTCACTTATATTTTATTGAATCTCCGCGCGTAGACTATTTTGTCTATACAAGTGAGAGTGTAATTTTAATTATGCCGAGCTAAGAGCGGCGGTGTGATCGAATCCTATGATGGTAAACGGACTTGTGCGCTATGGTCGTGTGACTGTCGCCACGTGCGCGCTGGTTCAAAATGTTTCTCAAAGGCAAACACATGGTTGCACCAGTGGAACAGTGTTCCTTGCGATACTCGACGATGTGACTGTTGCCTGTGATTCATTTTCCTTGGTGCGCAGAGACGGCGTGCCTCTTGACAAGGTGCGCCAAGCCAATATACTGGGGTACTGGGGTAGTTTCTTAGTAGTATCTCATTCACTCCTTTACCCCCACATATTTCTCCCGCTCACTAGAATGAAACAAGTAGGTGAAAGGGAACGATTCCTACAATGACCGGATACGCTTGAGAAAGACGCTAGAAAGAGAACCGGGGAACAGGCACTGCTGGAGGAGGAAAAGGACGAAATGGTCGATTTTGCTAGTCTATTGCGAGACAACATTAACCATCATATCTTGTAACTTTTTTTTTTCAAAAAAAAACCCCCCACTTTAACTCTTCCCATCTAAACTAAAACGAAACGAAATATGCGGCCGTGTCGTCGTGAAAACCAGATAAAGGAGATGGGGTATAATGTAATTTCCACAACACGAAGGATTCTCGACCAGGGCACCCCGGAACTGTGTGGGGAATCCAACTTCAAGGACACGAGTATCCAGTCTTGTTGTCGAAACACTCTAAAATCCCCTGAACCAGAGCCCAAAAATAGCGTTCAGACAAAAACTATGAGAAAATGGTAAAAGTGCGTGGCAAAATATGCTCACGCAGAATCCAGGGAGGACAGAGAGAGCCTCTTGCGCTTTTCGACTGGGAGTCGCTTCCACATGCCGACATGTTCAATGCCTTCTTCGAACCAATGAGGTTCGGCGTCAATCTCGACGTGACCGTCTTCGTTCCTGAGCTGCTCGTGGAATCCGTGCTTCTCCCACATGGACTGTAGGTTCGCTTGTGCGTGGATCATAACGAGACCCTGCCATGTGATTTCCCTCTCCTTTTGGTGGCCAAGTATTTGGGCCATCTCCAATGCGGTGGGAGACGGAGGACGGTAGATCAAGTCGGGATTCGCGGTGGCGTAGTCGAGCGCGGCATTGATGAGCAGCTTCGCAAGACCGAGACTGCGGTAGGGAGCAAGTACAGCGAGCCTGCCAAGCTTGATATAAGGCTCCGCTGGCTGTTTGTGCTCATGGTCGTGAGTCGGGGGATCTGCGTCGGGATGCTTGTCTGTTTCGTGCTGTTGAACGTACTTGTTTGGGCCGTGGGGCGGGGGAATCAGTCGGATCGTCGCAACTGGCACGCGCGTAGCGGTAGCGGATGCGCGGCGGGCGTCATCGGCAGGCGTGTTGCTCGAGTCAGCACGGCGCAGCACCTTGGGTGGTGATGTCGAGTGTGTAGCAACAGAAGCATAGGCAACCCAGTGCCAGCTGCGGGCATCGTCCTCGTCGAACTCGGCTTCGAGCGGAACGCCCTGCTCGCCAAAGACGATCTCGCGGACAGTCATGGCATCACGGAAATTGGCGGGGACGGGGATGGTCTGCCTGCTGCATGGCAGCGAATTGTCGTAGCCGTCGAGAGCCCCCTTGAGCGGGCAAATGGTGTTGACAAACTCGGTGCCCGGATTGGGGCCTCCCAGGGGCGCACTGTTTGGCGAGCCGAAGCCGCCTTTGAGTACGCTGGTCATGGTGGTGTAGAAGATGGGTTTGCGGTCGGGGTGTGTGTGTGGTGATGCGGCGTTGGGAGTTGTGGCAAAGTGCGAAGTTTGTCGGGCGAAGGATGCGGTTATAGTTTGTATTCTAGGCAAGGCTGAGTCACAATTGCACTGGCAAAGCGTGCGCGGCAGTCGTCGTCTTCAATCTTAAGTATTCCAGGTCAACCCTGCTTGGGGGCGCAGGCGTAGGCGTGGTGCGCCCGACTCTATAAAGAGGGACTCGAGCATAAACGTCTGCCTCAGTGGTACATCGAGTAGCAGGCGAGAAAGTCTGTTTCGGGTCCCTGTGTTTCAGGCGCAGTCAGGGTCCAAGGATGCAGCCCTAGGCTCATAGCGGCAGCAGAGGCTGGAGATCAGATGGGCGAGCAGGTCAGAGGTTGCAGACAAACACACTGTGAATCCAATCAACCCCACCGTCTGTCGACTGGTGATGTCACAGGCCTGGCACGCTTGCCCGGCCCGCACGGGACATGGCTGTAGCACCGTCACCCACCAATCATATGGGCGCTTCGGGCATGTGCTTGTGCTGTGGATAGTGTAGTCTACTGCTTGTGGCGATATCACCAAAATGTGTGCCTCGCAGTAACCTAGCGTACGTGTACCCGTGAAACCTGGCCCATTGCCGTTGATGGCAGTCCTCCCATAAGGCCGCCAGGAAGGCTGTGTAGACGCAGAGAAGGGTGGCGCAAATCCTTCAGTTCTTGGCCAACTGCAAATCCCATCAGAGACTCAAGACTGTGATCCGTTTCTCTTCATTACGCATTTCAAATTCGATGCATTTGCTTACAGGCGGGGACGCTCCTTCAAACCCTTTACAACGCCCCTACTGATCCAATCGCTAATGGCCATGTTCGTTACCATAGGATTGACCCCACTAGCACTGGGGAAAACACTTGCGTCCGCCACGTATAACCCCTCTGTGCCCCAAACTTTGCCCTGAGGGTCGACAACACCCTCCCATTCTTGTGCACTCATGCGACACGTTCCCATCTGGTGTGCAGACACAAACATACTCTCGGGCGACTGAAAGCCCTTGGCCTCGACCTCTGCGAGCCATGCCTGGAATTCTGGATTATTGATGCCGTCCCCCAACGGCGCCGATGGGTCCCGAACAAATGACCTCAGGCCAGGTATGGTTGTGAAGATTTCTTCTGCGCCTTCGATGTATTGAATCTTTGCCAGGGCCAAGATACCTTCCATGATGTTTTGCCTGTCAAACTTGCTGACCTGATACGAAACCCGCACTCTGCCATCGACGGGATCCGGATACACCCT